GAGTCGGAGCGAGGGTGAATGAGTGATCGGATCTGCAGCTCATCTGGGTTCTCATCTGGCACCTGTCTGTGTCCTTCTCCTACAGCTGTTGCCTTCCATCCCACCGATCCGAACATCCGAGACTGTTGGGTGGTCCATTTGGCTTTTCTTCTTTCATCATTTAATTATTCCTAGATTTTGAAGTTTTACATTTTAGCTTAAAAGGTTCTAATCCTGATAAAGAATATTTTAAAAATATGATGCGTCATTTATTATCTTGGAATTTTCTAAAATGAATTGGTGATTTATAACTACCTAACCCTCCCTTTGAGCATCAACATAGCTATTTTCAGCCCAAATCTTTGCCACCACCTCCTCCAATCCAACCCTCCATCCTTTCCGCCTCTTTGTCTAAATTCATTTCACCACACTCTACCAAGGTCATCCCATTACCATCCTCCCCCCTGCTCCACCTCGTACTCCACCCAGTTTTTTCCCGACTAATTAGGCTATCGATAACTTCGGATACTTCAGGCTGGAAAGATGAACTCAGTTTTACTACTGCCATCATTGATCGACATTCTCCTGAATCTATTTGTTATTCAAAACTCTTTCTTATCCATTTTGACTGGGCTTTCAGCAAGAACCCAAATCCCCCTTAATCCAACTCTTCCATCCACAGCCAATTCCTCTACCCGTTTCCACGCCTCGCGCACCAAATAACGGCACTTTCTCCTCTTTCCTCGAAACCATTGGTGGGCGAGTATTGGGGTGTGCAGGTGGATCTCCAGCCCGAACGCCATTATGGTATTCGAATGCGGAATTCGCGTGCGCAACCCTCACACTCAAGGCGGGGAGCTGCGTAAAACCGCTGGCGCACTATATATTGCCCCAATTTTGCGTGAATGATTTAGTGCTCGATTTCTATTTACAGTCGGAGCATCGGTTATTGCATTATTTTCGGGAGCTCTGAAAAACAATTGGTAATTGTTTTGCTAGCACGCCCGTTTTTGCTGGCCTGCTAAAGCCTGCTTTAAATAAAGTGGTCTGTTTCGACAAAAATATCGAATTCCATTTAAAATATCCTTATTTTATAATGATACTAAATCTAAATTACCTAAATGATATATGTGTATGCTATTTTATCTTAAGAACTGCCACATGATTAGTTTTTTTTTGCTACAAAGGTCGGTTTACGGCCCTTCTCAAACCTACTTTAAGTAAATTTCCCTCTTCTGACAATAATATCTAACGCTTGTCAAAGAGCTTCTCGAATTTTTTTGAAACCGATTTCCGGAATTTCATTCATCCCAAAGTAGCTGCATCCTAAATCCCAACGAACGTGTCCGCTCGCCCCATTTTCAAGGCATGATCGAATTTCCTAGGTGGAGGTTCGTTTCCCTCCACCCATCGGCATCTAATTACCGGTGGACTCCATGAGACCGACAGCGATCCTTTGGGCCTTCGGGCCACAGATTCGACAAAGAGCTCCTCCATCCCCCGCCGGGCTTGTGACCCATTTCCGAAAGGCACCAACATCACCCCGGATTCGCACGCGTTTCCATGATTGATTATGCCAATTCGGGGGTGGTGAAGGTGCCGAAAAGGGGCACGAGCAAGTAGCATGTGAAAATGCCGACCACCAAAATCAAGCCTTTGATCCACCCGGGGGCCCTGGTTTTTGGGGCGGAGAACCTAAGCCGCATATGCAAAGCGGGGTGCTTTTTTATTAACTGCCCGGGTGTGCATTGACTCTATTGCTAGGCTGATGGTAGGCAGGGGGTTGGAACCTGTTTTTCGGTTATATAGATTTTCGCTGTAAATTGTTTGCCCCCGGTAAACAGCATAATTTTATATGAAGAGAGTTCTAGAATATGTTTTTCGGTTATAAAGATCAAAGTGGCTGCATGCTCTCCCGCTCGAAAAAACCAGCATTTTTTATATTGCTTGAATTTTATGTGATTTAATACAGTTCTCGGGTGCTACCATGACTGGATGGTCATTAGGGCAGTAACCTTCTCCATGGCTATAGCCTCACCTAACATCTGCCTCCTCCTCCCGGGTCTGACCTGACATAAATATGCCATTCCGTTGACTCCCTAGAGGGTCGAGGAGGGCCTCACAGATTCTTAATGTATTCACGGAGGTTCATTGTTTTTAGGTGGATAGTATATTGAGAAGGATGCTATTGGGGTGTGGGATTATTCTGGCAATTAGCCAAGGTGGCGTTTATTTCCGGTTGGGTGCTTATTTACTAAAGGGGGAGTGGGTGATCGGCTTTCGGGGGGAGGTGGGGTTATTATTCATCAAAATCTGCCGGGATTTGGTGATTTTTAGTGGGATGAGGTATGAATTTACCATAAAATTGATTTTAATAATATAGTCATTCGGGCTTTTTTTTAGTTAAAGTGTAATATTTTCTTATACGATTGTCCCAATTTGTCTTCTTCTTTCTTGTCCTTACAATAGAATTGTTTTGCTAACCTTTGTGGTTATTTCTTTTCATAGTATGCATTATGTGACATTTCTACACAGATGTACCTTATTTTTTTGCTATCTCCACAATAGGATTGGTTTTCAGTTTTTTTTTTGCTTTTTCCCTTGATTTTTGCGCTTGATTGCTCTTGATTTTTTGTCCTAAATCCTTTAACGTTCGTACCCAATTTTACCTATGACGTTTTTGCCCAAGGATACCTTAAAAACCTCGCACTCTTCCAGATAACATCTGCCCTAAAGCCCTAAAATACCTGCCATACCATCGCCCCGGGCATCATTATAATCCCAAAAGGTGGCGCACCAGCCACAAAGTTGTGCCCGGAGGGAGGGGCAAGTTTATTGGAGAGTTGTGCCTGTATGAGAGGATAGAGGACGGGGTGTTTGATTAGCGGAGGGCCATCTCATAGGGCTGGGGTCAAACAAATACGCCAAAATATGGCGATTGGTGGAATAGATGGGGGGGAAGCCTCGACAATACCTTTGATGCTGACCCGTGTGTCAGCGGTGATGGGTCAGAGGGCTGGTAAATAGTGGGGTGAGGGCATGATCCGGGGCAACCACCTGTTAGCAATGGTGCATGGATTAGCTATTCATTTTTGGGTACCGTAGTATGCCGCTTTGGAAGCATTTAGCTGTTAAAAATACTATAAACGACTTTCGGGTCATTCTTAAAGGGACCGGGAAGAGGTAAGATCTGGTATTGCGGACCACTAAGTATAGACAGACACGCTTCCTACCCCATTTAAGACGCCTTAGACTTGTCTGTTCGTCCGTAGCTCGTCCAGCTGCCTGTAGAAGGTTTTTCTCCATTGATAACCCTTTTTAATATATGAAATTACAAAAAAACGGTATTAACCTAATAAACCCACATTTCATTGGTGCGCCGACAGACCCGCTTTCACAAAACTGGGATTTTCATATCATTCACATCTCCTCTCAAATGCCCCCAAGAACTAGCTTCATCCCATCACCCAAATAAAATTCCAAACACCTCATCCCTTCCCCAAATTCCCCCTCCAAAATCAACCCTAATTCTCAATCCCATGCTAATTGACACTAAATCGACCCGCCATCGCTTCTCCCACCCAAACCCTGCTAACACCTATTTGGCGGTCAGCGAGAATCCCGACCGGATCCCCCCCTCGCCCCGTGATAATCCAGCCCCACATCTTGCGACAATCCCCCTCCTCCTTCCGCCTCTCTTTCTCTCTTCCAACCCTAAAAAGAGCTCCTTTCCCCGATCATTCTCGATCTCCGTTAACTATGCTTTCCGCTGACCTTCCGCTACCCTCGATCTATCAATATCCATCGCCGCCCGGTTGACCCCCTCATTATGATCCATCTCGCGAAGAAGTTCGGATTCAATGCCATTCCCCGAATGGGGTGGGGGTAATAAATTACGATTCTGGGGAGGTGTCGAAAAAGGTGCGATAGGATATGAATTTTTAATATGATGTCGTGGAAGGGGTGCTTGGGGATTTTTGGGGAGATGAAATGTGGTGGCTAGTTATGTTAATTTATTGTTTATTTGCTCAGGTTATGCTATTTATTAATTCAAGATTATAAGACGTCTTCCCGAACAGAAGCTGGTCTATGAAATTTGCAAATTTTGTATCGTACAATTTTTAATGAGATCGAAAGAGCTGAGTTTGAGACTATAGTGTCCCCATGAAATTTATATAGCGTACGGAATCATCGAAAAAAAATTCTGCACAAATTAGGCTGGTGTTATTATGACTTTCCGTATTGAGTAAAATCACTTTACTGCATGGTGCAAAAGATACTTTTTGATGACATATTCCGCTACAATCCTCAGAACGTGTCTTTCTTCACGGATAAGTTGTTAATTGGACGAAGATGAGGGCGGAGGGGAAGAAGGCCAGCTGGAGGGCCCTTTGTTCCACGGTGGTACCCCCCCCGCCAGTGGTTCATGATTTCGGAGCGGTCCGATGGGGGAAGAGGCTCTCTCTGTCTGTCTTTCAGTCTGTCTGTCTGTCTATATGTGTGTGTCTTCTGTTTGTGTTTGTCCAGGGGCCCACCACCACCCTGGAGGCCAACCCAGCTACCACACCGCATCCCCCACACATCATCATCCCCCGGGCGCTCGCTAATTATGCATATTTCAATAATATTTACTCACTAATTAGTGGGATTTAAATGCTAATTTAATTCTGTTGAGTTATCGTATGCTTTAAGTCCTGATTCAACCAAGGGTTTTTCTCTTACAGTCTCGAGCCCTTTAAAATGGCAATAAGACGTCGGTCCTTATTTATAGTTATGTATTTTTCTATTTAAACCATTTATGCTATTTATTTTTATTGACAATCTTTGAAAATTACTACTTACAGTACCTCTGACGTAGATCCTCACAGGAATTTATATTGGCCGATCTGAGACCATTAATCACAATCATTCATGCGCCATTAATTTTATAAAGCCTATTTTAAGAATGTCCTATCTTGGATTTCCAATGCAAAGACGTGTTTTATAAACCCTCCATTTTTCAGATTACCCCTGATGTAGACATGGCACCCCACCGTATCTTCCCCGTAGTGCTCCTCTTATTAGCATACAGCGAATTTATATTAGCCCGTAAGTCCAAGTTTTCTATGGCTGAATTATGCCTTTTTTCCTCAGATTTCGAGCTGCCGACCCTGACCGTTCAGTACAGCCAGAAATATTTGCACAGGAGTGCCCCCACCGTTCTCACGTGCGAGCTTTCGATCGGCTGGTCCTCGGCTACCTTCCGGAATATAGAGTATAATCCATTAATAATATAAATTAATAATTTTTTTAAGTTGGCAACTAGATGGCGTGACGCTAGGCAGCATCAAAGAATTGAACGGATATTATTTTGTTGAGGGCGGAAAGTAAGGGTGCCACTTGGAAAGATTGATGTTTTATTTTTTTAGCTTGCATCTTAATACCTCGAAAGAAGCGGCTGAAGGGAATTACCAATGCCTGGCCGAGTTGACGAACGTCAGGTTGAGAACCGGAGAAATTGTGGATGTTCGAATTATTTCGCCACCACTTTTTGTGCGGAAGGCGAGGATGACGAAGTTTATCGACACAATTCAGCATGTAAGCAATCAAACATATTCTTACAGCTAGTTTTACAATTTACTTTATTTTCATTAAAGCCATTCCTCGGGTCAAGAGATAATTACTCACAGCATCTCGGCACGCCCGAGGGCCCAAATTATGCATAGTGAATACAGTCATTAGCCCAGCCGGTATTAGCCAATTACGCGCGGAGTAATGGGACCCCCCGGGGTTGATCCTGTTGGGCCATAGATGAAAAACAATACACGCCAATATGGAAGATTTATAGGTGGTTCAAGCTCGCCAAGGCGAAGTGGCTCGATTGCCGTGCGTTGGGATGCCGGATGTATTACCAAGTCCAGCCCAAGTTTGCTTTGAGAAAGTTGGAGGTGATGGGCGGTGTTTTGGAGATCGAAACGAGCGAGGTGAGACTTGGGATTTGGTTTGATTTTCGATTTAGATGAGGCGAAATACATGTCGTTTCCCACCGGACTACAAATTGCCTTGGTGCAGCCGGGTGATGCTGGAGAATACATTTGTGTCGTTAAAAACACCTACACTAATGCCAGCCGGAAGAGCAATAAGGCTGTGATATTGAGTGTAGGTTTTTACCTGACCGTCGTGATACGAATGCAATTCTAGGTGACGCCTTCTGCCCCACTCAGCATCACCGACACCCCAAAGTTCAAACCACAACTCCTCTACCCTGGAAAGGGCGAAAACATCGTAGATGTTCGCGTGGGCCAAGACGTCATCTTAGAATGTGTCTTCTCAAAACACACAAAAGTGATTTGGAAAAGGGTACCTTATCCTAATTCGACCCTCATTTCTTTTTCTCTAGAACAATGAAGAACTCCCCGGTCTAAACCATGACGACGAGTACAAGCCGTTCAAACTCATCTGGGGAAACCTCCGCATCAAGAACGTTAGCCAGGGCGATGTTGGGGTGTATTCTTGCCATGGACTCAACCCGTTGGCTGTAAGACCGTTTTTATACCTTGTAAATCTTTATTAGGATGACGCCACCGAGCGAACCCCAACGGCTCACTACAAAATGCTGGTTTATGGTGCAACCGGCGCCAGAATGGACATTGAAAATACTAGAGGAAACGATCGAAAAGTATTGGTAAGATTGTAATTATATGGCGCTATGAAATTTTAATAGGTATCATGCACTGCGGATAATCAACACTACGAACTTCCGATGCTCTATGTAAATGGTACCCCATTGGCCTCGATCATCGACAAAGTCGGAACCGTCGAATCGAAGAATTTCATGAGCAACCCTCTGAATATGTCCATTGAATTCTTTGCCAATTTTTCTGGCAGCATCCAGGTTTGGAAATACCTTTAAATTCATAATTTAAAATTTAGTGCCTATCCCACCCAGCCATGCGTGAAGCCGAGATTTTTGGACCTGGATTGGAACGAGGGCGAAGCGCAAATTACTATGTTGTCAGAACCGGGCCGGGCGGAGTTTCTACAGAACTGATCAGCCAGGTAAAATGTTTTTTACCGGCTATGAATCTTGATTTCAGGGCCCTTCCAACGCTACTGTAATTTCTGGAGAACGGGTCGAACTTCCTTGTATTGTCAACAGAGGAGGCTCGAAATATTGGAAATTTTGTAAGTTTTTGAGATTCGCCTACATCTAGTCAATTTAGTATGTCCGACATGTAATACGCCGACGCTCGTAAAAATTATTGGGTCAAAAATGCGAATTACCGGCTCGAATACCTTGAGAATCGAAGATGCACAACCTGAAGATGAGGGATGGTAAGTTATCATAAAATTGCTTAAAAGATAATCATTTAGGTACACATGTATCGTCCGCGAATCTCATACAAATAAAGAAAGCACGTTAACGGCTTATCTTCGAGTTATTGACAAAGATGCGACAACGACAACGATGGCACCAGAACCGGTAAGGCTTATTAGACCATCCAAAAAATTCGGATTCAGATCGAAGTCCTCGAATTCGAAAACATGAACGTATTCATCAATAAACTGCACGTTCGTGTAATGTGGGACGTTGCTGGGACCGACAAGGCAAAGGAAAGCATCAAGAAGATCTTGGTGGATGTTCGTCGAAAGGATGGTCCCTGGATTCTGGATGCTGCCACGGTGGATGGGCAAGCAACAGCAGCAATGTTGACTGATTTAATTCCCAATGAGTCGTAAGTCACAGATCCCATCATTAAATCCAAAAATTTTTAGGTATATCTATCGACTGCGAGCTATTCGGAAAAATGGCTCTGAAATTGCCAGTCGGGAGTCTAGACCATTTGATCTGGAGATGCCAGATGGAGCTGTGAAGCCGGATGCGCCTACGGTAAGGCATGGAAGAACTTTGTGATGTAGGGATTCCAGATAACAAGCCTGGAGCCGGTCTCTGGAACGACACTGCTGCTGAAATGGGATCATAAGGCGGTAATTCCGAACGCCGCCGCCGACGAGTTTCTCATCGTTTATCGACCGGATGGAGAAGAGACGGCGACTGTGGTTCGTTTTTTGATTATTAGGCCTGATACCCCAATACCTGCTCATATTATTTAATTTTTCATAAGATTTTAAGCTAATTTTCTCTTCCCTACTCCATTCGATTCGATAACACATTCCCTTCGTCTTAAAACCCATTCCATCACCCCGATGGTGGCCTCCATAACCGGCTCATCCCCAAATTGTGGCGGGTTTTTTGGGGGTATGGCTGCGGTCTTGGCCCCGCCGGCAGATGGTTGCTGGACGATGAGTTTTGTGGCCTTGAGAATTTGCATCCAATCCCCCTTCCATAGGCAAATCCCGCGCGGTCACAAAGCGAACCCCCCCCAAGCAAGCGCGCCCCCACAATCCGGATTCTTTTCTTTGGCTAGCACCACTACCGCTAGGTGGAGTGTTTTGGAAGTTCTGGATAACTTTAGAGATAGTTATATTCATCATTTAAATTTTAAAAGTTTTAGACGATTTTAGACATCTCTTCGATCTTAATATTCACTTTCCCTATTGCCTTACTACGTGCTTTGACGGTATTTCCGGGATAAGATTTCTCGTGTCATCTGCAGCTTCTTCTGCACATGACATTCTGACTATGCCACCTACTCATACCCTTATCACCACCCCCGGAATGTTATTATTGCAACTCTCAAATTTTTCACAATATACATCCTTTTTCTCCCCTTAACTTCTACCTACCCAGTTATGTAAACAACTCGATTTTCAACTTATAACCATAAATCTGATATCGGCGATGACTATTGTTAGTCTCGATCGTCGTTTGCCGTGAACGTGATCCTCGGGGCACACCCCCCACCAGAAACCATGAATCACCGCTCCTTTTGCGGGGGGACACTCACATTTCCATCGCAATCCTTAGAACAAACGTCTTCACCCCCCGTCAATAGCTGTTCTTCCGCGCTTGCAAAAACATGCTAAGCTGCTTGAGATTGAGGTGTCCTAGATGGTTTTGATTATCAAAACGTCTTTTCTAGATTTTGGGTTTAATATGATTGTTTTATCACATATGCCGAAAATCCATGACGCGGCTGATACTGTGAAATTTTTGCTGATTCCGAATTTGTTTTTTAAGTTCTTGAAAAATCTCTGTTTCAAAAGTTACCTAAAAAACGTCAATTTTGACTAATTTTTCACAAAAGCTATAGTCCGCTAAAAAAAAAAACATTTTTAAAGAATGGTCACCTATGGAATTTTCAGTCTAGTTGAATCCACTTTACAGTTCCTAAATTCTGATTAACGAGACGCTTAATTCCATAATAATCCAACCTTTACCCTCCCCTATACTCTTAACCTCGACCTCCCCTAACATCCCCCCTTGGCGGCGTTGTTTTGAATTAGCTAACGAGGTCGACTCGCGGGGTCCAGCCGAGTCCATCTGGTGCTGGGCGAGACGATTTATGTAGACCCCGGTGACATGACCGTTTGTCGATTTGGCACCCACAATGTGTAATGCCACAACCCTGTCCGGGTACAACTGGCTCGCAGGGGTACGGGAGGAGAAGTCCATCTCAACCCAATGACAGACACCCACTTGCCGGCATTGCACTCCCCTCACAACAGCTTCATCATTTTATCGCGCTGCTGGTTGACTTTCGGACTTTTGGATGAATAGGGAAATGATTTTACATAATTTCTAGTTGTTTAACCAGATTCCAAGATCGAAAAACCGCTTCGCGGTTCCAAACCTGGTCCCGTCTTGTAATGATTTCCCCTTTTGCATGACTTTTCTCATCCATGCCAACTTTTCTTATAGAGAATCATCCTATTTTTAGACAACGGCCTCGCTTTAATATAGTCAGATAAAACCTATTACATACATAATCACTTCCTTACATCCTTTAAAATTTGAAGCCGTTTAGACAAATGCACACGCAATTTTTTTATAATAGCCAACTTTTGAAGTCCAAAAATTCAAATTTATTGTGGAGATTTTTTACATCGAAATTTTAAGCTTTTTTAATTCACAAAATTTACATAATTATTTTTAATTTACTTAATTTAGGCAATTATCTACAACTTAAAAATTAGAAATTTTAATTTATAAGTTCCATTATCTTGAAAAAATCAATTTATTTAATCAGCATGCCCCAGCTTTTCCCCCAGCCCTCTCACCCCAATACAAACATGAAAACCTTTCACAGCTCCAAAAACACCTCCACCTTTTTCCCATCATCGATCCGACCTTTATGTCCACCTCCAATCGTGTTCCCCTCCTTGAATGCCTTGACATTCCGTCATCATGGCCCGTTTTGCCCCGTCCAGAAACAATCTCACAACACCCCTGCATCCCCCAATTTGAATCGTTTGCCCGCGCAACACCCCCCCCCCCAAACCCCAACGAAATCCAATTAAAATATGCAAACTTGACCACAACCCACAAAGCTCATGCATATTTTCACTACCCAGCGAAAGCCCCGGAGAATATGCAAAAATTTTGGCGGGTGGTCAACTCAGCCTCAGCCTTTCGTATCCATCACTTTCGGCAGTTCGTTTCCGCTCCCAATCATTTGCTGCTAATGAGCGAGAGGTGCCGATCAAATCAATCAAATTTCTTGGTAGCTGTGTCCGCATTGGCATGAAAGGGGAGGGGGAGAAGGAGGTTGAGCAGCAGCAAGCAAAGGGGGGCTGTAAAATTTTCATCCGCCCTGAAGGCCGTTCCGCTGTATAAAGCAAAGGTGGAGGCGATTTGCCATTTCTTTCGTGTGTTTTGGCACGTTTTGATTAAATGGGGGTTTTCGGAAGTTTTCTGGACTTCAAATGGTCTTTACTGGAAGTGGCAATTTATTATGGTACTTTGAAGGGTCTATAAATTCAAAACCCTTGTTTGATTGCTTATTTACAAGGTGCCCCACCCTTTTTACAACTTACCCCTTGAGCCCGTAAATTGTGACAATCGCAGTAGGAAAGTGGTCCGATCAGCGTAAATACGTTGTTGATCGTTCTCCTTTACAGCAGCTCCATGCAGCACTACTTTTATCTCTTTTAGTATACTCTCTCTCATTGCAAAACAGGCCTTATTTTTCTAAAAATCCATTAAAATGGCAACTTAGTTGAACTAAGCTAACTTTATTTCTTCTTCTTCTTCTATCTAACGTCGTTTGCTGTAGTATAAATCTAGGTGCCTTTGTTTTTAATTATTTTTATCCGTCTAGGGCTTTCTTTTCTCTCTTTCTCTCTCTCTCTCTCCCGCTCCCTAGCTTGTGCTCTGTGCAGTCGAGCTGTCACCACGGATCACTCGCAACCATACATAAATTATCCTCCCCGCACATTTTGATACGCCACCCCCTGAAAATTTGACCACCCGCCGCAGTGACGCCACGACCAGGCCCGTACGGGAGCCGAGATTTCGGGGGGGGGCACCCACCCAAAAATTTTTTGGCGACCTCCCCCCTCCCCCGGTCGCCACTTTCAAAACATTCGCAAATAGCGACAATAACAGCGCCGCAGGCGAAAAAAATTAAAAAAACCGCGTTTCTAACGCTTAAATTCGTGTGAAAACACATCGGAAACGGCACGCGCAAGTGAAATTTTGTTCAGCAAAAATGGTGCACTAATGAAAACGAGCGCCGCAGGCAAAAAATTTTAGAAAAATAGGTTTTTTAGAAGTAAAAATCGTTTCGAAACAGTGATAATCAGCGCCGCAGGCAGAAAAATTTGTGCGAAAAAAATCATAAGGGTCCCCTTATGAACTTTTCGGACCTCGACCGATTTCGGGGGGGGCACCGTGCCCCCGGTGCCCCCCTCGTACGGGCCTGGCCACGACTCACTGCATTTTTTATTTCCTTCTTTGATTGTTGAAGTTACAATGAATTAATTTTGGATTTTTATTCCAAAAATAGCTTCTGAAAATTGAATAACTACACCCTATCTTAGTGTTTTTATACCCATATTATATATTTCGATTTTTTTTAGAAACAAGTGACCGGCAGCTCTTCCCTGCTCTACCTGAAAGGCCTGAAGCCGCTCACCGAATACACGATATTTATTCGAGCTCAAAACGAAGCCGGAAACAGTCCACAGAGCAAGGCCATCACAGCAACTACCCTCGGTTGGTCGATGATTATCAATTATAAAAATTATAAGAGTTATAAAAGTTATAAAAATTTAAATTCTAATTTTTATTATGAAAATAATATAGTTATATTTTTACAAAAATAAAAATTCTATTTGAAAAAGCTTGAAAGCTATTTAAATGCTTCTTAAAACGAAGTTCAATCGATAAAATAGCTAGCCTCAGAATGACAAGCTTTTATCTCATTCTGACTATAGGGTTTCTCAGTTGAGTTCTTCAGTATTCCCGGGAACCTAATAGCTGAAAAATGGAGAAGCCGTGCTTGGAAAAGCCCTCTGGAAAACTCTGGCCCTTTTGATTATTCTCCTTGTTCTTTCGTTGACCTCCTCCCCCCCCAGAGGGTCCCGACCGGAACAAAGGGCTGCTGCCGGCGAGGTGGCCGTCTCGAATTTCATGCGCCTGGCCCCCCGATCAAACAGTTCCGAATCGAAGCCCTCCCCCGGCTTCATTCAACTCAATGATGTGCATCGGTTTTTTGCAACCCCGCGTCAAAAACGAACGTCTGCACCGCACCGTTCCTCTAAATTCTGCGCTTCTCTCTCCTAGCCCCCGCCCCCGCTTTTACCTTCTTTTCTGCGATACACAACCCCGCGTCGTTTGCTCCGTGGCTTACACGCGCTCAGGAAACACGCACGGCTTTTCGTCCCAAATCGCAATTCACTCGTGCCACAGTCTTTCTGTAACGCCCCCCTTTGGTTTATTGAAGCGATTAATAATGGGCTACCGCTTTTCCAAGCATCGACATCGTGAGTTGATTAATTCGATGTTGCGACGGGTTGGGCGGCAGTTTTTGTGGTTCTGAATTTTGGTTGATTTTATTGGGTTTTTCGGAAAATTGGAACTGAGAGTGCCAGTTCCCTTATTTCATAAATTTTCTTAGCGCATGCTTAATGCGAAAAACAATAATCTTTAATTTTTCATACGTTAGTTTTGCATTTAACTGCATTATGATAAGATCTTCTTTCTTAATATTATAAATGTTTAGAATTCTTAAATTTGCATTGACATGAATATCGGGTCTCTCGTAGTCTAATTTTGAAAGCGCCACATGGCATGTCTGAATAACGACGTAAAAGACCAAAAATTGTTTTCTTTTGCCGCGATATTCCTTCCCCCGTTAAGCAACTTATACCTATGTCAAAGAACTTACAAAATCATAAGTCTTGAAAATTTTTAATTTATTTCCACTTACAGATTCCACCATGGAGAACGGCCTGTTCCACTCCATAATGCAAGGAGTAAACCAAATGGCCCCGGGCCTCACCATAACCGCAGTTCTCATAATCTTTGGTGTCGCTATCGTGACAATGACGTGTCTCCTCATCACCTGCGTCTGCTGCTGCAACCGAAAAAGCAAAAAGGAAAAGAAGATGAAGACAAGTAACCCATTACCAACGTCTTTTTTCAAAAAGTGCTTTCAGCTCCAACCGGGAAGTATCTGGATACTTCATACCGTATCTTCAACGAACAGAAAGCGCAGAAACCATCGAAGGGGGAGCACTACGTGAATGAACATGTTGATGAATCTTCACCGCTTAAAGGAGTAGGTTCAGATCATTTTTGTGTATGAAACAAAAAATTAAAAAACATTTTTATGAAATCTAAACGTCTTTTTTTAGCTATCCGGAATGGGCAACCACGAAATGTCAATGCCAAACCTTTATGGTGATGTTGTGGCACATGACCAAGACGCCGAGTACGAACCACACCTCCACTACCCTGCCTCTGAGAATAATTACGTCAACACTGGGACCTTGAATCGTTAGTAAAAGTCTAAAACGTTATATTATTCGGTTTAGGCAGCGGTATCTACGACACAACCCCTACCGCACGGTACTTCTGCCCGGAAAATGGGACAACGCAGGAAAGAGTGGTGAAGAAGCGCGGCTACTCCTTCCCAACCCCTCTCACCCAACCTCTCCTTCCGGTTCTATCGACACCTGAACAGATTATTGGCTTCGAGTGAGTATCTCAATATATTTATCATTGGATACAGAATTATATAATTTCTAACTTTATGTTTTATTTGCCCATTTATAATTATAATTTTTATAATTTAGCAACCCCGACGCCCTTCTGTTTTCGCCACCTGATGCGGCTTCAAATAGCCTCGGCGGTTCCTCTGAACCGCAAACGGCTACCACTTGCGACAGTCCGCCGCATCCATTGTAAGTTTTGTTACTACTAAGCCAGTCTCTGAATTGAATAATTATAACAAACACTTATCATACTTAACTTTCAGCGGCGGCAGCGTAAGCGGTAGTGATCAAGGCCCCCGTAACGGTGGCTACTCCTCTCGCGGCAGCGAGCTCTCCACCGAGGGCAACAAGCTGCACACCTTCAAGCCCATCACAAACCCCAACACCACCTCTTTCACAAGCACTTTTGACAAAAGAAGTAGAGATGCCGCTAATCACTACGTTTTATAGTCATATCCACCTTATACTCATTCAGCGTTTTACTATAAATGTCAGCTCCTCTTCGGGTTCTTTTTCCTGTGTTTTATCTACTCTGCCCCTCCACTTTCTAACCTCTATCCAGGAATATTCTTTCAGCTATCAAATATCACTACGAATGCTTTTCAACCGCCGCTAATGGTATAGATACGGGTCTATTGGAGTAGTGTGTCGTATCTATCGACTCGTCAGTTCCTTCAATATCCCCCTTACACGCCCCTCTTCTCTGATCTCAAGAGAATTCCATCTATTATCGCAATGCGCTTACTTACCTTTGCCATGTTTGACCGGATTCTTGAATAAATGTTTTGAATTTGACATCGAAAAGCAGTTGAGAATGAGGCACTTTACAAAGGGCGGCAAGTGCGACTGTAATATGATCTGAGCCAGAGTTGGTGGCTCACAGACAGCGACTAGTTGCAACTGACATATTCAAATAAGCTAAAAGTCTATATTTAATAATCGTTTTGTCTTTGAAACATGGGACAATTCGCTACCAAATCAGCACGCAAAATTTCTCGCAAAATGTCCATATTCTCAAGTAGAGGTATTTGAAAGATTGTTTTAATCGACTTCTATGCATTTTCCAGAATCCAACATTGAAAGCGCGGTAACAAAAGAAATGGATGCCGCTAAAGACCGCTATAAACCGGAAAGTCTGGATTTATTAGTTCAAGAAAGCTCCTTCACCAAAAATGAACTGAAATACCTATACCAATGCTTTAAACAAGTATAATTTTCATCTTTCCCTTTAACCCAAAAATTTTCTAGAACTGTCCCTCCGGTTATGTCACTCGGGCTGAATTTGTAGCAATATTCCGTCAATTTTTTAGCATGCATCGATTGTCAGGTAAGTTGGGAAATCTAGTCGAATTCTTTTAGATCCATCTGCATATGCTAATCTGGTTTTCGACACTTTTGATGATGACAACAATGGTAGATTGAGTTTTTCGGTAATCATGGCTTTTTCTAGAGGCAAGCTTTTTCAGGAATTTGTGCAAGAATTGTCAATGTTCAGCAAAGGGACTATAGAAGAGCGGTTGGATTGGGTTTTTGATTTGTATGATACACATCGAAGGGAATATCTGACTGAAGATGATTTTCAAAAAGTTGCAATGTGAGTGTTAATTCGGTTCTTGGATGTGGTTGCGATTTTAGAGCAATGTATGGTATGGTCGGAATACATTATTGGAAAGACAAGCATATCCCCGTTGACCTACGTCGTTTGTTGAAAAATCAGTTTCAGGTTTAATGCAAACTATATACCAAAAGTTTGCCTAGAAACTGGATACAAACAGTGATGGCAGAATCACTCGAGCTGAATTTATCGAAGGATGTTTGAAAAGTCAAGATCTTCTGGTATCCATCGACAATCTAAAGGTCTATTGGTGATGGTTGCTTCAATAAAAATATTTAGAAATTGTTTCATCCCTAGACAGGACACATATAGACTTTCCCAAAGTGCAAATACAGTCTCCCCATGCTAGCCAGGTCATGCTCCCCCAAAAACAGCCAGACATCCCCCCGTTGTAGTGCTATTCCCAGCATACACATCCATGCCTATGTAAATGCGCGGTGACCGAGATTCCGCTTTTGTCTTCTTTTTAGGGTCTGACCCCCCAGTGGCACAAAACGTTGTTGAAACGGCCTCCCCCGTGGGCTATCACCCTCCTTTTTCGGTCATTTCTTGAGGCTGGTGGTGGGGGAAAGTCTTGGGGCCGCCTAGGGCATTTGCGGCATCTCGATCCGCGATTTGACCCGGTTCACGCCATTCCGGACGAGTTCTTCTTCGCCTCCCCCCGCAGCAAAGCTTAGCTCGACCGCCCACTCTTTCCCTCTTTGGGGACGAGTCTTAGTAATCGCTTCCATTTTGGGAACGGTTAGGTGCCCTTTTATTGATTTGGTGGCTAAGGCTTTAAAGAACACTAAAAGGCGATAATATTTTCTCTATTTTATACAGATCCATTAATTTTAAGCAATTTGGGATAGCCTAAAGACGACAATGCGGCTAGATATTCTAATTCTAAGATTCGCCGGTGTAGAAACTGCTAATTTTTAAAGTGCTGCCGTCTAAGCTATGCTTTTGAAGCGCTCTCAAAAGGAGTTGGACGTCCACACCTAGTACGATTTGCGCCTAGCACTATCTCTCTCTCTCTCTCTCTCTCTCTCTCTCTCTTTCTCTCGCTCTCTTTGACATCTCTCTCACGCTACGTAAATATCGACCTTGAACAGGCACTTTTAGCGACGACTTAATAAATACCGTGATCCAAAAAGCCGCTGGCTGACAAGGCTTTTAATTCCAAATGCAATCAATTTACATATTTGCCATAACCAAATCTATCTTTTTTTCTACCCTAACCCTTGACCCTGCTACCCTGGAATGTAAGCCGCCCCATTGTCAAACCCGCCCACAAAAAACCCAAAACGAGCTCTGCCCTCCCCCGGAGGCGGATCAACGGAACCGTAATCCAACTTGTCCCGTACGTACAACATCCAGCAACAATTCACCCCTCATCCAAATCTCCAGAATCGGCTTCAACCCCCTTAATAATCCTAATTTAACCCCCAGACCAATCGGGTGAATAACGAGCTGTGCTCTCATGCTCCTTCCCACTGCAACCCGTTCTTCAACTGTCTAGATCCACCTCTTCAGCCCGGGTGAATACCCCCCCCCGCTTCTTGTTTTCATTAGCTTTTGCGAGAAATGGCCGGGAATGGCCGTCCGGTTCCGGCTAGCCTCATCCCGTATCACATTCTCCCCCCGCGCTCACCCATTCGATTCGGCTTTCCATTTTTTCGCCTACGGGCTTTCCACAAATCGAGGGCGGCAATATCAGTCCTGTTTGGTCCTCGAAATCTCTTAAGGATTCCTGGGGATTGCAATTCGATTAGCGATCAATTGATTATTTTTCGTGTATTTTTGCAGCAGGATAAAGCAGAAGTACGCACTTTCAAAGGGGTTTAGAAGTGAAAAATCAACCGTTGAGACATTTTGGCTAAGTTTTTTTTTACTTGACTACGTTGAAGTGATCATAAAATTGTACTCTCACGACTCACAATTCTAATAACATTTATAGTTCTCTATAAAACCTTATTTCCATTTTAATCATTGCTCAGGTATAAAAGATGCGCTGGCTCGTGCTGGCCCTCGTCCTCCTCCCAGCCGCCCAAGCACAATTCTTCGATTTTGGCGGCTCAAACGTCAATGACGATTCGGCCTATGCCGACCAGTTCGGATTCAAGGAATCTATTGCTGGATGGTCGGATGTGCTGAGGAAAATGGCGCACAAGCAGCTATTTGGAGCGTAAGTCCACGAAATTGCTCCCCGTATGTCCTACCCAGGCCCACGCCTCCGCCAGAGCTCTTCCAAAAAGTTGCCCCGCCAGCTGATGTTGACAAAATTGACCCGAGGAGTATTCAGAGTAAGAAGAAGGATATTATTAATCCAAAGCTGTTGGATTTGATCTTGCCGAGGTTGGTCAGATAAGCCGAATTAAAAATATTTTATTTAGGTATAAGGGCGAAGCGCCGGTTTTGCTGAAAACGGTTACGACAGAAGCGCCTACTAGTACTACTGAAAAGCCAAAGGTATACCAACGATCATTAGTCAGCTATCAAGAAAATTCATTCAGACTCTGAAACCATCTAAGAAACCGACGACAACTGAAGCACCAGAAGATGACGAGGAGGATTCCGATGAGGACGACGAGGATTCTGAGGTTTACATCACCCAAAAACGTACTTCTGCTTTAGGAAAATCTGACTGATGATGAGGCCGAAGAAGAAAAGATTGAGGAAACTGAAAAACCAACAACCGAAGCCACCACCACAACGGTCAAGCCCACAACTGAGACCATCACTACAACATCTGTGACCGCGACAACGGAAGCTGCTAAAGAACTGGTGGAGATTTCTAATAAGATTCTTGATTCCGTACAAACCACTGTTGCCGCAACAGAACCTACACCAACTAAGAAAACTGAGTCATCCACTACGGCCAAGCCCACAACAACCAAGAAACCCAAGTCAACTGCGAAGACAACCAAAAAGCCGGCGTCGAAAGGACCGGTGATCGATAGCCAGTTAGAAGCTAAGATGAAGGAAATGATGCGGGATATCTTTGAAAAGGAGTTTAAGAAGAAGATGGAGAATTCGTCGAAGGATTTGAAGAAGGAGCTCGAAAAGCAGAAGGAATCGTTGCTCAAGTCTGCAACGGAAAGAATGAGCGATTTGTCTGGAAATGTGTTGATTGCTGACCTGGCTAGCAAATGGACCGATCGCAATGGCTCGACAACTAAAAAGCCCGAGGTAAAGAGCACCACCGAGGAGTCAAAAACTACATCTGGTAATAGCACTGAAACCACTAAATCCGTCACTTCTACTACGGTAAGCTCATCAACCACCGCAAAAGCTACAACTGAGAAACCAAAGGCACATGATGAATCAAGCACTAAGGAGGGCAAGAGCACATCGCCTAGCACTACCAAAACCCCCACAACCACAAAGGCACAAGACGTGGAGAATAAGGATGCGACCACCAAATCTGCACCGAAGACAACAACCTCCAAGCCGAAAACGACGAAGAAAGTTGAGAAACGTTCTGAAGACAAAGCTAGCACTACTGGCAAACCGGCCACTGTGAAAACCGAAACAACGGAGACCACCAAAAAACCTGAAAGCCATGATAAACCCCCCACTACCACCAAGGTAACCAAAAAGGATGCGGAGCCCACCACTGAAACGCCCACCACCGCGACACCCACCAAATCCACCGCAACCGAAAAGGGTAAGATCGAAAAAGTTGAGCCCAAGGTCCAGAAGGCCGAGAAAAAAGATACCAAAAAGAGAAAATCCGAAAAGCCTGAAGCCACCACAACCACTGTAAAGCCGTCATCCACTAAAGAAACCACTGCCACTGTCACTGTCACTACCACTGAACCCACGACATCATCCAAACCTACAAAGCCCACACCTACCCACAAACGCAAACACCAATCAACCGAAGAATCTGAAATTGAGGAAGAGGACGATGAGCCTGAGGATGAAGATGAAGAAACTGGTGCTGAGGACTCAGAGGAGGATGAGTCTGAGGAAGAGCCAAAGCCTAAGAAGGCCAAGAAGGCTAAGAAGACAGCCGGAGGACATAAGAAATATGATGAAGACAAGGAATTTGAGGCAGAAGCCCGTCGGCTCAAGGAGACACCATTTGACAAGAGTGCCTTGAAAGTTGTGAAGGCCGTCGACTTGATTTCTGGGGTAGGGAGTGTGAAGGGGATGGTTGTGGAACGTGATTATTGGTTTTACCGGAGTGATCTTGGGTTGAAGTGGTGGTTCTAATATAATTTATCTAATAGCTAAGAGTTAAATCAGTTTTAATTTTTGATTTAGGAGATGGCTGAGGATCGTCCAAAGCCTAAAGGAAAGAAGGTAGAGCCAGAAGCTGAGGAAGAAGAGGAGGAAGAAGAAGAGAAGGACGAGAAGACAGATGAAAGGACAGAAGACAATGAAGATGCAGCCGATGAGATTGGATCTGAAGGATCGGAAGAAAGCAAACCTTCTGAGACAGCTGAAGCATCGGAAGAGGTATGAATTTTAACTTCGAATTTTCATCCATTGGCTCGAAGAAAATGAAGCATGGCAAAACAACTTTCAGGAGATTGAAGGCAGCGCAGAGGACGTGCACGAGAAAAATGATGATAAGAGCGCTATCGCAATGGCTGAAGCCGAAGAGATGGACACGACATTGACCGGAAACGATCATGTATGCGATCAAAAATATTCCTTAGCCTATTTTAGGAGGAGGAGAAGGGCTCAGGCATCCCAGAAGCTGAAGAGGCCGACCCCAATCCAGTCGAGGACAAGACTTGTAAGTATTTTAGTATTACGAACTATTAATAAACCGTTTTTCATTTTTAAATATTTTTGCAGATGAGGCAGCCCACGATGCTGTGACAGAAGCTTCCACGACCACAACCACTACCACTCCGAAATCAACCCAGACCGGACAAAACATCTTCAACCTACAGGTGAGCTGACGCTCGTTTTTGCTGCATGTGAAAATAGGCAAACTCCAATTCCGAAGCCAATCCGAACATTGCTAACGTGATCACCCCGGTTGCGGGAATCATTGATGGCATTGCTCCAATCATCTTCCCGTTCCTTCAAAGCCGCGGCTTTGCAGCTCGGGTATGTCTCCTGATCTTTTTTTTTACTTATGTCAAATTCAGGCTGCCGCTCATGGATCACCAAACTATCAGCCTGAGGGAAATCGAGGTATAGTTTTGAAAAAAAAACTATCATATTGCTCTGTTTAGACCTCCTCGAAGACGCAGCTCCCGAGACATCGCTAGTCGGACTTGGAAGCCAATTGGCTCGAGAAATTCTGGTCCCTGGATCTCTACAACGAGACCGCGAGGAGATGCAGCGTGCTATCCAGGCAAGAACCGCTGAAGCAAAGGTATAGCTTGGCAACGTTGCTTGATTTAAATATTTCAGGAACGTTTGAATGAAAAAGAACGGCTCCGTCTGGAAGAAACGGCCAAGCAGGAAGAGATTAGACGTGAACTGATGGATGAGGTTGGATAACATTGTTTATAAAAATAACGTTTTAGGAGCGAAAGCTGAGCCTCGCATTCGGCAACAACCCACAGGCCAGAGAAGTTGACCCTAATCCAAATGTACAAGAGGTGTTTATTGGAATGAAACTCTTACCTGTATTTTTAGGCATTCGGTCAAGTCTCGGGAGCTTTCAAGCAAGATTTCGGACCTGCTGAGCTCCCACAAATCATCACCGGAGGTCCCGATGGCATTCCCATTCCTCCTCCACCACCACCCGGCTACCGGCCAAAGGTTTGTAGCGTACTCGATTATCTTTTGGCTGTTAGAGACTAGTTCTAATTAGCAATTAAATGCATGCTTATTTCAGGGCTACGATGGCCCCCTCCCTCCGGCCGATTTCCAGCCAACGGCCGTCGAAGAAGTGAGTGGCGGGACCAAAAGGAAGCCAGCTTACCACACTTTAAAATTGCCGGTAGTTAGAAGTCATAGTGACTGCTGCATGTTTCAATCGCATGTTAGATTAGTTACTGCTAGAAGCGTTACTTCCTAAAAATTATCAGATGCTTTTACAGCGCGCTCAACCGGAAAGGCCGCAACCGCGCTCATTCAAGCAAGAGCTGCAAAACTTCGAGCAGCAAATGAAGAATAACCAGGCTCAGCGAAGTAAGTGGAGCTTAGTGATCAGAACATTAACGTTTGCGTGAAATTTATAACATTTTTGTGTGTGCTACTTACGTTTTAGCAACACTTACTAACGGTATTGATGAGGATTACGCTGACACTGGGGCTGGAGGTGTAGAAAGCACTTTTATTGGGAATTCAGGTATGGTGCGCATACCCAAAGAAAGAATTAGTTAAAAATAAAATACAACCATATTTTTAGGCCTTATGACTTTGAATTCCGGGGCTCCACCCCCAGGAGCTGATTTTGGAGGGGCCAGCAGCTTCGATGTCAAGAACCAAGCAGCCCCAAAAATCAGCCCAGTTAAACCACAGAAAAAGGTAAATAATTAGTTTAAATACCGAATTAAAATCCGTGATTTTTAGCAAGCATTCCACCCGAAACAATCTGGCGTCCTCAGCTTCGGAGGTGGCAAGGGCCCAACAATGTCATTCGATGAGGTCGAAAAGCAGACGAACAAGCAGGAAGTGAACTTCTTCGGCTAGACCCACCCCAACGTTGCCATCATTACACCCCAAAATCTCAATTCATTACATTCCTATCCCACACCTGTCATTTGCTTCCTCAGTGTTCCGCTTGTGCAATGTTGTGCCCTTGTGATGCCGGTCCATTTTTGTTCAACTTTGCATGCCCATGCCAAAGAATTAATAAATTAATATAAGCTGATATTAACTGTGTTCGGTAGTGAAGTTTCTCGTAGGGAGATTGGAATGAACTAGTCTAAAAATTTATACGGAAGATCTAGAAGTACTTACAAATTAATTTCGTCACAAATATTTGGGAAAAACAAAAATTATAAATTTGCTGTGTGGGCGCTTTGGGACTACGTAGCGTAATGCGCTCGATTGCACCAAATTCATCGTTATCGTCGATTCTCAGGCCAATTTTGATCAGGTCTATGCTTATTAAATTTCCTAAAAATCCCGGAAACGATGCCAGAATCGGAATTCATGTGTTTTACGTCCAATCCAATCGTTCTTCAGACGTCGTCTGAAGAACGTCGTCACGTTGCGGTCGTGGTTGGCTATTTGCCAGGAATGTCGGGAGTGGTCCAGGCTTTTTAGCACATTTAAAGCGCACGTTCAAGGAGGGGCCGTTTACTCGTCCCAACGTGTACACCCTATGGACGTAGGGACCGCGCGCACTGCCTGCCCGTGGCGTGGCAAGGAATTTCTCTCCTTTGCGGCGTGGGGCGCCCCTCATCCCCTCGCCAGGTTGTAGCTGTGGCTGACTGGTATCCATCCGCGCCTCCCAAGCGGAGGGCTCGGGTTCGACCCCCGGCCGCGGCCAAAATCTTTGCTTTTTTCCAAAAAACGTCCCAGAACGTGCCCTTTAAAGATAGTCAGTCTGTCAGCAGCACCGTATTTCCATAAATCGTTCCAAAAAATTAAAAATTTCCACGCCATTTCCATTTCTATTTCCATGCGAGTCTCGCCGCGGCTCGCTCTCTACACGCATTCAAATATTTCCAAGCCGCTGGAAAACCGGCGCCAGAAAGCCAATTTAAAAAACGTTTCGAAAACTAGGTCCAATGATCTCGGGTGCAAATGTTTTCTTTAAAATATCATCCGTTAATCCTTATCTAAATTCATCTCATCGCACATGTATGGGTGGGGGGGGGGGCGAGAACTTGTTTGCCCATCAATGATCGGCCACAGCGATATCCCGGGTTGAGGAATGTCTGGGATAGTTCAGGCCACACGGTGGGCAAAATGAGCAAGAGGGGGGATTGGCTGAATCTCCTACGCATTTACGTAGATTGGCGAGGTAGCGAAAGCGTTGTTGGGCGGAAGGATATCGTGAGAAAAACGGGGGGTTTCGGGTAAACAGGGCGTACTCTTGGGGTGTGGGTGGATGACCTTCGATGGAGCTTAGCTATAAAAGGGATGGGTAAGCTGTAATGCGTACCACACGTTCGGATTTTGAAAATAATGAGAGCCTACGCTGTTGCTCTTTCTCTTCTTGTGCTTATTGCTGCGGCTTTGGCGTGAGTTATTAGTTTTAATCGATTACGTGGTATTAAGCTAGTTTTATGTTTTTCATCTAAATTTTTTAGTGCTCCCCAGTTCGGCTTCGGAATGGGTGGACGTGGAGGATTTGGACGCGGTGGCTTCAACCAGGGCTTCAACCGTGGAGGCATGATGGGACGTGGTGGCTTCAACAACGGCTTCAACCGCGGAGGCATGGGCATGGGCGGCCGTGGAGGATTCAACGGCGGATTCAACCGATTCGGCTAAATGCAAATTCAAATCGCCACCAACGACCCTGCTTTCTACCTCCTGGCTTTAAAAAGCGCCCCACGAGCTCTGAATATTACATAAAAATTAACAATTTTTTCGGCCACATCTGATCTCGAAAACACTTGTAAATACAAACACGTGCTTGTGGAACTGCCCCGCAAAGCGCACGGCATCATAAATTTTTTTGGTGTGAAAACGTGACAGGAAGCGGCTCTCTCACCTAAAATCTCAGCTCGCCTCGCATTCCCGAGATCCCGTCACTGGTTGATCGATTATTTGGGCGGATGATAAGCCACGAATAAAAATCCAGGGGGACGCTGGTGCGCACTGTTAATTGATTTTATTAGCATGAAATGCCGCTGAATACCTATGATGTGGTGGTTATTGGGGCGGGGATTATGGGTAGCTGTGCGGCTTACCATTGTCAAAAGCGAGGCCTAAAGACGTTGCTGCTTGAACAGGTGAATTTCATTTAACGCCCTGATCATGGCATTTTCAGTTTTCACTCGGTCATAATAAGGGCAGTTCCCATGGAAAGTCACGCATTATTCGATACGCACATACTGAAGGCGTCTACTTACCTATAGTGAGAGATTCCTACGCTCAGATCGAAGAACTCGAAGCAAAAAGGAATGAAAAGCTGTGGAAGTGAGCGTTTTCCACTATTTTATGGGTTGCGTTGATAGAAATTGTGGCCTACTCTATATGACAAACGCGAAGGATGCCAAAATCATTGCGGCCCACCTCAGCGCCCATAAATGTGAGAATACAATTATCCCTGGGAAAGAGGTACTTTGATTTTAGGCGTATTTTTTGCATGTTTAGATTAACACAAAATATCCTCAATTTGAATATGACGAGTCGTGGAGCGCTGTTTTTGACCCGAAAGGAGGAGTTCTTTATGCTAATAAGTGGCTCCACGCCTTCCAGGCATTACCAAATTTTTAATTTGCTAATGAGTTTTTAAGGACGAATTTGTCAAATTGGGCGGGAAAATAATAGAAAAAGAAAAGGTGCTGTCTTACCGTGATACCGGGAGTCGCGGCGTTACGATTAGTACACTGAAGAACGTCTATAAGTCGAAGAAAGTGATTTTTGCCGCTGGGACTTGGCTCCAACAGTTGGCTCCCGAATTGGTGCCATCTATCCGGGCACAGGTGGGTTTTTAGTTTTACTTAATTTAAATAGAATGATTTAGCCTGAAGCCATATGTGTAGCTTATTGGAAACCGAAACGGGAGGAAGATCTACATTATTTTACCGAAAATGAGATGCCGGTGGCGATTATGGATAACGTTGAGACCGGAGAGTTTGTGTATGGGCTTCCGAATGTTGACTATCCAAATGCTATTAAGGTTATTTGATTTTACATAAATATATCTGATCTGTTCAGTTTGGATTCCATGGTGGTGATGGGTACAATATTGGTGACGATATTTCTTCGCCGAACCAGGAGCTGATCGAGCGACCAAGACGGCATTTACAACTTCACTTGAAGATGATCGATGCCTCAGCCCCAGTGAAATTGGATAGATGTAAATATACGGTAAGCAAAAATAGCGCGTGCCTAAATTTTTAGATGTCCCATGACGATCACTATGTTATCGACCGACTTCCAGAAAGCAAGAATATATTCTTCACTGGTTGCTGTTCAGGCACGGGTTTTAAGGTATCATCAAGCAACAGTCATCAAATTTTCATTAAATTCAGGTAGCCCCAGCAATCGGCAAGGCCCTAGCATGCTGGGTGAAGAACGAGAAGGCCCCATTCGACCTGAGCTTCTTCTCACTGAAACGATTCGAGAAAAGCAAACTATGACCCGTAGTTCAGTTCCGAATAAAGTCGTTAGCCGCCGATTCGTCTATGCCCGCAGTGGCCGGGGGTCTGCAGCATCGATTTGGGTGGTTGTTCTGTTTGATGGTGAGATTACAAGTTGCGGATGATGAGTGTCCTGGTGTGCGTCGGGGCATTGTTTGACAAGTCTCATACACGGCTCATCCACGCCTGGGCTAGTCGAGCTTCTTTCCGGCTATCGTCTGGACAGCCCTTTCGTCGATTGTTTGAGAGTGTCAATTTTGGATTCTGAATTTTGAAAAATGAATTTTGTATCTGGAGTTGTTGATATTATCAAACCTCGGTGAGTTTTTTATAATAAACTTTAAAGCTCCATTGTTTCTACAATTTTAATCTACGTTTTATTTTCTAGAATTGACGACTCTGGAGCTGATCGTATGAATTATTACTACACCACTATGATTATTATGGGAGTTTCCGTAATGATTTCTGCTAGGCAGTACGTTGGCTCCCCGCTTCAATGCTGGGTTCCACCACAGGTATAGATTAAAAATCTATATATAAGGATATATCTAGTTCTCCGATGCGTGGGAACAATATGCAGAAAATTATTGTTTTGTGTATAATACATATTGGGTCCAACCGGACCAACAAATACCGGCGGATGTGCAGAACAGGTAGGAACATGCCAAACTTTATTTTTGCATTTTTTAGGGTTGCTACCCAGTTAATATACTACCAATGGGTACCATTTATAATGGGCTTAGAAGCGCTGTTCTTCTTCTTACCTGCAAAAGTGTGTTCGAAATTACTTTCTGTCTATATACGCCAATTTGTAGGTGTGGGGCTTGATGAATCGTAGCTCTGGCATGAATATAGAAAGTATGGTCAAGACGGCGCAAAGTGCAGATGACGCGGATGTAAATTACATTTTGATACTATTTATGCTTTTGTTTAGACTGCAGATCGAGAAAAGGGCATAGCCATTATTTGCCTACACCTTGAAGACTGTATCAAGCTTCAAGCGGCCAGGCGCGAAGGAGCCACTTTTTGGAAGCATATCGTTAAATTAGGAAAGCTAGATGGTACCTATCTGGCGAAGTAAGCCATATTTCAATATCCAAACCGTTTAGTGTCTATTTCATCACAAAAATCCTCTACCTCATCAACCTGGTGCTACAATTCTTGGCAATGAACCAATTCCTTGGGCAGAATAATCACCTATGGGGCGCGACGATTATGTCTGATATTATCAGCGGTTCGAATTGGGAGGATACAGGTGTTTTCAACATGTTTTTATTATTTTTGATTTTAGGAAACTTTCCTCGAATCGCCATGTGTGATTTTGAGGTGCGTGTTATTGGCGGATTCCACAGATACTCAATCCAATGCATGCTCGTCCTAAATATGTTCAACGAAAAGATTTTCCTGTTTTTGTTTTGGTAGGTTTTTTAATGTGCGTATACCTTTATTTTCAGGTGGTTTGTCGTCGTATTCTTCTACACTCTCATCGATACATTTCAATTGCTATTGAAAAATCGGCTTCATGGAAGTCAAGCTAAATACGTGAGAAAGTATGCTAATTTCGATGTCCTTAAACATGTATTATTTTAGATACCTCACCCTTCGAGGTACTGACGAGCTCTTTGTCGACCAATTCTGCACCACCAAAATATCGACCGACATTATGATCATATTGCGAATAATTACCAATCATTCGAGTGAATTTGTGACGAGGGATATATTGGCGTTGCTGTGGAAAGATTTTCGGTATTCTTGTATCCAGAAAACCTAATAGAACTCTTAGAAAAAATATACATAATGATACTCACGACAGTGCGCTCTACGATGAGACGAGATCATTAACGAAAGCATAGGAATTATCAATTATTTATACTATTGAATAAACTATGATATACTAGCAAGGTTTTGTACGGCGACTAGACAAATACAAAAAAAAAATGAAGAAACCAGGAATTTCATCAATGTTGATTTTCTTGCAATATTACCATTTCGACTTTGTACGCTAGTTGCGTACATAGTTGTGCAGTGTCCACTTCTGATTGCAGACAGCACTTGGAGATGGAGGAAGGTCGCAATGGACGAGGTGGGGCCCATGTTTGCTTTGTATCAGCGACACTCACCCCGGCAGTCGCTAAATGATTAGTTCCTTGAATTACAGCAGATTTCTATACTTCAATTTTGCTCATAATTTAAATCCCCGCAGCTATGAATGTTATTGGAAGTGTTCTGAGCACCATTAAGCCTAGGTAAGTTGTTAAAGGGGAGAGAGAAGTAGGAAAATATACTGTTTAGGGAAGATGACCTCGGGTCTGATCGTATGAATTATTATTATACTACAGTCATGATCATGTTTGTTTCAATTACTATAACGATGAAACAACAAGTTGGAAACCCATTGCAATGCTGGGTACCACAACAGGTATTCCCTCTTTGTAACCTAATTTCCCTATATTTGCATATTTCAGTTCAAAAAACCGTGGGAACAATATGCAGAAAATTACTGTTTTGTATATAATACATATTGGGTGAATCCAACGGAACTAGTGCCAGATTCAGTCCAAGAAAGGTAGGATAAAGCTTGATTAAACTTACAAAATGGCTAACTTCATTTCAGAATCGCTAAGCAATTAATATATTACCAATGGGTATCATTTATTATGGGACTTGAAGCCTTTTTCTTCTACCTCCCGGCTGCAATATGGGGAGCGATGTATAGAAAATCTGGGTTGAATATACTCAGTATGACTAAAGCAGCTATTGAAGCTGAGAAAGCGACGGTAAGCTCAATGTTTTGATATGTAAGATCTATTATTTTTTAGGATGAAGCTGTCCGTTTGAAAAAACTTGGCATTATCAAAATGCACTTCGCTGAGTACGTCCGAGTCAATGCAAATCGGAAAAAATATAATCCAACTTTATTCAAGAGAATGGGAAAGTTTGGGCTGGTTGATGGCTGCTTCATCAGCAAGTAAGTCTTTTTTACTTATTATTTCATAATGTTTAGTTCCTATATCTTTATTAAATGCCTCTATATGCTGAATATAATTGGGCAATTCTTGATGCAAAACCAATTCCTTGGGCAATATAATCACTTATGGGGTGCTACAATATTATCTGATATTATTAGTGGTTCGAATTGGGAGGATACAGGTATTTTTAGTTAAATAATTGAAGTCTAATCGCAATTTAAGGCAATTTCCCTCGAATCGCCATGTGTGATTTTGAGGTTCGTGTGCTCGGGAATTTTCAGCGATATTCCGTACAGTGTGTCTTGGTGCTAAATATGTTCAACGAGAAGATCTTTCTATTTTTATATTGGTAAAGGATTTAGCGTAAAAATAATTGCTCATTTTTAGGTGGTTTATCGTCGTGTTTGCCTACACCTTCACCGACACCCTCCAATTAGCCATTCGTACCCGAGTCTCGGGCAAAAAAGAGGAATTTATCAGAAAGTATGTGTATTTTAGACGCTTCCAGTATCGTTTTTTATTTAGATACCTCAAAGTAGCTGTTGTTGATGAAGCATTACTTACCGAATTTTGCAAAAAGAAGATCAACGCCGATATTGTCATCATAATGGCAATAATCTCCAATCACTCAAGTGATATCATCACCACAGAATTGATCGAGCTGATGTGGAAAGAACACAGGTTTTATTTTTCTCTTTTTATCGATCCTTCTACGACCACCATCAGGGACACCATCTTCCCGCCAGTCAAACAAGATTCCGACCCAAATGGCGGCGAAAAAATTGGATTCGGACAAGAGCAGCGGAGACGAAGATGGAGACCACACTGGCAGGCAGTGATCACCCCCAGGCTCTTGTTGTCGTGTAACGTTCTAGGAATAAATAATTTATTGTCATGGAATGCAAAATATCATACGCTATCGCTCGGCAGTCCCTACCCAAAATCTGTAGATCAAAAAAATATATATGTATTGGCGGTGGTGGTGGTATTAAAAGGGGTGTGGCGGTGTTTTTACAGCTAGAAGCGGTGAACTATTCGAGGAGATAAATTACTAGGCACAGGGTGGTGGGAAAGGGGAGGAGAGATCATTATTTGATGGATTGGAAGTGGAGGGATGGGGATGGGTGGTTTGAGTAGTGGGTGGTGAGAATATTGTGCTGAACCGGGAAAGATCTTTTAGTATCCGTATCCCTCCTGGTTGTGGAATGGATTTGAGGTGGGGACGGGGGCGACGGGTGGAAGTTGTTGGGGTGGCATACCGCCGCCATTTTGGTAGGAACCGGCACCTACTCCGCCAACGGGTCCGATCGAACCGATTCCTGAAAATATGGATCTGTTTGGAAAGAAGTAGGAGTTGATAAAACGAGATTGGGATACGAAAGATACACCTTGTGGTACCTCGACCTATCTTTTGGACTTTTTTAAAAAGACAGACAGTTTGTCACCCGACCGGTGAAAGTATATTACAATCCATTAACATAACCCACCACTCGAATCTCCTCCATAACCATATCCGGCCGCAACATCAGCCGGCATCTGGCTATACTGATCACCAAATCCTTCTTGCTCCATCAATCCCGTTGTCGCCCCCTCTTGGTGCTTCCGGAACGCGAAAAGCGCAACCCCAGCCTAATCCGCACCTCATAGATTTATTACCATCCCATACCCAAGCCGCTGCAGAGAGTAGACAAACTAGAATAGCCATCTTTGCCAACCTCCCGCTGTAGTCTTCCTTCAAATCAAATGCCGAGTATTTTGACCAGAATGTGAAGAAAGCGATGACGAAGATGGCCGCGAATGTGGCTGAAATTGCTTATTTAACAATTTAGGTAAAAAAAACCAACCAGAAATCGCCAAATCGATCGAGACTGCTCGTTTCCTTGATGGGATTGAAGTTATTTGATCAAATTTGGCATCCACTAAGATAAGATTAAACCGACATTTCCCAAACTCACAAATCAACAAGGCTAACGCTGCGGCCATCGCGAAAAACCCGAACGCACTCCCAAATGAACAAGTAGGAGCTGACGAATTGTAGAGGCAGATCTACAATTTACGTAATTATTTTCCAGTGAAAATTCTTCTCACGGGATGTATCGCCACCGACTTGTGCCATCCTCCCTTGGAAACACAATACCACAGCCCGGCCCCGAGCACCTGAAAATAGATCCTCAATTTCAGGGGGATGGTCGATGAAGGCGAGTGAAGCAACGATAAATCTCTTACCAGAGCCGCGCATTTCAAGAGAACGGCCGGCTTTTTGAAAAATGTGTTTGCGTCAAATCCCTGGACGGCAAGTCCGGCTCCGTAGGCCTTGATATTGTCCATGGTGCTGGAAATTCGTCTTTAGTGTTTAATGGGCATTGAAGAAATGTAATTATATAGAAGGTTCGGGGGGGGATTGGGAAAAATTCGAGAGAACTGTAAAGCTTTTAAGTGTATGCAATGGGTGGGTGCATTTTTGGCTAAATAGCACCTGGGGTCGAGTTATTTTCGAGCGACGTGTGGGCTGTAATTATCAGCGAGGTCTAGACGCACACGAAAAAAATACGGGATATTGCTATATCACCAGTTCATGTATATTAAAGTATGGTATAATAGAGAACCGGCAATAAAATTAATCGTAACCCTAGGGGGATTTTCTTAAGCTACCCAAAAGAAAGGGAGGACGAAAATTGGAAAGACACGTTACACTAACGTTTTACCACCATAAACACAAAATGTCAATATCCCCCAACAAGACACCAAACTGCTAAAGCCACAAATCTCCAGCCATAGTGCTGGTTTTGGGGGGAGAGCCTCGAGTTCGGAGGTCGGTTGCTGGGCCCCTGGCGGCTGGTCGATAGGGCCCCGGTCCGCGCACTCCCCCTCCTCCCCTTGGCCCTTCTCCTCCCAGTTGGACCAGGGGCCCTCACCACTGCTTTTTGTCTGTGTTCTTCTTTCTCTCGAAGCCCTCCTTCTTTCAGCCTTCAGCCCCCCTTCCAACCCTCCTAGAAGGGTGACGTCTCTTCAACGCTTCACCCCCCTTCGGCTTCCTCGTTTCCATGTTGCCAATGGATGACTGATGAACCGACAGATTAAAATGAGGAGAGGGAGGCGGAGTGAAGAGTCACGGCTTATTAAAAAGAAAACATGTTCTATCCGGGAGGAACTAGAAGTCCTTCTTATTTTATGTCGTGGCTTTCCGGAAATTATCTAACTGCAGACCAAAACATTTATACATTCAATAGCCTGAGATTTGTACGAGTGAAAATGACTGGTGGCAGATACTCTAACGTCCTTGCTGATTCCACGATCCCTGTCCTTGTCCTCCGAAGCCACCCTGCCCTCCTTGGCCTCCCTGGAACCGGTAAATATTTTATGAGCACCAAGTTTACCTGATCCCCAAATCCACCCTGGCCGCCAAAACCTCCTTGGCCGCCTCCTTGTCCTCCAAAGCCTCCCTGAAAATAAGCGTTCATTAGATTGGTATATTCGCCGTACCTGTCCTCCCATTCCACCTCGACCTCCGCCGTTCTGTCCACCAAATCCACCCTGACCGCCTTGTCCGCCTCCGAATCCGCCTTGGCCTCCATCCCGACCGCCAAATCCGCCTTGGCCACCGTTTTGGCCTCCGAAACCGCCCTGGCCACCACGGCCTCCATCTTGTCCACCGAATCCTCCCTGGCCGCCAAATCCTCCTTGCCCACCACGTCCGCCATCGTCTCCTCCAAAACCGCCTTGTCCACCGCGACCTCCGCCTTGGCCGCCACCGAATCCACCCTGACCGCCGAAGCCACCCTGTCCTCCGCCGTTTTGGCCTCCGAATCCGCCCTGAAAAGCGAAAATATTTTGACTGGTCCAGCTTTTCTTACGCTTCCGCCGCGACCGCCGCCACCGAAGCCGCCATCACGGCCACCATCAAAACCGCCACCTCCACGGCCACCGCCTCCAAATCCACCCTAGAAAATGCTTGGTTTCATTTTCATAGCTCGGGAATACCCGTCGGTCATCAAAACCATGATGATGATGGTGATGGTGACCGCCTCTTCCAAAAGGGTCGAATCCGAAACCGCCCCATTGGCAACTGAATATAAATTGTTTAAATTAATGTACACAAGACTCTTTTTCTAATCAGGATTTTAATGGTCCAAAACTTAAAATACCATACCTAACAACGCCAAGCACGGCAAGCAAAACAATAATCTTGCAATCCATTGAGAATCGATGAAATGGGACTGGGGTCTCCGGGGCGGCCGATAGTTTATCTGCTTGTACCGATCGGGGGATAGTCGACTAGAGTTTGGCGGATCTCTCCCTTTTCTCAAACAGCAATAGCGGAAGTCACACCTCCATCCCCCGCCTACGCCGTCAACCTCCTCGCAAAATGCGATTGAGCTCTCATCGTTCAACTCGCGCTTTGTTTTCCGGATCTTCTTTGAAAGGGGATGCGTCACAGTGTTGACCGAGGTTGATCAAAAAATCACCGGAAATAGGCCCGCCGAAATGTGACTCGTCTGGTTTCAGTGAAATTGCTTCCCTGGCGGCCTGGCTTTCGTAATAAAGTTTAAATACCTAGCATAAATATTTATTCCGAACTATAAATGGGATTTGTTCTTGAAGCGATTGATCGAAAAGGCTGACATGTCGTATGGAACAGGCTTTTCCGCAGCCATCAAACCAAGAATTCTTCCGATACCCGGTGCCATCTTAATAAAAGTGTGGTAGTTGTGACCAGAATTGTACGTATTTTTTATACCTTAAATCCACTGCCAGACATACAACCCGCCACAATCACATTTTCAAACTTTGGATGATGATCAATCACATACACCTTATCCGGCGACATCTAAAACAATTTCTCGATTTCCATTTTTGATCCTACCGTATATTTGCATGTTTGTAGATAGGCTGGATGCGAGCTTTCCAGAAGGGGAATATGTTTGGCGAGATGTCGCCCCGGATTCACAATGTTTTCATGACTGGGCGGCTTTTCAGCGTCCCCGATTTTGAACGGATCGCCATGATGATCGCAGAACTGGAAAAAATAGGATTTTAAAGGAACGATGAAGGCAGGTATCAGCCCTAAGGATTCGGAAAAATTAAAATTTGGAAACACACTATCACTTCTCTACCTTAATTGCATCAGCAAAATCCCGACACGGAAGTCCATATCCATCATCCCCAGTATCCTCATTGTGAACGATGAAAACTGGGAACTTATCCATTTGGAACAACGGGACATCTTTTGCCTCTTTCGGCCTCCAGTACGTGACCGCCATTCTCTCTGGCTACAAATCCCACTTATGGTTCCTCCCAAAATTCATACCCTAATATTGACGATATTATGAGTGTGCGGATCCAATTCTGGCAACCAAGTGCCCGCCGATAAAATGATCTTCTTCCCGAAATGCACCAGCCCGTTTTGCATCGTCACCGCACCATCCATAAAGTTAATAACCTTTTCGTTTTCGTGAATAGTGCCGCCGAGTGCAAGGAAGAGATTCTAACAAGAATTGGAAACTACAAGTATCATACCCGGAAGGTAGCATGCCATCTCTCGGCAAAAATTACGCCTCCAGCCGGATCAAACAGGGCCTTCCACTGCTCGCCATATTGAAATTGTGGGAACTTCTTGCTAATCTAAAAGCGTGGTACGTTCCTGTCCTTTTTGAGCCTCACCTGATGATGGTCCAAAACTTCATGCTCTAGCTCGTGCTTTTTCAAATTTCCGGAGATGGCATCGATTTGTCTCGGATTGGAAAGCCACATCAGACCCGTTTTTCTAGGCAATTCTTCAAAAGCATATTTCGTTTTCATACTGCCAAAGCTGGATTCCTAGCTGCGTTTCAAGCTCTTGGATTTGAAAATAGGTGTCCGCTACAATCGGAATGAACGGTTCTTCAGTATGGGCGTAGCGGGTAATCCTCGAATGTCCATGCGAACTTCCATTTGCATGGCCAAATGAATACTGAATAAATAGGTCAATTCTTTAAAATATTTTTTGAGTCACCTGTTCGAGAAGCAGCGTCTTCAGCCCCAGATTTTGGCAGTGAAAGGCTGCACATGTTCCGATGATGCCAGCCCCAACCACGATCGCATCATATTCCAGCCTTGGAGATTGTTTTGCGGATTTTCCAGCCATTTTGCCAGAAATTGTAGGAGTCGGACGCGTAGAACGGGCCGTTAGTAAATGTTCTCATCTTCTTTTTTCGCATGAGGGGTCAGCTACTGATAAGGAAGTGATAATTGGAAGTGAATCGATGGTTAAAAAGCTGGTTTCAGACTGAAATCACAAAAAAAAGTTTATTCTCCCTTATCAAAACTATTAAAAAGGCATATAGTATTTTTGAAGTCGTAAAAATATTTTTCAAAAATTGTCTATCGCGTCAAGAAGATCTATATTTATGTTTTTGTTCCGTATACAACAATCGGCTAATCGGTTTAAAAGTCTCACTCAATTAGTCGGGAGAGAGAGAGAGAGAGAGAGAGAGAGAGAGAGAGAGAGAGAGAGAAAAGAATTGAAGGGAAATTAGGATGTTCGTCTCCAGAGAACAAGATGATTATCGGTCTGTCTGGGAGAACACTAGATCGAGTACCTTTCTGCCACCTCACTATTGGCAAATGAACATCCTCAAATTGGTATATTTTCTCTATTTATGCTCCTCGTCAGCCGCCCTCAAAGATCCATTCTTAAAATTCGCAACTAAACACCGAAACCCAGCAATATCACCCTGTGCAAATTTTTATCGACATGTCTGCCCGATTAATGCGAAAACGATGGATCTCCCTAGAACAATTTTGATCCTGAAGGCAAAAGCCTATCGCAATAAAATTTGCATCCCCGAAATTCAGGCTGATCCGATATGGGTATGGCCTTTGTAGAATTATTGAAAGAAATTGTAGCAACATATTCATGACATGACCATACTATTCAACGACCGTAGCCGGGAAAAGCAACGAGTGGAATATTATATGCAGGAGCTTCGGTTAGGGTTTTTCCTTGCTTTCCATTGGATTTAGATGGCGATGTGGGCAAAATGAAACTTGTTATAACGACGCGGCAATGTTAATGGCTGATGTGGGCTTTGTAATATCCCAATAAAATTGGAAAATATAGCATGATCTTTATACTGGGGGCCCAATGCCAACCCCAAAAAGTCGTAGCATAGAAATTATCCGGGAATATATTCGTAAAGTTTATACGCGGATGATGTGGAAACAATTGAGAAACTATCAGGTCGGTGTTAATAAATTTCTAAATGGAATTTAATTCCTTAGACGATGAGCATGCTTCACAACACGATTCTGCTGCGATGTATGTTCAAAAACAACCTGATCCATCCCCGAATCATGGCAAACGGGAATGCCCTAATTTATGATATGTATCGAAGAGTATTCCGGGCTGCAAGGAAGCGAATCTTGGTTATGCGGTGTTCAAAAATCACGATTTCCATATAGGCCGTTCCTATTGACAAAAATCCCCGCAAGTATTTGGCTTTGAAAGACGTTGAATCCGCCGGGATCCATTCAGCATTCGATACTTACTCAAGAAATTCCATGCTGGTCGATTCTGTATATGAGGTGTACAAGAACTTGTTCGATGAATTGAAGCGGTGAGCCAAGCTTTTCGAACATTTGCGATGTTTTCAGTGCCCACACCCTCCTGGACATGAAAATCACCTTGAACAAAGGAATTGTCGGCGTCGATCACTTACTCACACAAGCTGATCTTGGCGCCTTCTATACCCAGCTAAAGCAATTCGAGACCTATAATGGTTTCTTCGTACGTGGAAAATACATAACATTGTTGGACATGACTTCAATGCTGTTCACGATGCGGGATTTCACCAAGAGTACTTACGTAAGTCTGAACAACAGACCTAGACCAAAGCTTCAGTACGCGACAGGAGTCCGAATCCTTGCGCACGAGCTTGGACATTCGTATATTACACCATATTGGCAAGGACTAGCCAGGAATTGCACTATTGAGCACTACCAAGAGACCTGCGAGATCTTCATCGAGGTGTTTTCTTCAACCAACCCTCACTCTTTCAGAAAAGCTGTAAAAGTGGAGAATTAACCTTCATCGAAGACTCGGCCGATATGTTCGGGCTTCGGACTTCATATGATGCATTGGAGAAAGAGCTGGGGAGTAGCATCACGGTTATTTTTGCACAATAAAAGCTAAAAACTTCCATAGGAGACCGTCCCTGGGACGAATTTGACCGGACAACAGGCTTACTTCTATGCTATCGCAACCTATTACTGTACGAATTTCGCAGATTCTCAGCATGTGGGGAATGACGTATGGAATAATATTCTTGAAGACCAGTTCCCTAGATGCATTCATCTCATATTGCTCGCATAAACGGAATGTTCCGTGGCTTTCCTGAATTCCAGGAAGCATTTGGTTGCGGTAGCGGGGATCCAATGTTTATTCCTCAAGTTTGTCAATAATTCACTTCTAACTCTCAATAGGAAGAACGGTGCGATATTTTCGAGGGCGGACCGTATCGTAAGGGGCTCAGGCAAAATACAGAAAAATTGGTAGTGGGTTTTTTTTTCATTTTACAATGCTATTTTCAGGATTCTGCTATACTCATAAACTTGAACGTGCTTGAAAATAACGGAACAATTAATATTAACCTAGATCAAGAATAAATTCTTAGTAAATATTGTACGAGAGAACGTTTGTTAACACAATCAATTTCTTTGAGACATTAGCTCCTAGCTACTCTCTATTTGTATTTTATTTTTAACCATTCAAAAGCTAGTTTTAAACGAGAACATATGTACTTTTTACATCTGTTCTAGTCTTCCTTTCCCTACTAATATCTTCATTCACTCATCAATGAACGTTGTGCGCCGCCTCGGTCAGCTGATAATCAAACAGGCGGGCCGCGCGGCGGTCGCGTTGCGGTGGCGATTTGAACCCAGTCTCTCCTCATCTGCGCGACATTTTCTCTTTTCTCGCCATACTCACTCATTCATTATTTCGAAAATATGTTTGTCCCATTTTCTTATTTTAAACTTACTACTTAACTTGCTTGTTGGCGACTTGCCGTATTCATACCTTTACTCGATTTACCCCGTTTGCGGCTCTATGCGCTCGATAGCCCTCGAGTTTTTTCAGCCGCGTCACTTTCCCGTTATTAGCGCACCTATCTTATTTGAAACTAACTTACCAGGGACTTACCATCGCCGCTCAAAAACACTCGCACCAGAGCATCCCTAATTTCCGTTCATAAATAGGCCATTTAACTCTTAACTCTTGCGTTTCCTGTTTTACCCCGTTTGCTACTCTATTGGCACGATAACCCATGAGTTTCTTACAGCCTTCTTTCCGGATGTTAGGAAACGATCAATCTTATATGAAACTAACTTACCAGCGCGAAATTGCCGCTCAAAACACTCGCTCTATAGCGTCACAGGTTTCCGATTATAAATAGGCGAGTTAACTCGTAACCCTTCCGTTTCTTAATTTCATTTTATGGGCTTCTTCATACAACGTATTTTCCAGGTTAAACCGACCAAAAGCAAACATGTCTGTCAATCTCTCGCTAGATGATATTATCGCCAAGCACAAGGTAACTTTCTTGCCAGTTTTTCATCAATTTTTTTTAGGTAAAACGACACGAAGGTGGCCGAGGTGACCGCCGGGCTCCTCGTGGAGGCACGGGTTCTGGTGGACGTAGGGGATTTGAGTCGAAGACGGTGCGTTTGTTTTTCAACTTTCTTGTAATCTCGTACTTACAAGCATTGGCTTATTGAACGGCGATGTTTTCGATATCCACGAATATATTTTCTTTCAGACGGTCCCTGGTGGAAAATGGAAGCATGATCTCTTCGACCGTCGTGGTTCACCCGAAGCCGTCCGCCCCGCCGCCAGAAACACAAAAGTCCGCGTGCTCATGTCGAACTTGGCCGATACCGTCACCGCCAGCGACCTTGAGGTGCTACTTCTTCACCATGTTTGCCCCTTCTTCGATTTCCTCGTCGCCCTACCGCAGCCCTCGATTCCCTAATTCTCCGAAACGGACCTTCCGGGCTTGTGGTTTGCGGTTGTGCGCAAGGCGGCCAGCCTTGGACAGGCGGTAAAGCGGCAAACTTAAATTGTTTTTGTGAGATGTCATATAAGTTTTTCGTTGTAGGAGCTCTTCTCCGTCTACAACGTGGAGAGCGTTGTCCTCCATTTCAACCAACAAGGAGAATCTCTCGGCACTGGCGAATGTACATTGCGCATGGCTGACGCGACGGAGATGCTGAAGGAGCTTTCGGGACTGGCCATCGACGGTTTGTTTTTATAGACTTAAACCAAAGTTTTCTACGCTAAATTAACTTGTTTTTTTCAGACAAGCGGGTGAAGATGACGCTAGTTGATGAACACAACACCAAAACCATCGGCTCGCTGAAGGATCGTGTCCAGCTGCCCAAGACAGCACAAAGAGGAAACCTGCACAAGACGTTCGGAGGAGGCGTGCGCAAGGGGCGATCGTCACCGCGTGGCCAGAAGAGCGGTGGTAAATCGTGGAATGAGTACGTTTTTCGAACTTACTTTTTATTACCTGTTTAGGCACGACGACCGTTTCGGCTCTACTGCTACTGAGGGATCTGGATCTCGTGGTCGCGGTGAGCATTTTTAAACTAGCTCATTTTTTCTCCATCCCGGTTTCTTTAACCAGTGATCATTTGAAATCTAGGTGGTCGCGGTCGCGGCGGCGATAAGAAGAAGCCAATGTCCGAGGACGAACTGAATCGGCAACTAGATGAATATATGGGCGTCAGCAAGGACAATATGGAACAGTGACCGGGCCACCTTTTTGCGTTACTACAATTCCGTCCACAAATTGTTCTCATAACTGTTTGTTTTTGTTTCTTCGATTTAATCTAACATTGGGATCCACGATTGTCTTTATTTTATTCGTTTCGTTTGTCTAAAAATATATGCAAGCCCAGTCAAAATACACTCGAGTAGCCAAAACAGATTCCAACGATCGGATACCATTTTGCGGGGCTTTTATTATGTTTTGCGCTGTAAATGGTCGGCTTTTGGATGAATGGGCAGCGCCTCCAAGAACGAGCTGGAAAGAAAACATTTTGAAACGGCCGTGATGATCGATCCTCTGTGGGTCTGCCATACTGCAACGAAAGTGGAATGGGACTTTAAAAGATTTTGGATCCCCTAGGGACCTTAATGTCCGTGGCCTGGCCAGCCTCGCGTGATTTTGACCTAGTTTTATGTGGAACAGTGTTGCGTTTTAGAGATACAACAATGATTAGCTTGTTGGCAGCGATTGAATAGGATTTCGGGGTCATACCGCTGAACCTGGAAAGCACGGTGCGGACAAGTACTTGAGTTTCGGAAAACTGTCTGTAAAAAGCGGAACCGGCTCACCGATTTGGATGCATGGATGTTTACTAGAGATTTACGAGCCGTAATTGTCGAGAAAGAGGCAAGCGAGGAAATGACGCGAAACGTTGAATAGTCCATTTTTGTAACGGCAGTATTCATAGATTACTCGTAACTTTTATATGGCTTTTCCATAAAATCGCCGGGTCAACAGATTGATACAATAAGAATTCAATGGAATCTACCCGTTCTGCAATAGTTTAATCATCCATTCGTGTAATGGCATCCTGGTTGCCGGACAAACCGGAAGCTTTTTCCCGGACTCCGCCTCCGCTGCGAATGCCGGCCTCCTCAGCCACAGATGTTGATTTTAGCGGACGATGAAAACAATAAAAGCGTATATAAAAGAAAGGCTGGGGTCGAAGAGCAACGGGATCGAACAATCCATTAACCCAGCATACCGTATGGCCTCCTTCGAGACTTTCGAAATTCCTTTTTTATGGGGCTTTGAGACCTTTCTCTTTTCCGACTTCGATCTTGCTGAACCAAGAAAGTGCTGCGATAGATTTGACTCTTAGCGCTCCCCCCTAAGGAAATGCCGGCTGTAACCGGGACGGATTTTGAGGTATGTGGGTTGTTTGGTGGCGTTCCCCGGTCTTCCCAGGAGGACCTGCGAGAACAGGGTGGCCGGCGCGCGTGAGTTGGACTCAATAGGTGGTAATCCCTGAAAACTTTCTCGAATCTCCCCCCCTCCACGATTCAACAACAGTTGCCGGGAAAACGCGACGGCAAACCGATAGTCACCATATAGTTTTGCGTCGTGCTCCTACCTGTCGTTGTACTGAAATTACCCAGCCCTTCTCCACACACAGACACCCACGCCATACTGCCGGATTAGAAGGTTTGGCCCATTTTCTCCCACTTTTCCGCCCTTTTCGAAAACGTGACGGCAAACGTCTTTTTGACCTTGATGCCTTCTTTTTAGTTTTATTTTCGTGTCGCCTATGTATATGGATTCCTTTTTAGAGACTCGGGAATTCCACGGGCCATGCTGACCCGACTCTGTTTTGCGGCTTGTCTTGCCGCGGCAGTGGCCCTGCCACTGAAGGCCAATTCATCGGACATCCGTTAGTTATTCGGTTAATTATTTATGCAAAATTTCAGCAATGGACTGCGTCGATGAGTTCACATTCGGAGTGTTCGGCTGCAACAACACCTACTACCAATGCAACCATGGCGCACCCGTCGAGAAGCACTGCCCCGGCGTGAGTTTTTCTTTCAAGAACAACATGGCAGTCATTTGGAACTCGTTTTGTAAATAACTCACCGTTGGGCCGGGGTTGAAACTTCTTTCTTTAAAATTACCTTACTTTGGCGTGGTAAACACCACAATAAGCAGGTGGCCTTGAGTGCCCTCGCCTTGAACTTTCACGGAAGTTGATGATGAAAAGAGACCATAATCCAATGTGGAAATGGAACTTTGGTAAAATGATGAACTTCAGAAACTGTTCTTCGACATCGCTCAAATGGAATGTCTCGCCAAATTTCAAGTGGATGCCTGCACACGTGGACCAGGAGGGCCAATTTTCGAGCAGAATAACAAGTATTTGTTCTTAGACCCTTCATAGTCTTTAGCAAACTGCCCGATTGCACGGAAGGCGTCAGATTCGTGAGCAACAGAGTAAGCTAGACGAGTGGACGATAGCCCATTTTCAGAATTGTACTCGCTTCTACGGCCAGTGCTCAAACGGTGTTGCTCACCGCCACTACTGCCCCTACGGACAGGTCTGGGTCCAGGAGGACGAGGTTTGAGGGTTTTCCCCTAGCTCAAAAGAAGTATAGACTTGCGATCTGGTGGAACGCGTCCAGGAGTGCAAAAAGTCCTCGCAAAACAAGATCAGGGGCCGCAAGATCCAGTAAGTTCTGGAACTATCATGAGCACAAGCCTAGTTTTTCGTTGGTTTTAGAAAATGATACTTTCTAGGGGAAGCTACGGCCAGCCCGCGCAAGCTGAGCCCCTGCCAATCCAGAAGCCCGCTGCCCAGCCCTACCCTCAGCAGCCAGCCCCGCAGGTACGAAAAACAACGTTACGATGTCGCTACCATGTTGAGATAGCCTTCTTACGACTAAAACTTCAGGTCATCCCCCAGAGCCCCCATCAGCAAGTTGCTGCTCCCGGCTATGCTCCTCAACAGCCCCAGCTCCCGCAATCTCCCCCATCGCAGCCATCCGCCTACGGCAACTCCATCGCCCAGGATGTCCCCGCTGCCCCCAAGATCGGTAAAAACAGCTCGATCGATAGACGTTCTCCTATAGAATTCGACTGTTCCGACAAGGCTGATGGCGTCTACGTCCCTGACCGCAACGCCTGCGTGAACACCTTCTTCAAGTGCGCCAACCTCCGCACGTTCAAGTATGACTGCCCCCAGGTAAGCTTCAGTAAAGGTGAAAACAAAATTTTGAATTTAGGGTCTGTGGTACGACAACGAGGATGACAAGTGCAACTACAAGGAGTACGTGCCGATGTGCGGAGGAACTCGCCCGCCACCGACCACCCCGGCCCCTGCCCGTGATGTCCCCACCACCAACTTTGACTGCTCTGGAAAGGTAAAAAATGAGAGGATTCTGAAAGTGCTGTGATGTTTAGGCTGAGGGATCCGTGCACACCGAACAGGAGTGCGGCCCGAACTTCATCCATTGCATCGGTGGATTCGCCCAGGTGAGCCTGAACTTTTACATCTTAATGCTCAAATTCAATCAAGCACAATATTAACCAACCATTATAGATGCTGTCCTGCCCCGGAAACCTCGTCTTCGATATGCGCCTTGGAGCCTGCGACTACCCCGAGCAGTGCAACGCCCCTCTCCCCCAGTCGAAGCCCCAGAACGACTTTGGCCATGGTGGAAGCCCGTCTGGACCTTATGGCCAGGTACCGGAATCCATTTAACAAAAACTACACTAATTTTAGGCCCCAGCCCCGCTTGCTCAGTCCCCGCCTCAGGCCCCCAAGTTTGACTGCTCTGCCAAGACCGACGGATACTATGAGATCAGCCGCTGCACCACCGAGTACGCCGCTTGCAACGGACAGATCGCCACCGTCCTCCAGGTATTTAAAACTATTTTTCCTAGTAATATATTATTATCTTATTACAGTGCCCATCGGGACTCGTCTTCGACAGCCGCCTCTCCCAGTGCGCCTTCATCGAGCAGTGCAAGGCCCCCATCCAGCAGCAGGCTCCTCCCCAGTCTGGAGCTTACGGACAGGTAACTTGGTATTAGTATATGTTTATAGTTATTTCTAGCCCCAGCAGCCACAACAGCCTCTTCCCCAGGCCCCGGCTCAGCCTGTGAAGCAGTAAGTGTTTTTCCTTCTGATATTTGAAGCGGAACAAGCCCTTATATTGCATTTTTCGTAGGACTCCTTACCAGCAGCCCCAGCAGCCTCTTCCTCAGGCCCCGGCCCAGCCCGTCAAGCAGTAAGTCATCCAGTTATATTATAAGATTCTACAAATCGTATCGAAAACCCATTTATCATTATTTATCTAGGACCCCCTACCAGCAGCCTCAGCAGCCTCAGCAGCCCCTTCCTCAGGCCCCGGCTCAGCCCCCGAAGCAGTAAGTACTCGAGCCATATTCTTTCGCGAATTTAATACCGACGATTTAATTTAATTTTGCTTCCAGGACTCCCTACCAGCAGCCTCAGCAGCCTCTGCCCCAGGCCCCAGCCCAGCCACCCAAGCAGTTGGTTTTGATTCAACCGTTACAAGCACTTTTTACGATTTTGATATGGCAACGATTTGTTCCTAGGGCCCCATACCAACAGCCCCAGCAGCCCCAGCAACCTCTTCCCCAGGCTCCTCCTCAGCAGAGCGGATACCAGAAGCCAGCCCAGCCCCTGCCCCAGGCCCCTCCTCAGCCCATCCAACAGAACAGCGGATACCAGAAGCCCCAGCAACCTCTTCCTCAGGCCCCCGCTCAACCCATCAAGCAGTAAGTCATTAAAATCAATTAATCTGTAACTTTCTTTAGGACCCCCTACCAGCAGCCCCAGCAGCCTCTTCCCCAGGCCCCGGCTCAGCCAGCCCCTAGCGCCTATGGGCAGACCATCCAGCAGGACCAGCCCCAGATGAAGTCCACCATCAGCTGCGCGAACCTACAAAACGGAGCCTACCCGATGACCAAATGCGGCTCTGACTACGTCCAGTGCTGGAACAAGGTCGCCACCTCATCCGTCTGCCATGCCGGCCTCGTCTTCAACGCCTTCAACGGCCAGTGCGACTACTCCGTCAACGTCCCAGAGTGCCCTGACTTCCAGCCCCAGGTCCAGCAGGACGCCGTTCCCACCCCTGCCCCTGCCCCTGTCGACCCCTTCTGCGAGCGTCTCGCTGATGGAACCTACTCCAAGGGATGCAGCGAGACCTACTACATCTGCCGTAGCGCCGTCACCACCAAGATGGGATGCCCCAGCGGTCTCTTCTTCGACCTTGAGATGAACATCTGCAACCACAAGGAGGAGATCACCGCCTGTGGTGGACGCCCCAGCCAGCCTGCCCAAGATCAGCCTCAAGCCGGACCTTACGGACAGCCCCAGCAGCCGCAGAAGCCTCTCCCTCAGGCCCCGGCTCAGCCCATTCAGCAGAACAGCGGATACCAGCAGAAGCCCCAGCAGCCGCTTCCCCAGGCTCCTCCTCAGCAGAGCGGATACCAGAAGCCCCAGCAGCCTCTTCCTCAGGCTCCCGCCCAGCCCATCCAGCAGAACAGCGGATACCAGCAGAAGCCCCAACAGCCTCTTCCTCAATCCCCCGTTCAGCAGTCCGGATACCAGAAGCCAGCTCAGCCCCTGCCCCAGGCCCAGCCCGTGATCACCCCGATGCCTCAGTGAGTTTAAAAACGATGGGCCAAGATTAAAGCTAGCGCGAAATATATGAAACCCATAATATTTTAGGGCCAGCTACCAGCGCCCCCAGGCTCAGTCTCAGCCCCAGCCTGCCCAGCAGTTCGAGCAGAAGCCCCTCCCCCAGGTCCAGCAGCCCAAGATCGACTCGACCTTCCAGAAGAGCCCGGCTCTGGACACCACCATCGAGCCATCGTGCCTCGGAAAGCCGGACGGCATCTACAGCTTCGACAAATGCACCATCGAGTTCTACCAGTGCAAGAAGCAGGTGTTCAAGAAGAAGGCGTGCGAGGGTGGACTTTTCTTCAACGCTATGAACGGCATGTGCGACCAGAAGGATCGTGTTGTCGCTTGCGGAGGGTAAACACTTTCGAACATTTACTTTCAATATATTAACGCCAATTTACGGTATTTAAATTGACAATTTTAAACTTTTCAGATCTCTGCCACCAACTGGACCTCAACTTCCCCAGCAGGCTCAGCCCCAGACTGCTCAGTATGGTCAGCAACAGCAGCAGCCTCTTCCCCAGGTAAAAATAGAAATTCAACTAAAAATTGCTGCTTTTTCAGGCTCCCGCCCAGCCTGTCGCTCCTCAGCAGCCCCTCCCTCAGGCTTCGCCATACGCCCAACCCGCTGCTTCTCAGCCAAGTAAATAAACTATAGCACTGTCCTATCCATCTAACCCATTTTCATGACCCAGACACCGTCGAGAACAGCTCGATGAAGCTTTTTTCGAAGAAATGGGTTTCGGGGAGAAGGAGGCACAGAAAAAGACCAAAAAAGCAAAGGCCATCAAAAAGATGTCGCTGACGCAACGCGCCGAAGCCGTCGCCCCATATTTTGTCTCGGCGCTGGTGCTTTTGCCGTTTTATGCGTCGTGCACAACGATGACACTCCTTCTCTTCCTAAACCCATATTGTTCGCCAAGAGATGTTGATCGCGTATTGGCATTTAGCAGAGACCCTGGTAAAAAGGCGTGGAATTTTTGAGTTATGTTAAGTTGAAGCGCGAGATAAGTTGCTGAATAATATTGCGTGGGCTAACACTAACACACTGGAGTTAAAAAGGCAAAAAAATTATGCAAATGTTGATTAGCAAATGTCAAGGAAGAAGGTAAAGAAAGTTAGCTACGCTCACGCATTTAAGAGGTTACCTCCCCCACGCTAAATCGCTTCAGCAGCTTCTATATTTTGCTTGTAGAAAAATCATACGGTCCTTACGGCGGACTTTAGGCTTCTCATGCTCCGGAAAGCAAGACGGTTTCTACGCCACCGGCTGCAGCAACACCTATTGGGGATGTGTGAATGGAATGGCCGTTCAGGTAGGGAAAGCTGAGATTCAAAACAGCTTTTTGGTTGTACAGCACAGCTGCAACGGAAATGACCTCTGGTTCACCGCCGAGGGTTCTCGCTGCGACTACAAGGAGTTCGTGCCGGAATGCGGAGGCCGCACGCCTGCCCCTCAGCCCCAGTCTCAGCAACCGTAAGCTTGTCATATTTAAGCTTCACTGCCTTGTAGAAGCCTAGAATGAAGATTTTTAGAGCCCAATCCCCACCCCAAATGGTCCAAGGCTGCCAGGGCAAGATGGATGGCATCTACCCGACCACCTCGTGCACCAAGCAGTACCTCAGCTGTGTCGGCGGACTTGGAATGGTAAAGTTCTGTTTTGAATCTATTATAACTATTGAATCCACAGCTGAACAATTGCCATGATGGTCTCATCTTCAACGAGGCGATCAGCGCCTGCGACTACAAGGAAAACGTCCTTTCTTGCGGTGGACAGGCCCCAGCTCAGGATGTGGTAGGTTCTACATTTAAGGAAAAAAATTATATTACTTATTACTCGTGGTTAGGTTTACAACGTGGACTTACAAGAATAAGGCGAAATTGGAAAACTGGGAAAGGAGACAACCTACCAAAAAAATTTTTCTAGCCTCAACAGCCCATCCAGCCCCGACCCACCCTGACATTTGACTGTACTGGGTAATTTTATATTTTTTAAATTTGTACATCCTCAATTTTAGTCTTGAGGATGGCTACTGGTCCACCCGACAATGCTCTGACAAATATGCCTACTGCCAGATGGGACAGGCTACCATGGAGGCTAACTGCCCCGCTGGGACCGCTTTCTTCAACCGAGCCCAGCAGTGCTTGAACAAGTAATTAAAGAGTATATAAGATTATTAAGAATGAAAGCTAATTTAAATTTGAAGCTTGGTCGAAGATTAATTAGAAATACCTTATTTTCAAGGAACAACCACCCCGAATGCGTTCGCCAGCAGCCCCAGCCTCAGCAAATGCTCCCTCAATCTCAGCCCCAGCAGCAACAACAGCCAAACTACGGTGGATTGGTATGTAATCTTGCAGAATTCTATGATTACTCCAGTTAGCAAGTATATGAAACTATTTTAGAGCCAACCCCTCCCCGCCCAGGACTCCAACCCATGCAGCGGAAAGGTCAACGGCCTGTACTCTCAAGGATGCAGCAACAAGTAAGTTGTATACAGGGTGTCCCAATAAAAAAGGTCACGCTGGCATTTTGCTATTTCAAATCCGACCGACTTGAAATTTTGCACAGAGGTGAGGAAGGGAATTTAAAACGTTCACAGAAACTTTCAGCCCGATCGGTACAGTAGTTTTCGAGTTATTGTAAAAATACTGTTTTTCCCACACTTTAGCTTCATTTTTTCGGCTAACTTTTGGACTTTGCATCAATTAACATAAATTTCCGGCTCTAAATCCCTTATTCTTAACATCGGCGTCGTTTGCTCTTGTTAAAAAATATTTAAATAGCCTATTTTCGACCCGAATTTTGCGAAATAAAAAAAATTCCTGGGATAAAAAAGGGTCGGCGCTTTATTTTCTCCATACATTCCAGGGCTCAGTTCCGGCGGAATCCAGGTTAAAAACGTAAAAGTTTATTTTTGCTATAACTCAAAAACTACTCTACCGATCGGGCTGAAAGTTTCTGTGAACATTTTAAATTCCCTTCCGCACCTCTGTGCAAAATTTCAAGTCGATCGGATTTGAAATAGCAAAATGCCAGCGTGACCTTTTTTATTGGGACACCCTGTAGATACTAAAATCATACTAATTGCTGGTCCGTTATATTAAGCGAAATACACTTATGAAAATCATTTTTCAGATACGTCATGTGCAACAACTTTGCCCCCTCAACCTTCTTCTGCCCAGGCAGCTTTGTCTTTGACGACGTCACCAAGCGGTGTACGTATGCCAACCAGGTGAGAACTTATTAAATGTGGATGATTGGATTATGTTAAAATTTATTCAATTCAATATTTTTAATTCTTATTAATATCATTTTTATTAAGGTCTCTGGCTGCATGTCCCCCGTGCTCCCGCAATCCCCGGTGATCCGCACCCCTCAACCCTTCCCCCAGCCATTCGTTCAGCCCCAGCCTATGGTGAGGATACCTACACCTCAGCTTATACTACCCTCGAACGTTTCCACAATTTTATTCCAGTTCCAGCAGCAGATGGCCGGCCCGTATGGACGGAAATAAGCCGCTCGACATCGCCACAAAACCTCGAATATGGGTGCAAAAAGTTTATTGTGAATTGAAATAGAATAAATGTTAGAAAAAATTTTCCGCAAAGCATGGTTGATTTTAAAATGCAAAAATCAAAAGTGTTTACTGTGAGGTGAAAACTGAGTGTATTTCGAATTATTTTCTATACGTAGTAGAGCGTTTATCAAATATCCATCGCCTAAAGGCCATCGATCAAAAATTAAAAAATCAAGTCCGGCAACCCCTAAAAATCACGAAACGGCAGCAAGCCCAGCCAAAATACAGACATTTTCATTCCGGAAGCGCATTCACCCCCCGGGCCCCCCTCGCTCCCATATCCGAAAATAGCAAAACCAAAGTGGAGTGAATGTGATGGAAACGGGAGTGGATTTGGATCGCGAAGAATGTTTGTGGATTGATTGGCCATTGTGATTGAGGATGGGACTCTCGAGCCGATTGCAGCCTTCCATAGCCTCCGCGCCCACCGCATCCGCCCCCCTTCCATCCGATCGGAGTCCCCCCTCGCATCCAAAGCACCCGCCAAGTGCCACCACGCATCCATCCAACGCCTCGATTCCGCGTTCATCATACGCTACCGCACACATTTTTGCCCAATCGCATCATGTTTGGCATGTTTGGCCCTTTGAACTAGAGCTGGTCTTATTTAAATAAAATCTACCCTCAGGTCCGTGGATTTGATCAACCAGCTGTTTCTCCTTCAAACCCCCAAATTTTTGCATGCAAATCGCGTCCGAAGCACGTTTTTCAGTGCAGCAACATCATAAAGTGCACATTTTTGCGGTTTTCCATGCAAACATGAAGCTGAAATCCTGGAAGCTTAATCAAATCCTCAGGCTTGAGGCTCAGGTTTTAATTATTTAGACCCAATTGGGATAACAGCCCAATGAGAATGTAAAGCTGACAGACTAGGAAAAAACCTGCTTGACAACCTGAGGTTCCTCTCCTTTTTTGCACTTTGCGTTTTGCATCCTACTCTTATCCCGACAAGACCTCTACATACGTGGCTCCACTTCCAAACACATCTCAATCGAATTTCACCTATTTATCGGATTTCCGTGTTTTTAGGTGTCAAGAAACAGCCCGAATACCGGGCATTAATAGCATTTCGTACCTTTCAAACTTTTGTAAAATACAGCATACCCTGAAGAGGGCTGCAGTGCATTTTTGGCTGTTTTAGCATAAGATGCTACCGTGGGAAGCCGGTACTCTAAAAACTGTTTGTTTTCGCGAGATATAGAACATAGCGAAGTATACTGTAGGAAGCCATAGTTAAAATTCTGCAGAACGTGGTTACGGTAGGCCACGGCTGTGGTTTTCGATTTATTGCCTTGTCCTGTCGACCCTTATCAGATGCGCAGGACTCTGTTTTTTAAAAAAAATGTATAATCTTTAGTGGTTCGCAAAAGCTTTGGGCTTGAGGATATCTAGAATGGCCCACTTGAAGTCATTCGCCTAACCTACAAGCTCTTGACATCGAACCTCGCGATTTCAAAAACAAGTCGTACATTGATTCTTCTTCGCACTAACGATGTTTTCCCCGTTCATACCGAAAAATAGTGTCTTCACGGTCTTTGGTGAGACCACCGCCGAAGTGTTGCTCCTTTCCACTACTTGCAAAAAGGCCTTCTAAAGGTCCCATTGTGCATCCCAGACGGAGGGGCCCGACCCCTAACCTCCCCTCCGGTTACACAATGCTATTTTCTTCACTTCTAAACAAGAATCTCCCGTTCTCCGCCTAATCCTTGGTTTAGAATTGATGACACGAAGATTGCTGTTTTTAATCCTGCCACTGGGATGCGTGGCGTTATTTCCTAATTTTGGTATGATCCCGGGAGTGAGTTTTTTTGGGGTCTGAAAATGATATTTATGGATTCAGTTCTATCGTCAACCTAATAAATCGCCACCGCCAATGCCGGATAGTTCCGTTGGTCGGTATGCAGAAGAGGATGGGCCTATGAATACGGTAGAAGATAGTTTGGATGCTGGTAAGTAGATATACATAAATATGTTTTGCAATCACTTGCTTTTTCGCAATTTTGAACCCAATATGCTAAAAATGTAAAAAATGTGAAATCTTTATGTGAAAATCTAAGTTATTCCCTTAGCTAAGAAATAATTAACATTTCCCTTAAGTGCCCGTTTATAAATCCTATATAAGAATAGAAATTCAAGAGACTATGCAAATTGCAGAATCACCAGCCAATGCCCGCGAAGCGGTTTTCTACCCTGATTTTACCTTAAAAACTCGTTGCTCTAAATACTATAATAATTAGCATACAGCTCAAGACAAAATTTAGGCCATCGTAATCCTCTCAAAATTCCAGGCGTCGCACAAAATTACCTCAGCAGCGCGCCCTATATGGAACAAGAAACCGAAGACTGTAGTGCCCTTCCCAACGGCACAAACACAATGCCCCACGTTTTTCAATGCGACCTCGGTGAGTTTTTCAGAACTAGAAATCCTCAACCATCCACCAAATCCAATCAATTATCCTAAAACCAACGTCAACCTGTCACAAAGCGTTGCCGATACTTTCCGGAGATCATAAAAACTGGTGGTCGGGGGGAGGACCCTTCCGCGCGTCCACAGCGCGTATTTGTTACACGTTTCTGTCAGGGATTGGGGGGGGTGACAGTGTGTACACAGCGTCCGCGCGGAATTATCGCGTGAACTGCCGGGCCGGCGGCGGGGTACTTTGGGCCGATGGCTTCGAAAGTACGTTTAGGATACTTAGAAAATGATCTGTTTGAGGAGTAGGAAGTTCGTTTCCTTGAGAAAAGATGGTTGTTTGTAGAAAAATACATGAGCAAAACTAAAGTTTTTAAAATAGCTATTTTAAGGTGGAATCGCCAGGCCATCTGGTTTTTCGGTACAATTCAAATGGCGGGGGGAAGATTTAGGCGGGGGAAACCAACTTTTTTTTTCGGCCCTGGTGGGGATAGTAATCAAATATAAAGTGTTTTCACATTGTTTTTAGCAAAATTTAAGCCTATCTGAATCGGAAAAACTTTTTTAAAAAGTTAGAAAAACGCTTGAAAAAGTCGGAAATTTCTCATTTTTGGGCCGAAAAAAATGATTTTTTTTTAATTTTTTAATTAAGTTTTGTAAAGTTTTTATGTTTAGGAATAGCTATAAACAACTTAGAAACACTTCCACTATTTATATAAAAAAATATAGGCTTGGGCGGAAAAAAGTTCGTTTCCCCCCCCGCCTAAATCTTTCCCCCCCGCCTATTTGAATTGTACCGATTTTTCCATTTTTTAAAGATATTTTTGCAAGCTTTGAATTTTCATCAACCGTTTTGTCAGCTTCTGAAGAGAATTTTAAATAATCCAGAGAAATTATCATCATCTTTGTACTTATATTTCTGGCACTTTTGAGCATGATCTAAAGCCGACCTATAAAAAATCTAATTCTTTTAGAAGAAGATTCCGATCCGCTCTTTATCATCCACAATGCCGCCGTCACCAACTACACCGGCGATACCCAGTACCCCGTCGATTTTACCTCACCAATCCGTATTTTCTTGGATGTGACAAGCCGAGTAAATAGAAGGTCAGTCTTCACAGCTGCGCATAGCACCCCCCAAAAAGTTGCTTTTCCATTTAGGGCATTGCCTATTTGCGAGTTTCCCAAAATATTTGGACGCTTTTTACTGTTTGCCAATGCTGACCAGGCTTTTCGGGGGGTTAAAAAACAACTAAAAATAGAGTGGAAGGTTATTATGGTATAGGATGATGGAATTCAGATTCGATAACCTTGGAGTGGATGTCTCCGTGTATAAGCGATCGACAGGATGGTTTGGATGCGGATGGTTGTTTATACCGAGTTTTACGTTACTGTAGGAAAATCTTATTTCATCTAAAAACCCCATTAGAAACAACGGCGATGTTTGTGAAGAAAATCAATCTTGCCCGTTGGCAAGAGGACGACAAGTGCTCGAGCTCCCCCTCGAACCTCAAAAGCTTTTCACCCGATTTTTCCGGATGTTCCATAATGACATGGTGAGTGAGAGCACTTTCCCCAAAAAAACCCTTTTAGCAAGCCTATCAACTAATATTGCGGGTTCGCGATAATTCCCGACCATTCGATGACCTCTTCTGCGCCTCAATACAAACCCGAATCTCGTTTGATTCGTGATTTATCGTAATTTATTTTCTATACCACCGGTATCCTCCTCTGTACAGATCTTTGACAACCCAAAAATTCCAAAAAATCCCCCCTCCTTACCCGACAATTGTTTCAGTTCGCATGCACTGTCGCGCATCGTTTTGTTCGTGAATGATTTTGGGCGTAAATGCAATTCGTTTATTACAACGCGATGAGACAACAATAATCGTGGAGAAACACAGCAGGAGATCCATTACAGTGAATTTTGAAAGGCAGCGAGAAATGCCTAACGAATGTCTAGGCGTCGACTAGAAATACGGGAGAGTATAAGACGTGTGCTCACAAAAATTGAGAGTACACATTAATAGCGGGAATGAAAGCGTTTGCGTATATACATAGTGAATTGATGTTCACCCGTCAATGGAAGTGGTTGATTCCGTTGGAAACCCGAGGTAAAGCCATTTTTGGAAGGGCGTATGGTAGCTGAAGATCAGGGAAAGCAGGGAAGAAACCAGGCTTCAGCGTGTAGTAGAAAAGATCTAAAAAATTGGTAAAAGATTTCAGATATTAAGTTTACCATTTGCTCCTGGTCTTGTGGGGAATTTAGGTGGAATCTGTCGGCTGTGGAGACGAAGTGGCAGGGCTCAACGGCTTCGGCAGATTGGCAGATCGTGCTCGGACTGCTGTCTCTTTGGAGGAAGAGGTCAAAATATTCAGCGGGTAGCTGGGCGTCATTAAGAATGCTGATGCTCATGTTGAAGGATATCTGAAAATTAATGGGTAAGTTATGACTATCCGCAACAATTTCAACTATAAGAAAACTTGGAAAACGGCATGAAAGTGTAATGAATTTCCAAAACCATTCCTTGCATAGTGAGAGCATACTAAATTGCACCTCCCACCCCAGTCCCGCCTACAATACCGTAATCCCTGAATGGGTCCTGACTCACTGGAGGCCCACTTGTGGCCAGCAGAAAAGCGAGAACTCGCAAGAAGAGCACACAGAGACCACACAACCCGGGCAGAGATTTACGGAACATTAGGTAAAGGAGACCGTTGCATCACGGGAACTGTAGGCGGCTAAGGGCCCACTGTTCTGCCCAAGGCTTACGTCAAAGCTCTCAAAAATAGCTGGAAAAGAATGTGAGGCTGAAAAGCATTTGAACCCGATTTTTGAGGGTTGAAAATAGGGTAAGGGATATGGTTAGAAAGGAGAAACATGGGTTTTATGGGTAGGGAGAGGGTAAGGGCGGGGGATCTGGTGGGAGAGTTGACCCAATCTGAACTGGGTGATTTTTACAAAGAAAGGGGGAGCATTGGGAAGTTGTTTCCAGAGTTGATCGATGCGCATGGAACGATCAGTCTGGAAGTTCAGGGGAATTTTTTTGGAGAGTACTGGAGGTACGGCTACGGAGAAAAATTAGAGTAGCTGAAGGGCAGAGACTATGCAAAGCTGTAAGAAAAAGCTCAAACTCGAGCGAATTGGTTTTTTCAAAAAATCTCCAGCTTGAGGATTCATCAGGCAAAATCGTAGAGAATCTGCAACTCGAGAAAATGTTTTGTTAGGGAACAGAAGCAAGGCACAGCTCGGTGAAGTAGAGAATTAACAAGGAAAAACTATATAAAATTCGATTACTCGAGCTAACGAATTTTTACAGAGAAATTTACGACTTGAAGAAAGATAGAAAATCGATTAAGCAAAACCTGATGAAAAATTTTTAAGATGGGAGATATTGGATATTTAAATTTTATAAACAGAAAAGGACTACAAAACCCGAGCAAATGACAAGAAAGAGCTAACGCAAAAATGGCATCTAGGAAACCTCAAAACCACAACCTGGCCCGAATGGCATCACCACCAAAGGCACTATTTGTCCACCGCCCAGGGAACATTCGAGAAGATGCACATATGGCAGCATCGGAAACAGGCCTGCCCAAGGACCCAACCGCCCCAAGGCAAGCACCGCAAGGCAAATGGCCCATCCCCAGCACCCACAGGCATGGATGGACCCTCTCAAGTCTGGTGGGGGTGGGCGAATAGAACTAGTGGACAGGCTGGGAGAACAGGCTGGATTCAACGAACGTGAGGACCCATGGGCACCACCACCAACACCACCACAACCACAACCACAAAGACCCCATCCCTCCCTCTCTCTTTCTCTCTGGGTCCCTCTCTCTTCTCTCGTTTCTACACCACCTCGCTTCCTCCTATTAGTCAGCACCCCAATCCCTGTAAGGGTCTCGACAAAGATACTGACTGGACGGTGTGTCAATATAGGTATAGATACCAAAATTGTTCATTACGGATGGGGTTGCGAGGTGCCGGGCGGAATTTGGAATTGAAAACAAAATATTCTATCGAACCACAATAAATTTTTAGGTTTGAAAAGGTAAAAACTAAACTAGGCAGTAATAACTTAAAAAAGCCTGAAACATTTGCGATATTAAGCTTATTAAAATCTTAAAAGTGGTATAGGGCAATTTAATTTATTCAGATAAAAACTACGTTTTAGAAAAAACTTCCAGCCAAAGTATAGGGCATGGAACAGTAAATTTGTTGTATGCCGTTTACAGCCAACAGCCCCAACGGGGAACCCCTCCCTATAAGGAGCAATAAAGGTCATCCTCCCCTGCCCCTCGATTTCGACAAACATCAATAAACAATACCCATCACATCCCAAAAACCACGTCTAAAAACGCCCCGCAACAGCCCCCGAAAATAAAACAGTAAATAGGTGCTCCAATTGACCCGTGCCTGTCATAGGCGTACTACTTTTTCATCTCCCCCACAAAACATTCCTAATTTCTGATCACAGGTACGTGGTGGAGTGCGATAAACAATGATGAATATCTACGACCTATCTACCCGCTGGGATATCCCCGAGATTACGGAACGGATTCTTGGCCAGACAACCATAGATGCACTTGTGCTCTTCTAAAGACATTTTGCTTACTGCTCTCCCAGAAGTTCACCGAATTCGCTCACGCGCATCCGAGAAAACACACAAACAGCCTGGAGGACATTTCTGTGATTTAGATGTTCTTATTTTAAGGGCTCTGACGACATTCGGGGGCTTTGAACTTCGGGAGGGTCTGCTTTGTGAGGGGGGCGTAAAAAGGCGCAAAGTCGCACGTGAGTCAGGTGCAAATAATTACCGGTAGGGCTGGGTCATTCATTCTTCAAATTTTTCGAGTAGGGCCCAGACCCCTGGGTGGGCCGTGGTTGGTTTTGACGTGGGAGGAATTGGAAAAAGTATCAAATAAATTCGAAATTCTGCAACAGCAACCCGAAACCGAAATCTAAAACTCGAAAGGCCAAAAAGAATCAAAAAAAATTGTAGCTGATAGAAGATAGATGAAGCTAATAATAGCTGTTAATCCGAAAAGTAGCGCTAAAATTATGACCACCCTCCCAACCCCGAACACCGTTTATAACCCCCGGAATTTGGCAACAACCCCCCCCCCAGGTGAGATCCATTCAAAACATCAAATATTTGGCCATGGCACCCTGACCCTTTCCCTCCCCATATTTATGCAGTTGTCGTCCTACGTAGATGCCCGGATTACCATTGATGCCAACAATTGCAAAGTGCTACAATAACAACACGATGAGTCAATGCCAGGGGCCCCAACCTGGCAGGCTAATTTTGGCAACGTTTGCCCTGCGTTTTGGCGAATATGTTTACGAGTGGCACGTCGAAAGTATAAGGTGTTCGCCGGGGGTTCTGGTGTTGTCTTCTTTGGACCGTTGCAGGTTGCAGGAAGTCGAGTTTTTTGGCGGGGGTGATCAACATTTTGGGGGAGGTCCAACGGGTTGAAAATGTGCCCCCAGGTTGGTGGGAGTGATCTGTGTGTGGGGGGTTGTTGCCGTGTGATCAAGGGGATGAGGGGGACCGTGCTGTTTTTTGGGTAAGATCTACGTGGTGGGATATACATCCCCAATCACATGAATGGATGATCGGTGACGGGATTGGTTGTGTTGAGATGTTCTGGATAGTACCATGCACTTTCACCCCGCCGAATAATTAGCATCAACACCAACCGCACGCTCATTTGCTGGCGTCACAAAACATGAGATAAATATAAGGGTGGTGGTGGGCAACTGGGTATACAAGGATTTGACGCACATGGTTTTGGTGTGGATTTGGGGATGGGGTCAATAAGTTCTGGGCTATCTAGACGTGTAATTTAAAAACAGAAATATACAGAATCCAACGCGTCATTTGTCACTACGTGTTTCTAGTAGACGAAAATTGACCTTGATTGCTCAAAAAGAAATGAATGAAAAGATCAAACGAATAGTTGTCGACAATCATTTGACGCAACCAACTAACGTCATTTGGAAAAACAGGGTGCTGGCAGCGTTGCAAAAAATAGCTGCCTCGGGATCGGGTGCATCAGAATAACATTGCATATGACCAGCTGAAACAGCTGGGCGTTATCTATTGGATTAGGATTAGGTGATAAAGCCGACGAAATGCAAAACAAACAATGATCAGTAGCAGCTTAAAGGCAAGCTGTAGTAAAAAAATATTATTTATGTCTAAAGTTTTTACAGATTTTCCGAAGCTCTTTAATACCTATCCTGAATGTGGACGTTCAATCAGGAATTTTAAGGGCTCCCCGACATTTGCGGCCCGACCATTTGCGGCCCGACACTTGCGGCCCGACATTTGCGGACGCGACACTTGCGGCCCGACACTTGCGGCCCGTCACTTGCGCCCGACAGTTGCGGCCCGACATTTGCGGCCCGACACTTGCGCCCGACATTTGCGGCCCCGACAATTGCGGCCCAAAGCTGTAGTTAATTACCCAAAACTGAAGCTTTTAACCGTCCGGAAGGCTAGTTTCTGAATCGTTTTGATCGCTTGTCCCCTGGTATTGACCTAAAAATAAGGCTTCGTGCCACCCGGGGCCTAGTCGCTTCGGATGGGTGCGAGCTCGTACAGGGTTTCGAAATCGGGGCGCCCGAGGCGCGCGTAGCGGCCAGGCGCCCCGATTTCGAAAGAGTGGAGCGGCAGCCCATCCGAAGCGACGGCCCGCCTTGCCTGAAAATGCTTTAGACCCTTACTAACCCTCTTTTTAATTTTATATTGAGAAAAGTGGGCTGAATAGCACGGGCCGCAAATGTCGGGCGCAAGTGTCGGGCCGCAAACGTCGGGCCGCAAATGTCGGGCGCAAATGTCGGGCCGCAAATGTCGCGGCCGCAAATGTCGGGCCGCAATTGTCGGGCCGCAAGTGTCGGGCCGCAAATGGTCGGGCCGCAAATGTCGTGGCACCATTTTAAGGCCCTCTATTATGCAAGTTTCTCTGCGTAAATCGATATGTTATAGAGGAGGTAAAGCACAAAACTGCGTATTAATAAATACCCAACGTACTTTTCTCTTAAAGTCCGATACAGTTATACGAGCATACCATCAATTCCCCAATGGCATACACACAAACGCCCAACAAGAACGCTTCCCATTCCCCGTGCTGCAAACCCTCTAACCATGCCCGCCTGGACACTGTTTGTTGCGGTGTTCACGTGAGTCCCAATGTTTATTCCTATGATGCGAACAGGAAGCGCCGAAGGGCCTCCCCCCTCCCGCCCGAGGCGCCTGGAACAAGAAGACCTGCTGGCCCGGGGCCAACACGTGTAGATACAGAAGCCCTCCTCCCCCACAACCTATGTTTGCTCTCCGCTTCCGCGGGCGCGCCTCCGAATAACAAGTCCCCCCCCAATACTTCTAGGGCGTTGGGAAGGGCCCAGCGCGATGCCGCCTGGGGCATATTGGGAGGCAAGGGGCTTGAAGAATCCTTGGAAAATATATAATTAAGAATAACATATTTCCTTTAGTATAAGTCTCCCCCCTGCGTTAATATAAGCACCCGGCCGATTTGATTAAAATCTGTCAAAATATTATGTGTATTTTTAAGGTTTATAACAGTATTTTTGTTTATCCCTTGTTAGCATCAACGCTACGGAATCGAAAGTTGCAGAAACCGATCGAATGGTCTAAAATAGATGGTTTACAAAAACCCAAATATACAGCTACAAAAAAATAAACATCAAAATGGTAGTTAGATACCTTTACTGATAAAACACACAATCATTTCTGATATAAGACCCGCTGTAATGAAATTCTCCTGATTAGCACGAATAACAACTAGAAACCCTGGTCGTATAATAAAAAACACGATAATTCAGAAAATTAGAAGATAACCAGGGTTGAAAAGCGGCTTCGCGACGTTTCAACCCTGGACCCGTCTAGTCCCATAATTAATATTCTTCACTTTGCACACTTGCATACATTTCTCCATTCCAATGTTGATAACGAAAAATGTCACACTGCCGCTCATTATAAAGGCTCCCGCCACTTCCTGCCTATGCAAATTGTTTCATACCGAAGAGAGTTCTCGATTTTCGAACAACAACATAAATTTAATGCTTAAAACAGCTGATTTTGCGAAATCTGATAATCGTGCAGTCATCCCAGAGCCATTAAGCACCTAATGACGTATCATACGTACCTTAAATTTCATCCCCTATCGAGATATCCTCCGGACATGGTGAGGGAAGCTGCATGCAAAGTGGCACACACACAGACACTACTTTTTAATATATACTAGGATTAATCATCCAATAACAATAAATTTCAGTCAATAAAAAGCGGTTTTGAATCAAGGAGTTGGCTTGAGAAGCCGGTTGAACAATGCGAGCGCAAGGTGTGAAAGTCAAGGTCTGCCCCCGGCTTCTTGTCTCGACAATCGACAAGCGGAGCACGAGGGAGCGGGGATGGCTAATTTTGGAGCTTGATTGATGCTCTGTTGATGGCGAGAAGGAAGCTTTTTGTGATGATAACATGTTACGGGAAATGGAGTAGTAGTGGTTGGTTTTTTAATGAAAACCATAGGTATTAATCGTAACTCATTGAAACTTTAAATTTTAGTGTACTACTTAGCAAACTCAGTTTAAATTGTATATTATGGAACCAAACCAGAAAACAACAACGCGAAATCAGTGATACATCCCGGGAAATTATAAGCCACACAAAGCTACATTTGGCACGCGCACGAGCACCAATTTTTGTGGACAACTCGGAATAGCTTCGGGAGAGAGAGAGAAGATAGCCCTCCATTTCCTTCATTTCGATAATGTTTTTGAGGATTTTCGATCCGGGACTGGCTGCAAGACTGGCGCTCCACGAGCTGGCAGGATGGATATCCCTCCAAATTGAGGATCGAAGAGCGAGCAGAGTGCTTTGGCTAATCTGCACTGACATTTGACAGAATCGTCCTCGAAAATGACATATTAACCTTAGGAATTTCCGGTGTACACTTAATTTTTGATTATTTGGCAGCAGGGAAAAGCAGCTATTTTATTATCTGTATGTTCCAAAAAAAACCTTATTTTGGAACATTTTAGAGCTCTTGAAACGGCGTTAAAACGCGCGCTTCCTGGTTTTTTAAACTTATTTATCATTGATCATTCAGCAGCTTTTTAAAAAACCTTTGGACCACTCTAAAAACAGATACTAGATACTCAAGCGGGTCAAATAAAATCACTAATTTGGGTAACGAAAAATGGTTTTTCCTTACGGTTTGGTTAGCATTCAATAGATACCTAAACGAGAAAAATAGGACATTTCTCCGAATATTTACGCCTAATAAACCAATAACAGTCTGTAATAATTAAAGTAGTAATGGTGTAAAAAAGTCATAAGATAAATAAAATAATTTATTCATTCTAATGCATCGAAGTCTGAAGCATGCGCCTTTTCCTCTGCTCCGCCATAATCGAGCGTATCGTCTCGGAACTGTAGTCCACCTTTTCACTTTTCCCACCGCAACAGCAGCCTAAAACGAGAGCTGTCATCACCCGCCGCACACCACAACACACGCGTACCCGGTAGTATTCGAGCAAATAGTTGCCGATAGTGCCGCACAAAAATCAACATCGACACCGCGAAATACAAGGGGAAACAGTGGATCAGGATATGGGAGAGCTGGACGAAATTAGACTTAAAGCTGCTTTGAAGCTATCGTACCTGATACCAGCATTTAAACATTTCGCCCAAATAATAATCGGCCGGCTCGCTGCCAATAACGATAATAAAACCATAATTGAGCTCAAGTAACTCAAAGAAAATGCCGATTCTAGCGAATAAATCTGTGGTCACGACGATGAAAAGTACAACTGGGAGTGATCTAAAATTTTCGTTTTTATAGTTGAAATATTGTAATATTACTTTGCTAATGAAGAGGCCATTCTGGGTTCATAATCAAATATTGGTGGAGGTCGTAGGGAAGAGACAAGAAGTAATACAAAGGAAAGTAGATGTGGTAGAAGTAAGGTGCATAATCTGAAAAAATTGGATTTAAATATTTATGTAAATTTAGGCTATCCAATACCTTGCAAAAACAGCGCTTGCTCTTGGCACCAACAGCTCAGCCCATCGATGGTCGAACAAAACGATTCCCAGCAAAAATGGGACCGCAAATATCATTAGCATCTCGCAACACCCATTCAAATACGGAGAATAATCCACGAACAAATTCATATATCGATCCAGGCTATAATTCGAATTTTTGTCATTTTCTGAAAATTTTTCTTTACCTTAACCCCAACAAATATATCGCCTGTATCGCCAACAACGAATCGATACATTGATGCCCCAATATTTCCTAAATATTGTTTTTCCACCAAGGCCAATTGCACACCCAAATAATCTCTCCAAATTGTTTGTCAATATCATCAATGAGCGTCCCCTCGGCCTCCAGCTTCAGCAAATAATTGATCACGATGCAAATGAACCAGGCAAAGTTGAAGATTAAATTAAGGAAAGCGATAGCAATTAGCATAACTTTGAGCCTAAAAATTTAATTTAAGGAAAAAAGCGTTCTCTTACTTCATCGTTTTGCGGCTTTTCCTCCTTCCTAGCAGTATCATAAGGAAGAATAAGTTTAATAGAAAAGAAATGCAATGAATTAAAAGTAGTGCAGATGTTTCGAACCAGCCGTTCCATATTGACATTGAATACAGGACATCATGCTCGTTACTGAAATATGGAAGGGTTATTTGTGTATGAAAGTCATACTTTTTATCCCTTGGATTTGTCATAACCAGATCCGAAATCCATAAAATTTTGGATTTTGGTTGGAATGTTGTGTTGAAGTCATGGATTAGCGGAAATGGGTCGGTCAAATTCATCTAAAAAGGTATGTAAATTACGTAAGGAGAACAGAAAAATTAAATTAAATAGAGGGTCTGGTGCTAATTTGAAACTTGGATTTCGGTTGGAAGGTGAAAAAATGTTGAGGTCAATGCTTAGAGGAAATGTATCTGTCAGCTTCGTCTAAAAGGGTATAAAATGGCCATAAAAACAAGAAGCAATTTAAATAGAGCGTCAATACCTAATCTAGATGTTGAAATTCGGTTTAAATGTTTTGTTGAAGTCATAAGTTAACGGAATTAGATTTTTTGCGGTTCTGAACAGTCTAAAATTTAATTTAAATAAAGAGTCTAGTGTCGTTCTTTTAAAAAAGTTCAAAGGTTCTTATGGAAAAGCCGTGAGAACGTGAGGTGGGGGATGGCTTTGCGATAATTACCCTATGAGGTGGGTGGAGGGGGGGATGGACTAGATCCGGCCATTGGCACAACTCAATAGGGGGAGAATCGCTCCGGATGGCGCATCCACACCCCCCAAAAAACGGAGAGCAATTCAAAAATATTATGGGATATGCCCCCCCCCCCCCTAAATCGATTTGTCTGGAATCAAAAGCGTGGGTTTCAATTTTGCAGCGCCACAATCCTAAACGGCTAAACGAGGCATTGCTGGAAGCCAAGTTGACAATAGGCGAAGAAAAAATGCGGAACTCGTTATCGGTGGTCGGGGTTGGCCGAGTTTCGGTGAATGGAAAGTTTGGAAGAAGCGAAGAAGGTAAAGCAGGAGCCGAGAGGGGGGGATATGAGGAGAAAGAAGTTGGTGAAGGACATGTCGGTGGAGTACAAGGGAAGACTCTCGAGACGGCTCATCACCCTTCTTGAGGGCCTTTCACCCCTAGGGGGGATGGTATGAAGGGGAATAAGAAGGAAAAGAGGGATGGGGTTAGCTAGGGGGCGCGTCTTCTAAACCCTCGACCCCAACACAGTCGCTTTTTCGGGTGGTTGCAATCTGTGGGTGTGATGGGATTAGAAAGTGAGACTCGGGAGAGGAAATCCAGAAATAGCGGAGGGAATAGTACCTAAAAAACTCGCTGAATACGTTCCAGGAGGCAAATTGCATAACGAAAATTAACTAAATAAACGTTTATACGTTGAAACATACTGATATGGACATCATAATCTCGAGATAAAAATAGTAAAATCAGTAGAACACCTGGAAATCTAACATCTCGATTTTTCGCCATTGATTTACAAAAAATACAAGTTTTGAAGTAGAATAACCGCTCCAATTTCACAATTAGATAATTAAAAATGGACAGGCGATTTTACCAGACTGCCTTCGAATCAGTAATGGCGTCTCAAAAAGAACACGAACACCGGAAAACGGTATAACTTCCGCCCACTACAACTGGCATACACTACCCAAAAACCACCGAATTACCGAATTCTGAACACGATAAACCCCAAATAATGATCCCGCGCCCAAACTGGTAGACCGACCACAGCCGATGGTAAAGGATTTTGTGCTGCCCGGCCACGCTCAATTACCCGGAGCCGAACCATCCCCAGAATGGGGTCATCACAGACGATTACCATAACCACCCACCCCTACCCCTGCCTGGTCTGGTCCTCACTTATTCACGACCTGCCAGATGGTCAGCGGTCGAGCCCCCTTGAAGCTCGGGTTATGAGAATTGAGGATGAGAACAGGAGGATCTGGCTCTGGAAATACTTCCATAGAACTAATTAGAGCTTTAAAAACTACTGGGAGTCAAGCTTAATGATGTCGTATGCGTCAACCAGACAACTACAAAATTTATTGCACGATAAACATCCCAAAAATCATGGTCTCGATGAATTCGGCACATGACGTGAAACTGCCCGACGGCTCCGAGGAGGACAGGGACAATATCCAGCATCGAAACCGGGCCCAGAGGCATCACCTCGTTCACCGGGCCAACCATCTTCTCCCTAACAAAATTTTTAATTTCTAAATCATAAACCTACCCGTCTTCCATATTTCCCCGGAAACCCAATAGGACCCATTGGTCCTGGAGTCCCAGGCCGTCCAGGTCTCCCATCTCTGCCTGGATTTCCTCTAGGTCCACGCATCCCCGGCTTTCCTGGTGTTCCACGTCGTCCGACCGCAATCACTCCAGGACGTCCAGGTAATCCCGATTTTCCATGCTCACCGGGGTACCCTTAAATGTTCCTTAAAGTTGTCCAGCTCCGATCTTACCTGGTCTTCCAGGGTTGCCCATTGGCCCCGGTTTTCCAGGTCGCCCTATCGAAATTCCAATTCCAGGTAGACCTGGCCGGCCTGCTGGCCCGGGGATTCCACTAAGTTCAAACATTTTCTAAAAATTATGTTATTACCGGAACCCTGGTGCGCCTCTATTCCCAACCAATCCTGTTGGACACCGGATGCAACCTCGAGCTCGTGGGGCACAAGGAGCTGCCGGGAAACTCTGGTGATTGTCACGACCTGGTTGACCATGAGAACCAGGTACTAAATTGTTTAATTTGAGATTCGCTTTAATTTGGGGCCCACCTCCAGGAGCCCCTGGCCTTCCTGGTGGCCCGGAAGGTCCTGGAGGGCAGCGCGGGCGTGTCGGTTCACACTGACACCAACCGGGTAGCCTCGAGTCGAACCTTTTCTTTTTCTAAAACCACCTTAAAACCTTATCCTAAGATTACCTTATTTCGAACCATCTCTAAAAACACATCCCGAGCCACGATACTTCTCCTCCGCAGCGGACTTTCCTCAAATCCAGTTTGCAAATGAACCAGGGCATCCCAAGACCTATCAGTGCTTAGCTGAAAAAACGATTGATGAATACGATATGCATTGCCAGGATACCTTAAAACCCTCGACCTCGGTCGACCAATTCACCAACTCCTGGTCCAATTCTTTCTTCAAATCAATTAGATTCGCAATGAAATATGCAGAAGAGAAGGTAGAAATGATTAAGGTTAGAGTAAGGATTGCATTCAGGTCCTCGAGGGACATTTTGTTGGAGTGGGTGTTGGTGGGCAATGGCAAGGGTTGGTTGCTCCAAATCCCAAAATGGGGGTCCGATGGCTTTTGGTTTGCCTAAAGGCACAGGGAGGCTTGGTAAGCTCTTGTAATTGTGTGGAAACTGGTATGGGGAAGCAAGAAAAACACGTCTGGTGTGTTTAAACGTAGAAAAAAAAATACCGTTTTGCCGTTTTTTGTGAGAAGCCATTTCGACAGGTGTAAAATGGAAAATATCTCTATATCGAAGCGATGCCTAGCTAACTCTCACTCACTATCACACTCTCTCGCTCTCGCTATTTCGCTCTTTCGTTTTCTATTTTCTCGCTCTCTCTCCCTGTCTTTCTCTCTCATTCTTCCTCTCTTTCCCTCTCACTCTCTCTCTCTCTCTCTCTCTCTCTCTCTCTCTCCCTCCACTCTCCTTCACCTGTCGTTATTTTCAAACTATCACTCACCAAAAATCATATCAACTCCATTAACCTCATAAAAGCTCCTCCATAAACCCCCTAATTCGATCTATCAAACCCAACCTTTTTATATTGTGGCCAGCCGGGGCGCAATTGAAGCGCCCGGGCGAAAGGGCGAGTGCAATGCGTTATCGGGCGCTCATCGCCCATTTCTGCCCAATATTGATCTCGTTGCGATGGTATCATTCATACAGGTATCCCTTTTTGATCACATACTCTAATCGGCAAGCCTCTAAACCATTTTTAAATTCTAAATTTTAACAATCAAACAGCTTTCCAATCGATTGACTCAAAACCAGTTTTGGGCGAGCCCCACTGCCCGTTTGCATCCCAGATTAGCGAACCCTCTCCCTGTCAAATAACCCTGGAATTCTTCTTTTTTGCAGGTATTTTTCGGTTTCTTGATCGCAGTAAATGCGGACGAGGGATTTAATACCGGTTGCGTTACAAAATGCTCGGTGACCTTTGACCATAACTTGTCCTGCTTCAACAAGACTCGAGATTTCTTTGAAAAAGACCTATTCGACACTATGCAAAACTATGTGAGGAGTTGGGTAAGGATGTGAAGAGCATTTTAAGCAGAATTTTAGGTTTTGTCGGGACTTTCTAAAGACAAAGACGCGAAGACAATATCGCAGTCTACGATTAATGGGATGAAAAAGGTATAAAAAGTGGGAAATCAACTCAAATTCTAGGACAAAGTGTTCAATCAAAAAGATTCTGATGAAATGTATGGGCCTGGTGATGCGCAATCGATTGCAGATGCCTTGGCAGAACTCATCAAGGTCAGAAAAAAATTTGAAAAACTTAAAAACCACTGAATCCGCTGAGGTCATCTCTAATTTTTAATTTTTACAGAAACAAGAGGGCGCCAACGTCAATGGAAATCTTTCATGTCCACTTGGTTGTGAAGAATCCATGACCCCGTGGCTACCAATTTTTGTAGCATCCGCTGCTCTTAATCTTGTCTTCTTCATCCTTGCTGCTGGCGCTATGCTATTAGCGTAAGCACCTTTTTTTTAAAGAATTGTACCTGTTCGTTTCAGAACCAAACGCGAGGAACGACAAGCCGCCAAAATCTTCCAAGAAGCCCTCATCACCAGCCATGGCATCAAGAAAGAATGACCCACCTGATCTTTGTACATTTTTGTATAAACAGTAAAATAAATTGGTCGTTGACCCGCCTAAAATGTTTGCCGTCGGGTTTACAAGGTGGAGACCGGGGTGCGAAGCCGTTTCCCCCAGCATTCCTAGGCACCGATTTTTGAAAAATTTCTTGTCACCATGGTCAATACATTCTACCCTGGAATTTTTATGGTAATACTCAAGCCCCGTCAATTTGGCTTTAGTTATTCATTCCAAATTTTGTTATTGCTCAAAGCAAATGTGATACACGTTGTGAGGTGGATTTCAAGAACGATTTGTCTTGCTTCAAGAAAACGGAAGCATTTTTCGAAGAAGCGCTGCTAGGAACGATACGGAATTATGTTTTGGCAAATGTATGCTAAATCGTCAGGACTTTTGAGAGCTTTCCAGCAACGAATTGACATTATAAGGCAAGCAAATGGCCTTCAGAAGCAAACTCTCGACCAAGTCCTACAAATGGCTTACAGAAATATGGATAAGGTTACCTTTTCCTTAACAAACTTCACCTGCGCAAATAGGCAAAAGTCTACGGTCGTGGTGAAGCGGAAGAAATGTATTCTCCATTAGATGCGAATGACGTTGTCGAAGAGCTATTCAAGAGCAGTTCGGTATGCGTATAGTCATGAACTACATTTTCTTTTAGACACCTATAAATTTCAGCCAATTCAATAATACATTTGGCTGTCCTACCGGCTGTGAGAAAGATAAAAAGTCTTGGATGGGTGTGTTTATCGCATCTATTGCTTTAAATTTCTTGCTTTTGACGCTGGCAGCGATGGGGACGTGGGCTATGTAAGTTATCTGCGAATACGAGAATTAATGTTTTCAGATCTATGAAAGAATCAAAAGTTGCTGGCCGATTTTTCGAAAATATCAAGAATTTTGGCGAAGAGGAGTTGACGAAACAAAAATAGGAATTAAATTATGGCATAAATAAAAATTTGTCACGTTATGTGCGAGGAATGATTATTTGTTCCCGAACTTGTCGAAGATATTAGCACAACCTCAAAAAAAGGGAAAATAGGCAGTAAATGAAGAGAATCATAGAAAGATTTGCTATTTTGTGCAACATTCCGGTAAGATAGCTCTCAATAATAATTGTTATTGCAAAATATTTTAAATTAAGCCATAAATAGGAAATTTTGAGCACGGAAATTCCTTCGGACCACCCCAAGGGCCTATTGGGGTGGTCTGACAGGTAGGTAGGATTCTACGTGTGGGGTCCCCGAGCGACCGAGAAAATTGGCTCGAGAGCCTCCCATTGCCTACTTTGGGGCATCGAATTTGAAAGAAAAAACATGCAAATCCTACTATATATAAAAAAAATAGTGTCTGTGTGTGTATATTTGCATGCAACTTCCGTAAGTATGTACCGCATCTACAGCCTCAAGGGAAGGCTTTTAAGGTACATATGATACGTCATTAGATGCGTAAGGATCCCGAGATGAGTGCACACCTAATAAGATTTAGGAAAATCGGCTGTTTTCGCTATTAAAAATAAATTTTTGTAAAGATTTCCAAAAACCTCTTTGTTAGGAGGCAATTTGCATGCGCCGTAAGTAGGGAGGGCCTATATAAAGGGGCAGAGGAGATGTTTTTCACTTTTTTCTTGCTAGAATTTAGGGAGAAGCATGCAAATTGAGGACTTTCGCAGGTCCTGGACGGGGCCAGGGTTGAAAAGCCGCGAAGCGGTTTTTCAACCCTGGTTTATGAATAAATTGGTAAACAAGTTAAAACGCGCCCACGAAGGTTTTTCTTTCATTTTCACGACTGCTAACTCGCATTGGATGTGGATCGAAGTTTATATATATATTTTTTTCGCTTATAGGTTAGGTTATATATATCTATATATAGGCTTAGGCTTAGGCTTAGGTTTAGGCATCGGTTTCTGCACCAGCTGCGTCAGTTTTTCTTGCTGTTATATGCCCTCCGTCTATGCATCGTCAAAATCGAGGTGTTAAGGTTGTTATGTTAATTATTTTGTTATGAGAGGCCCAAAAATCTCGCAGATTGAGATTTGCTGATTCGGAAACATTTTCTCCGCTTTTTTTGATCATCGGAAATCAATATTAACATAAATGAATATTTAAATATCGTGGGAAATTTTTCGATACCATAACAAAAATGCCGACGTTCCAAAACGTTGGGATTTTTTGAAAAAAGTCACATAGTTTTAAAATCCGCGTTACATATTTTTGAAATCCCACTCCAGAGCAGACTTCCGCTCGATTCCAGCTATTCAAGCATCCACATTGAACTTTCCGGTCATAACCTCCCCACCCCGGATCTCTAGCTGTTGCTAGCCGATTTTTTTTTTTCTGCCCAGCATTACCTCCCCTGCCGAGGGCCCTAAAGGTGCTTTCATGCGGCAGAATGTCCCTGACCCGCGTGCAAAAATAAACTCGCGCCAATACGCCATTCAGAGTGTTGTCGGCAAACGGGTGGGCCGTAAGACTTGCTAGTGTTTCCCGTTTCCTGTTCTTTGACCGAAAATCCCTGGCAGGCCTTTCGTTATATTTTGTTGAATTTCTGGTGACAACTTTCTGGGCCCTGGGTTGGCAAAAAGATGCTAATGCGCGGATAATTTTGCTTTGCTTTTGATGTTAATTTTGTCTTTATTTTCCGGGGATGTATAAAAAATCGAAAATTGAAAATTGTATTGAAAAATGTATTTAATGGAATATGATCTGCTACAAAAATCATCTGTTCGAAAATGAAGGGTTTAAAAGCCATTTGTTCGACAATTTGCCTGTGAAATTGCCTAGAAAATCCTCAGAAGATTTTTCCCCTATTTCAGATTTAAAATTTTCGGATGAGCTATTGCGATTAGAATATAAACATGGTCATGCGATGAATTTTTACCGAAACTCCACATCCCAATTGCCGCTAGATGTCGCTGAATTCCTAGTGACAACTCCACAGGCCTTGACTTTGATGCAAATCTACTAATTGCATATATAATTGACCGTTGCTTTTGGTAGCCGCTCAACCGGACCCGCTGCCCCCTCACCCCCCCCGCTAAAATTACCCCGGGGAATGGAAAGTTGCACTCACCACGCGGAGGGGCCGCTAGCCCAATTTTTGAGGTGAAAAAGGATTGGGTGGAACACCAGCTGGGTCCCCTTTTGGAACTGCCTCATTTTGAGAGTGGGTGAGGACATAAAAGTTGTTTACATCGTCTCTGAATTTGGAATACGGTTGGTCCCTAGCTTTTGGGTATTTGGATCGTTTTTCAAGGGCTGTGAGGTTTTGGGATAGAGCCGAAGTGCTAAAGCAGCTTGGTTGACCTTTGGTACCAGATGTGCGATGATCTCGCTCACTCTCTCTCTCTCTCACTCTCTCTCTCTCTCTCGTTCTCAAATAAACCCCTAACATGTGCATACTTTAAAGGATTAACCGATGAAGATTAACCAATACCTATAAACAAATATTTTAGCTCAACGCCGAACACATGTGCACGAAACTTTTTCAAATCCCCCGAAACTTGCACCTTTCACATTACAAAACCCTCCAAAATGCATGCCATCCTATAGCTTTTTGAGCACCCTATACTCTCCTAGCACTCAACCCTCATTGTTGCTTCCGGAAAACCGGGAAAAGACCCCTGGGGGTCAGTTGGGGAACAACTTTAATTAGTCAACGAGACTAGGGCACCCTTTTGCTCAATTTATGAGCCCTCCTTGCTCTTGCGCCCGCCACTCGTATATCAAAAGCCGACGGGTTGTACATGGATCGCCGAGAAGGGTTTTTGTTTTTGCGGTTTTTGAGCTGTTGCGAATTGATCACTCAAACGTGAATGGGTACTGGCGGAGACGGAGTTTTTGAGCGAACATTTGGCTCGGGTTGGGTTTTGACTGTTATAATTTAATTTGGAAATATCTGCATTATTGCTGGGTTTCAGTTCACTTTTGTAGTTTGTAATGGATTCTGTGGCGCTAAAAAATCTCAAAAATTATTTCGAAAAGCGGCAGCACGGTTTTTTGTCGGATTTTGGGTCAACGAGGCTTAACAAGGTAAACGTTTTTATTACGAAATCCCCTTGCATTATTTGTTATTCATCATTGCTGAAATGAAAGCGGACCGGTCATGTGCTAAGAAAAACAAGACAATTGAAATTTTCTAGAAAACCACATACGATAGTGCTTTTCCAATAATATTCAATCAAGCGGCTCTCGTAGATTTGCGGAATTTCCGGTAGAACCTTTCGAAAACCCTTCGAAACCTTTCACACCTTTCAAACGTTTTTGTACACCTTGTCCAACCCTTCTCTTTGTCAGTTTTTCCAAATCTTCTGGGACCCTAAGACCACACACAGGATGCCCTTACCATTCCCATCGTTGTTTCTTTTCTTTCTCGATGGTGCTACCCATCCGTTTTTGTCTGTTTCTCTGTCTGTGTGTCATTGTGGGTAGACGTTCGTCCCTGGGAATGGTTTCTTTCTCTCGTTCTTTCTCCCGTTTTTCACAGGGGACGCCTCGGCTCCCCCTCTGCCCCCCCCCCCTCCTCCTCACTATTCAAAATTTACCCACCAACCCGTGCGCGTCCCTGCAGCTGTTTCTTTTGGCCTTGACACAGTGAATCCCGGGTGAAATTGGTTTTCGCATATTTTGATACGTGTGAGTAATTAATTGATTCATTCTTGAGTTTTCATCATAGAAAATCTGGCTTTTTTAGATCTGGTCTCTCTCGCTCTCTCTCTCGCTCTCTCTCTCTCTCTTTCGCTCTCTCTCTCTCTCTGCTTTCAATAAAAAATGAATAAAATGGCTTACCTTCCCAGTATAAAGCATAATTTTTCCGGCTTGACTTCCGGACATCCAGGGCCTTGTCGTTGGCAGCGCTTATTTATTGCCGGAGGGCAACCTAACAACTCCACCCATTTCGCACCCCACCCCCTGACTAGTATAAGGTTTGTAAGCTAGCCTAATCTTGCTGTAGGCTGATCTCGCTAGATTTTTGACATATACCTTACCTTAAAAAATGAAATCTTTGTCGTCGCGAGTCTGATAAGTACCCCCACTTTTTCCTTACCATGCTCAGGTGCTGAAAAGCTTTGAAACTTTGAAAACGGTGCTCATGATTAGTCCTTTTCTCCATTTTTTACTCTTATATACCGGAAATCTTTTTTGCATGATGGCTTCAGGAACATCAGGGCATACAGGGGAGAATAGCCATCATCAGCGTCAGATGCCGATGCGAGGGCCATTCCACGTGGATGCCCACCGACCTGGACCTGAGTTGGACCCATGTCTTGCCGCCGAACGTCGCCTCAAAACCACCACCTTCTCCAAAAGGTATTTTTCCATCGGATATCCCTTATGAAATCGCAAAGAAGCAGCGCCTATGCGTCTATAGTTAGCGTCTTTCGAAAAGCCTGGTTGGTTTCGTCCCTTTAAATTGTTTTGTCTAATTGGCAATATTCGGTTTATCTCAAGGCATGGATATAATTATGTTGATAGTGCTAATCTGTAAAATTTATCCAAAAATATGCCTGAGTCCCCGGAAAAGCTTAAGTAAATCCAAAGTCTTTTACAGGAAGCAAGATTGAAATAATTACAACACAATGAATATATTTCGTTCATTAATGCATTAAAAGGCATGAATATAATTGTGTTAATGGTGCTAATCTGTGAAATTTGTTGCAAAATTCCTAAAAAAAGGATCGTTCACTGGAAAAGCTTATGTAAATGTAAATCAAAAGTTCTGTGAACTCTGGCAAGATTCTAAAAAATAATATTCCATAATTGCAATATAATTATTAGTGTTTTTAGGATGAAATGCGGAATTTGTGTGATGGCACTCCTTATCATGGGCATAATAATTTTTGCCGTAGCCATCTACACCCTGATCGCAGAAGCGGCTTCTCCTAGCGCCCCGGCCCTTGGAGTTTGTATTTTACCTTCAATTTATGCAAATTCATTATAGCGTACAACCACAACGACAAAACGCCCACTGACAACCCCTGCCCAGATCAAAGCCGCTAAAATCCTGCCCCCAAAACAGAAACCCAAGCCCAAAGTCGTCCACCCAAAGTCCATCACCAGATCAAATATTACATATCCGGTAAGTCAACCATAAACCCTACATATTTTTTCTAGTCCTGCGCCCACGTGAAGGCGGCCAAATTGCCTTCCGGTGTCTACACGCTGAAGCCGGCCGGAAGGGAATTCGAAGCATTGTGCGACTCGAGTGTGGCCGGTGGGGGGTGGACCACTATTCAGAAGTCAGTTGCAGGCATTTTGAAGATATTTCTTTTTGAAAAAACCTTTTCAGGCGAATCAGCTCTGAGACATCATTTTACAACCGGACCTGGGAGGAGTACAAGAATGGTTTCGGGGATTTGCATGAGAATCATTGGTTGGGATTGCAGAGTATGTATGAGGTATGTTATAAACTAAATATATGTACATATCTATTAATGCGTGATTTAGCTTCAAAATGCCTCCTCAACACCACATACTTTACGTATCGAACTGCATGGAGATTACTGTGTAGACGCGTCAAAATGCAGCGGAATGCCCGATGGGGAATGGTGGGGAGAGTGGCAGTTTTCGGTAGGTTATCTAGCTTGAGGTTTGCTACTTATTCATACCTTAAGCTTGGAAATGAAGCCTCGGGATATCGATTGAATTTGATTACCCGGCTCAAAGGGACCCTGAACAACAAGACGGACCACTTCCTGACCAGCCACAATGGCGTTCCGTTCACGACGTTCGATCGGGACAACGATCGCGAGCCGGAAGCGAATTGCGCGCAGATTCGGATGTTTGGGTGGGTATATGGCGTTTATTAAAGTTTTAGATTTTTACGACATTAGCCAGGGGGAGCTGATTGTCTTTACTAGCCGTAGAACGTATTAAAGAAACCGAAAAAACTGAAAATAGATTTTAGTGACTATAGAACGCCTTTCGATTTACCTGCGCGTGCCGCTTGTCGTATTCAGTTACGCAACGAAAAGGCCTCGCGATCAAATCCCTAGTCATTCCATAGTTAACAAATTTCAATTTCTTCCTTACACATCCCCTTAAAGCTCATGCTCAAGGAGTTGTACGTCTACACCTATGAACGTCTGTGTTTTTCTCAGTTTCCTCAGCTCCGGTGTATAGATACAACTCACTTGACGCGCGCTAAAGGGCCAAACCGGAACGAAACACAACCTAACCCTAATTCCTCCATATTTCTAAACTTATTAAAACTATCTATCTTTTTTTCTAGTGGCTGGTGGCATATCGATTGCGGCTACACGGCCCTCAATGGAGCATACGGTGATTCGGCCCCGAAACGCCGCTATCAATACTGGTACCATGAGCACGACTCCATCGGCTACTATATCCACCCAAAGAAGAGCTTTATCTTTATGCGCTAAACGAGCTTACCCCATTGACATCCACGCCCGAATTGGTCTCACGCCACGAATTCTGTGTCATTTCCCTCCGCATCTCCATATTATACTCTCAGCCGACGGGTTTTCAAGATAATATTTTCTTTGGATTAGATTTAATAAATAGTATATTTTCCAGGTTCAATTTTAAAAAAGCATGGTAATCTACAAAACAATGGTGTTTCTGTATGTGTGTCTGTGTAGCAATTGTAGTCAATTTGCGTCAGATTTGTCCAGTCATACCGGGTAAGGGCAAGTATTTTAGGTATGTATTACGCATTAGGTGACCGCAAATTCATAAAAATATCCAAAAAAAGTAGCTGAATTGAAACTAGTCCTGCTAATTTGCTAGGGAATTTTAAAATCCGCCGGAAGTGATTCTCGTATAAAAACAACAGAGAATACCGCTTTTCCTTTTCCCCCAGGCAGAATTGCATGGGAATCGGCTATGCAAACACCATTATTACGAGCTCGAAAAACAGGGGGAAAATGACCCGGATTATGAGCAGCTTCTCATGGTGCTTCGAGCCGATGATAGACGGAGCACAACAGTCGAAGCAGCGCATAAGCGACGGGTCTTGCAAAAATTAAGGAGAGATTTTGAGCCGAAAAAGGGGGTGTATGGCCGGAAATGGCCTTCGGAAATGGAGCACCACCATCGAGAGATATAAAAACCCGAAATGGAACGGCCGGGGGGGAGCAGTATGGGAGGCGAGGGGGGCGGAATGGGCGTGCATTCATAACGGGCCTTTGCCTTTGGGGGACCCGAGCACCACGGAGACATCATGGATGCATTGGCCAGTCACCGTCTGTGGCCCCAAAAATCTCAAATTCTAAACTGCAACCGGGTCTCGCGACGGTGTAATACGGAATATATATCTGGAATGATGGCCCCAGGCATTCAGCGCAATGGGTGGAGTCATTAGAATACAGGTTGTGGGCGGGGCTTATCGTTCCGCCCCCCCCGCCTACAAACATCCCCCGTATGGCCGTTGGTGATCGGCGCGCATACATACAAACAGCGACACACAAACACACATACATACAGGCATCATCCCTTAAAAGGAGCCCTGATACGAGTGCATGGCCCGCAGTTTAGGACCCCACGGGCCGTATCGTCCCGTTGCCCCGAGGCCGCCCCGGGTGATAACGACCCTGAGCAAACAGTCTTTTTCTCCATTCCCTTCCCTTCTTCCGACGACCGGCATACCAATGGTCCGCTTCAGGACGCCCATAAAATGAGGGATAGATAGCGGCGGGGTGAAGGCGACGAGTGGTGATGCGGAAAAAGTTACAAAATATTAGGAGTGCTGGGATCAGGAGATCGAAATGAAAATCGGAATCCGAAAGGTTGTGCTCTTGTCGGTTGTTTTAAGCCTCAATTCTAACAAACTAAGCTGCCGCTATGGACCGGAAATCAAAATCTAGCTTAAAATTAGACCATTTCCAAGCCGAAATACTCAAATCCGCTTAAATCCAAACTTTTAGTCTAGTATCTACGCGAAAATTTAATAAAGCGTATCGTGCTTGCTTATTAGTATTAAAGAGTATTAAGCCGAGAAACTAAAATCTGCCTAAACCTTAGATTGATTTTCTCACCCAAGAATATAATCCATTTTAAGTTTCAACATTTTTTTAAATGCGTCTTAATCCATATTGAAAAATCTTCCCACTTTATATCTCTGCCATCTTATAGGACACGCTGTAATGAATCACAAATACCACAAAATTAAACGCACCTCCCTTCCAAGCATGTCATAAAGCCATTTATCTGGCAAGCATTGTCCTGTGCGCGTTTCCGGTTGCCTGGCAAGTTGCCGCTATCGTCGCCTAGTTACCTCTGGCACATAGAAACTATTCATTCCCCCGGACCACCACCAATAATAGGCATAAACCCTAGAGACTAGAGACCAGAGACTAGGCTAATGAAAGTGCGGAATTGTAAGTAAACGCGGAACCTGGATTGTAGCCAAGCCGCGGTTGCAGTCAACCAGCGAAATACAGGGATACAGGTTGGATTTTTGCCGGATATTGGGAAGTTTGGGTGGAGAAGGCGCGTTGGTGGGGAACGAAGCGCTTATCGGACTCGATTCCAAGCTGTCCTTGATTGCAATCTCCGGGCCGCACACAAAAGCCCCGCGCCTCACCGGCAAAAAATGCGGACACTTTGAAATTAGGGGGTTATTTGGGAGGATGACGGCGAAATTGAAGCCTTGTAGATGTTTTACGAGAGGGTAAGGGACTAATGGGATAGTGGAAAACGTTTTTTTTGCGAAAATTACGCGCCATTCTTTTCCTAAGAATCCTTTTCCATATTTTTGGGTGTTAATAGTTTTCCGGTTGGTCGACATGAGGTTTTTGAGCGCTATGGCATTGCCAGATCGTCATGCTTGGATGATGAATTTGGAATTTGCGTCATGAGTTTAGGAAAAAAAACGGAATTAGCGCACTAGCTCTTGGGAGCAGCAGCATATTTCGATTGGCTTCACCTACCAACTCGCAAATTTGCTATCTAGCTTGAAGCCGACAATTTGTGGCTGCCTTCGATGAGTCGGGTGGGGGGGTGGGTGTTTGCGCAGTTGGCTGGCCCATTGCAGGTGCGCAATGCGAAACCCCGGGGACGATGTGCCAGAGCACCAAAATAAGGGCGGCAAACCGCCAATTGCTCGGCTTTCAGCCACCCCGCTTAGGGATGACCGGGGTCAGCGCCCGGTTAGACAGGCCACCTGGCATCCGCTGGTACTATTAGACGGCTTATGAGCTTGGCTTTGGGGCCAGCCTAAATGAGCTCATCATTATTTCCAGGGCGCCACGATAGAGACCATAGCTGCTTGCTTGCGTAGGCGTAAACTAAAGCTATAAGTCGATGCCAACTTCATTACACGCCCACCAACCCAATTCTAAAGCGAAAAAAAATTTATCGGTATTGGAAAAAAACTGGGGAAGTGAGATCACAAGGGGGTTGACCAGAAAAGCACAGTGTATAAACATACCAGTTTCAAAAAAATTTACTGAGAGATCAAGGCACAATTTCTAAGCTCGTAGCGATAGGGGGAGGAGGCTCAAAATCAGAAGGCCCTGCTTCTTCGGGAAATGTCGATCGGTTGGACCAGCGATCGATGAATTTGTTGTAGAATGAGACTTGATAGCCGACCTGTAAAAGACGAATTGTTTGAGTCCCAAAAGGATCCTCACGTCTTCAGCATCCGGTTGAAAACCGAGATAAGTACTGCGGGCCGCATCTCCATGCTGCACCCATTCCGGCGCCTCAACAGCGTTAGAGTCCAGCAGAATCGCCAGATCTCGTCGCACTTTATCGAATTTCTAAAAACAAACATAAGGGTAATGTTATAGGTACGATACTCTTTTGTAAAAACATGTGAAATTGTTGCAGGCGGAAGGGAGGACAGAGCGGTCGTGATTGAAGCACTTTTTACAAGCCTTCCGGAAGAGACCAATTTGACGCGTCTGTGCTGCCAGAGTGTTCATCACATTTCTTGCGCTAGCATCGCAGTGTAGCTGTAACCTGGAAAAATTAAATTCAGGCATACGAAATAAAACTCACGAGTGTCTCATGGTATTCAAGGCGTGCATCGCCATCATTTCGTCAATTTTCCATTTCATCAGCCCATAAACCCGTCCGGCGGGTCCCATGATGTGAGATTTGGCATAATAAAAGTAGTTGACCATCAAGTTCGGTTGGTTTTGGAATTCTTCGACCGCGTGGACGCCCATATAGACCGGGTCCGTGGTTGGGTTTTCCGTCTGAGCGACGATGAAAGATATGCGCTCCTTCCACATGGGCGGGCGAAAGTAGCGAGCAGAAGATAGTTGTCTAAAATTTGTTGTGGTCTGTGAAACAAAACAAAGGCTACCGTCCGGCGATGGATTGGGCGCAAGTTGAGGTATATGGAGCACGATAGTCACGGGAAAGCAGAAAGCCGCCCAGGTCTTTGAAAGGGAGGGTAGTGACGTACTTCATCAACGTCTCATCTATTATTTTCCTCGGCTGGTTGTCGAACAGCAGTCGAAGTAATTTGTCAACCATCTATTTACCATGTAAAATATAAAGAAAGTGTATACCTGACTTGTTATCATGCATGAATCTCTTCGAATCGTTTCAATCCCTCTAGCTTCAAACGCCGGTGTCTCACCGGCCTTCTCAATTTTCATTCCAGCGTAGTGCTTCTTCGTAAATAACGCGATTCCTTTGTACACCTAAAACAGGATAATGCCCCGCAAAAAAAGGTTGCACCTTTTCCACTTTGAGTACCACTGGCCAAGGGTTTGCCTTTTCAACAACTTCTGCTAATTTGTTGCCAACTTCGAAAGCTTCCTCTACCGTCTTGCCTAAACGAAGTTTAGACGTTATATCCGAAAAACGTACCCGGACAGTGTATAAAAAGGGAATCCGTGTCGCCATAGATGACGCGCACTCCAGGGTCGACAGTCTTTGCTAACTCAATTGCATTCTCCAGAGTTGAGCGCCCATTCGAGAGGATTGAATCAGCCAACGGAAAATAAGGTATGATCGGTTCGATAGCACCAATACCTCAATGCACGGCATTCTTCCGGACCAACTAGCTGCAGTATAACCATAAGTGACGTTGCAAACAAGCTTGAGAGCCGCTTGCCTAGCGTCGAGAAGTCGAACCATATTCTAAAGGAAATCATCTACAAACGTGTAGCAATTACCGGGTCTTTCGTCATTTTCATCGAATTCTTGACAATAAGGCGAGTGGCAAGCAGTTCTTCTACGAGGGCTGGCAACAGTCCTTTCCTCGTGTTTTGGGGGACGAACAGAGCCTTGTTAGTAGATACATGAACTGGTGAACCGCTTATCAACTCCGTGACGGAAGAATTCTGAAATCGGACGTCAGGTTTCTAAAATTCAGCACCTCAACCGACCGGCACTTCATAATGTTTTCCACCCATTACGATAGTTCGCTTTTCCTTTTCTAATTCACTGATACGGCCGACAAGGGTAGTGTAGCAAAGGTTGTAGGCTATCATCATTGAGGGGTATAAGCTCTACAAACAAAAAGTTAGTCGCGAAGAGCAGGGATACCTGAAAATCCAAAACGACGACCGGATCCAAGTAAACTCCAGACTCAGGCTCAAGGATCAATTGGATGAATTCTGGATCTCGCATGCTAAAAGTAGCAAAACATTATATAGCGCTAAATCAAAACCTCGAGCGTTGTTTCTCCGAAATTGAAGCCAAGGCAAAATCTTTGACACGCGCTAAACGAAGCAGCATCGATTCAACGCGAAACTGGGATCCGCGACTGATCACCTAAATTCACACATTGAATGTAAGCATCCGGCGATTTTTACCTCAACGAACAGAATCCCATAAACGCGCGCCATTTCTGCGGTCCTTTGGAAAAAGTCGATGCGCATCAAAAGTTGTACAGTATTTATGGCAAGCATTTGTACATATTCGACGGCCTGTCTTCTAAAAAAGAAAAAGTCGCAAAATGGGTTTTGTAGAACCTGAGCACCGCTACACCAGATGTCATCCAATCGGATAGATAGTCCTGGGAATACATCGGGATGTATTTCTTCAGCAGCTCCTTCGTAGCTGTTCCACGATCATACGAGCGAAGCGCTTCTTTCCGGATACGGCGCCATCTAAAGACTTCCCCGGGCTAAAATATGCGCTTACGCGTTAACGAGTATTCTTCCATGCGGCGGGTTAGGGGCCTGACTCCCAAACCAGCGCCCTTCGATACTTGCGGCCCGTTCAGCACGCCGCTTCTTGTCCCATTGAATTTTATTATCGGCGTACGCTAGAAAAAAACAATATTTGCTGATTGGCCGAGGCTCTTTCTCACCATTCTGAACACGCGAAATCGTTTGGAAGAACGAACAACTACGCCCTTGCTTCTTGAAGACAACATCCCCTCGGTCCATAAGATAGCCCCACGATACACGATCGACTTCATAACCAATCAGGAGGTCTGGGTCATGCCTAAAAACGACATAGATTTCCATAAACAATTTACAGTATCAAGATTTCAGCACATTTGTCGAGCAGGCGCATTTCGATTTCATCGTCGGTTAGGCCCTAAAACCAAAAACTGCTAAGCAAGAGAGGAGACATACGTGTTGATGGCAACATATAAATACGCACTTCTTATCGGGCCCGAGATCCGACACGGGCTTCGTCGATAAAAAATAAGCGATGCTAGGGATATGTGTCGAGGAGCATATTGATGGATAGAAACACATCGAAATCCCGAGGAGAGCATCCGTCTAAAAGTTTACTATATATCGCAAAGCTAATCGAAACAAACCTCAGGATTCGGGAAGACCGTTTTTGTTTCAGCCATTAATTCCAGGGAAGCAACCGAGAAACCGAGAAGCTCGCTGCTCGGCTCCGCCGCTCCCAAGACGAAAAAGGACTTTTGAAGCAACACCGTATCCTAAAACCGAAGATAGCGGAAAATAACTACGCCTACCGTCAGAGGCGATTCTGGATCTGCGTAGAGATCGGTTGATATTTTTCGACGCAGAGGAGTTTTGTGCTCGATTTTAGGCGCTGCCGCTATCCCGGGTTCTAGAAAGTAAGCATCATGTCGAAAAAAACAAGATACCTGCAGGAGACTTTGGTTCCAGAATTTTTGCTGGAACAGGTGTTGGATTACCCTTAGCTTGAGGAACAGCTAACGGGACTGGTGACGCTGCCGATCTCGCCTAATCAAACAATATCATTTTACCAATCAACAATACCTGCTCGATTGGTTCGCTTTCACTGATTTCTTTATAACTCCGTTTTCCCAATTTTAGCCGGGGTCTAAACGAGAATTTCGCAGCTGAACTCGAAACATACGCGTTTGATGTTACATTCACACGTAGAGTTCGCAAGCGACCTCGGTGAACCTCATTCATTCCCTCGAAATCGAAATCCGGATCGTTCGTGAAGTGAACGGCGTTAGTTTTCTAAATTACATTGAAAATTATGAACAAAGTACGTACATCCGCCCTTGTCATAGAGCGAGTGACTTTTCGGCACACCGTGCTCTTCCGCCGCCTTTTCATCGTTTCGATATCTAGCACCTCCGGTCCCACGGCGTCGGCTTCTGCCTCGGCGTTATCCAAGGCTTCACAATTGTAGATCTCGTCCAATTCTGCGTATTCGTTCATCAGATATTCTTGTTCGACGGGGCGCTCGTCCTAAGAAGATTTCAAATTCAAAAAGTAATGCGTACAGGTTCATCCTCTTTTTCTTCATAATCAGTTGGATCATCTGCAAAGTCCGCCCACGACATATCCGGCATCGAAGCAAGCTCGGGGTCCGGACCTATACTAATTTACAGAAGCAAGGCTAGGCGCATACCAACTGTCGTCGCCAATTTTTCCCGTAATTCGGCGACTTCTTTCAACCTATCACGTTCCTCTGCTTCTTTCCCCACTCCGGTTATATGTGGCCGAAGCGTTGATCCTGAAACGGAACTGTGAAACGAATGATAAATAACCTAACCTTCCCGAAACGCATCAAAAAAAGAAACCCCATGTTCAGCCCAACGTCGTCTTTCTTCAAGCCAGATAGTCTCGATGCCGGGGTTTGGAGAAAACTCTAAACACTTTGATAAACTGGCTGTATTACACAAACCATTATTTTTGTAGAGCTTATGATTGGCAATTGCATCCACAGTAATGTCCAGTTCTATTCGGCAGGTCGAGCATTTAGGTTTTGCCGAGATTTGTCCCCGTCTTTTTAGTCGCCCGACTGTCATTGTGGGAAGGAGCTCGTCTAAAAGCATTTCTATGTTTTCAATGGTAATATTACCATCATCAGTTGCATGTGCAGGAATTCGAAACTGAACGCTCTCACTGCCCAGGGTAATCGTGACCAAATCCATCCCAAACAACGAGTGATCAGCCATTAATTGCAGATGAGGCGGCAAATGCGCTTCGTAGACACTTCCAAAAGTTGATTGGTTCCTGGTACTCCATTCGGAGAGCAGCGTAGCAGCACTAAATAACGTTTCTGAAAGTGCCAATTACTTACATTAACCTATATCTTGGCTCGAAGAACGCCACTTTCGCAAAAACTTCTTTCGTGGGGTGGTAGCCGTAAGCATCGTAGCGCTCAACCAGTTCCACACCTTGCACATATTTTCTTGGCTGCTTTGTCGATCCAACCTTTCGAGCTTTCTAGGAAAAATTGATGAAAGGCATAAATAAGCGCACCTTCAATTCAGCCTCATGTACCAAATGATTGAACAGCTCGGTAAGCGCAACTGTGTTTCTTGGCCAATCTCCGCCCACTTTCACAAGGATGTAGGCGTAGAAGTTGTGAACGTGAACGCATACTTTTAAACCTAAAATAGAGAATAATATAAAAGAATGACAAATACCATCTGAAAGGCTGCCGAAAATGTGGTAGAGAGGTTGGCCGGCAGAGGTGACTTCGAGGTCGATGTTGATCAGCCGAAAAGTTAGGTCGTAGGGCTAGAATGGTACGGTTACAAAGAGAACATAGCCGAATAAGAGAGTGCCAAGAAGGCTGGTGGAATTCGTGTGTTTCCAGGGGTGTTTGGTGAACCAAGCTATGTAAAATATCAAATTTTTTTACCGAGAAAAGTTGTCTCAGCTCAGGTGACAGTGTGCTATATCGGCTCGCCAGCATCTGCACCCTTTTGGGTGTGAAGAGGCCATTGCCTGGCGGGGGCATGCCCCGCTGGGGGCTGCAAAAAGACTTTTTTCTTTCTCTGTACCTCCAAAAAGAACGAAAAGGCGAGAGAATGGGGCGCGTAACTGGTTGGGACCTGTTCGGGACGCGCCTGTTCGTGTTCGAACGTTGCTAAATAGTCAAACGGAAAACTATAGTAATTACACGATAACAGTAACATTTAACGGATGTCTATTGTATACTAGTTTCTCTTACTTTATGTAAAAATACATCACGATATTTTGAATCCTTAAACATATTTTGGGAAGTCTATAACAAGTGTGCGTACTTTTTTTGGAATGTGGCTAAATAAACAAGAAAATGTAAAAATTCAGGATCGCCAATTCTATTAAAAAGGATTTCAGCAATTCTATGCAATAAAGGGACATTTGTTTAGAAACATTGTAAAACGATAAATAAATAGAAAAGGAAACGAAGCTAAAAAAACTGCTCGGCTGTTCCCGTGCAGCGTATCACCACGTACAGATCGGACTGTTCTACCTATAGGTGCAATTAGTTTACTTCAATATTTACTTCCAATATGACCCAAAAAATGCAATTTGTACACGTAATGCCTCCAATATTATGACACAATATAAAAAACCGGTGATAAACTGGCACATATAATCCCAAATATAATACTTTAGATATGGCTAGATCAGACATCTCCCTCCTCCATTGTCGGAAGTGGCTTATATTCCGCGGTGGCTTTGTGTTCCACGGGATAAAGCGAGTAGACCAGGATTGAGATAACGACAAGGATGATACCTGAAGGAATTTTTAGAAAAAATAATTTGAAAATACCCATCATAAATTGTAAAGTTAGCACGGCATCGCCCATTGCGATTGATATCCATGCGGTGAGGCCTGGGAGGGTATTATTTAGTTTTATAGGGTTAAAAATACCGATAGCTATTGTTTGGCAGTAGGTTTTTCGGATATTATCCGCATAAAGAATTACAACAGCAACCACAAGGCCGCCGAACGCGTTTAGGAACGTTACAGTCCAGACCATCGGGGTGAATCCATCCAGGAAATTGTCTAAATACGCCGGTTTTATATGTTTTGTGTTTTATAAAGCTAAATTTATAAAGTATTTTGGATAATTGGGTTTAAAAACATATTTAATGTATTTTAGAGGTTTAAAAGCCCTACTTGCAACAATATTATCCCAATCTTTCGCCACCACCGCTGACAAAGCCATTGGCAATGTCAGCATCGACAATCGAATATTTTGCATCCAAACATCCACTGACGATTTCTTTAATACCTTTTCAAAATAGACCCCTGAAATATTTGGGGGGATTGCCTATGAATTGGATTGCTCACCGGCAAAAGCGCTTGTCCAGCACATAGCAATCACCAACGAAACACCGAGCACAACATTGCCTTTGCTGGCTGATGGTTGCGCTGGAAATGGGTTTAGGAAATCTCTATAAACTATAATAATAATTACATTTGGCACGGTCCAGCTGCACAATAATAATCCCTATCAATGCCATTACTAACGCCATCCATTGTTTCATAGATATCCTTTTTGATAGAAGGGCAACAGAGAGGACGGCTGTAGTAATAATTCGGAGTTGGTGTGTGACCTAGAATTTCAATTAGCTGTTTTGTTTTTTGGGGCTATGGAATTATCGGGGGTGGGGTGTGTATTAAGGGGGTAAACCGACCTTTTTTATGAGTTCAGAAATGTATAGTGACGTAAGAATCAGTATTTTTATCGGTTTTTAGTAACATTTAACAACAATTCCAAAATTTAGTAAAAAAAATTCTTAGAGTTCCGGCATTTAAGAATAGTAAAAAACAATTTAGGACCGCTATTCAATATATTAGAAAAATTGGATACTAAAGAAATAAGCTGGTTTCCCCCTGAGAAACTCCCCCCCCCCCGATAATGGAAAAGAAAGGGTTAAAAAGTCCTAACTTACTAGATAAGTTGTGGCATCAATATTCGCCAGCGCGACGTAATATAAATTATTTTGAATTGCATAGATAAGTGCTGGGACGCAAACCTAGATAAGTAGTAGGCTTTTTAGAAATATTTTAGCTTACTTTTGCGGTTTCCAATTTATTATGAACTACCGTAGTCCAAAATTCTTCTAGAAATCTGAAAATGTGGTGGTCACAAACTGTAATCGTCAACTTACTTGGAAATACTCCGCAATCGTACTACAGTGATTAAAATACAGGTACAAAGCCTAATCAATTCCATAAAGAGTACAACTGTAGTCGAGGAAAATTTCGTAGTTTTATTCGCTAAAATACTTTTTCGAATTATATAGTTAAGAAAAATACCTTCAGTTACTATTAACGGCATTGTTGTTTGGACAACTGTTAGTAAAAACATAGAAAGGAATTGTATAGAAAATATAGTACGGTAGAGCTAAATGAGATTATAACTTTTGTTAGGTATTGACCTACCGATTCCGCAAAGGTATGTGCCTCTCTTCGTATTGTAACATCAGAAGGGGCTAAACGAGCCCTATCAAGGGTTCGCATTTTAATTTTGACACTGAAAACGAGGTTTTAAAAGTTTTTAGATGTCTTTTATAAAATAAAAGAGTATAAAAATGGGTTAGAAAATATTTTTCCGCTTAATCGAGAGCTTACACGTGGTATCGCCGCATTTACACTAAAATGACGATAAGAAGCGACAGCGGGGTTGTAAAGGGGAGTGCAAATAGAGTATTGTCGAGGAAGAAGTGGCTATCCATCCCCTTACAACCCATTATAATCGCTTTTAAACGATGAAAAATGGGTTGCAATTTAGCGGGCTGGCAGGAGGAAGAGAACAACGAAAAAGCAAACAATCTGGCTGCAAGATCTGAAGAGCTCGAAAAACGGGGCGTTCGTATCCAGAGGATTCCCCGCTTTTAACTGGGCACTTTTTAGCGTGGCGATAGAATGGAATGGGATCGGGGTGGGGCCGATTGGAGCCGATCGTCCCCGGCCGAAATATTTGCAAAAAGCCGTGAAGCAGGGGGGAAAATGGGGGTTGGGGGGAGAATCGTGGAATTCAGATCAATAGAGTCGGTACACCTGGTTGCCACGGGAGGCCCGACAAAAATTCCGAAGACCCGCCGGCGGAACGAGAGATATTCCTTTTTTAGAGCGACTCGGTTGCCAGTCACTCCTTGAAAATTCAAATTCAATGGATTTATAATTAAGCTACATTACCTGAGTTATTAAAAAATGCGCTTCGAAAACGACTTCATAAAAATTAAAATTTCTTGGGATTCATAATTAAGCTATCATCATCTGCGTTCTAACGATTCAAAAAAGAAAATTTTTGTTCGAAAAGGCTTCGTATAAATTATAATGCTTTGGATTCTTATTTAAGCGATAATTCTGCGTTCCAACGATCCAATAAAGCAAATTTGCTTCGAAAAACTTTGTAAAACTCCAATTTCATGCGATTCCCAATTAAGCCATGATTCTGCGTTTTAAAGATCCAAGAATGCAACATTTTCTCAAGAACGTCGTAAAAATTCAGATGTCACTAAATTCATTAAAATGCCAAAATGTTATTGATATCGTCCTAAAAATGAAAATAAAAGGTTTAAAAACGCCCCGTTTTTTCGTAGAAACTGAACCCGAATTCAAATCGACTTTCTGGCGCCGATATTTTAGAGAGACAGGTGTCTTTTTATGAATTCCTCCCTCAAAAATGTTCGCACTAACGGATAAAAAGGTTTCCCCACCTAACCTATTGCATTCCCAGCCCGCCTAGCCTGGCACAATTGATACTTTAGGCCCGTTTTTTCCTATAAATTGATTTTTTTTCACAGCTATTGTCAAAAGGCGGAATTTCGGTGAAAATGATGAGGTGTGTGCCGAATCACGGTCCATTGTAGCAATTCTGGCTCATGCCTTCCCAGCTGCCTGATAAGGGTCGAAATAAGTATTGCTTTTGGATGAGGCCACCTGTTATAATCTCATGGCTTCAAGGCTACGGGAGAGTACAGAGAACACCGTATGATATTAGGAACAAAAGCTGGAATAAATTCCCAAATTGCATGTCGTGGCTAGCCAAAAATTTCCCACGACTAATGGTCAAATGTTTCCCATGTCTTGCAAAGTAGCCTGTAACGTGGCGGAGAAATGACACTTTATTGAAATGTGGGATAATTATGCAGGGTATTACGCTCATTTTTCTGTAAAACAATTTTTTTAATCAATCTTCTGAAAATCTAACTCGACCTAGCTTCGAAAATGCTTAAAGAAGCTAGAATCGCCGAGAATAGCATAAAAAACGATTTTTCAGAAAAATGAACGTAGGGCTTATGCAAAGTCAAAGAGATCAGAAAATAGGGAAACCCGTCTTGAAATAGGAACTGACACCTAGCTGGCATATACACGTATGAAACAGGATAAATATAGGATAAAAAAGCTGTCGGCAATAATATACAGAAAACGTTTGATATTATGGAATTCGGAGGGGTGGTTTTAGCGTGGTCGTGCTTCGGGGAGTAGCCGGTTGAAGGACGCCCTTTTCTCTGTGATCACAGCTGACGGCCCATCCAACATACGAAGCGATATTCGCTTGCTGTAGCGGCGAGAGCCCTAAAAAGAGCGTATAAAATTGCTATTATTGTGGTATTGTTACCCGTGCGCTCATCATAGCAATGCTGGGTTCAACTGAGGTCCGGCGCGTCATTGTATCCCGCTCCCATTCCGAGATCACCGCGTGAGTAATAGGGACTAAAAAGGTTTGAAAACGCTAGATACCACTTACATCTACGCATACGGCCGCAAAGCATTTTTAGACACATTTGACGGAATCTTCGGCCGAAGAGCGAATATACGATGATGTTTGAGGCACTAAAATCGACATTTTGAGATGCTTTTTTGTTTCTTACCTGTTCAAGCACACCAAAAAATTCCCAACAACCGTCAACTGCGTCCGGAACGACTGCCCAAACTCGAACGTCTCCATAAAGTTGACGAGGGTGGAGAGGATGTTGAAAAAGATGAAGGTCATGATCATGACCACCGCCATCAGCGTACATCTAGAACTGAAACGGTCCGTTGCGGGGACACCGGAAATTAGGGATGTGAGTGTCGGGTGCGGAGGATACAAAGTGAGCACAACAAAGTGATGGATCGAGAAGACTCGGTAAAACGAAACTGCTTTGTTCGATTTGCTATCAGAATGTCGAAATTTGTTCAAATATATAAAACTTCGATAATGTCGAAACTTAATCTTGTCCCATTTTAGCATATTTCTGGGCGATTTGTTCTCAAAAAATTCGATATATTAAAATTTAGACATTCTGGACTTAGTTATTTTTAAATTTAAAACTTCTGAAATTTTGTAATTCAGAATTCCCATATTATCAGAATACGGTATTATAAATTTTCGACATTACGAATTTCGCCATCACAAATTTTCAACATCTGAATTTTGACATCATCGGCCTTTGACATTCTAAACTTCCAAAGTGACAATATCTCAGCATTTCAAAAATATCCCGATTTCCTCGATTCATCTGTCATGCGGTGAATTTGGCATTGATATTCACCTTCGGTCGCGTTCCTCCCGTCCGGCAGTGTTCGAGTTGAGATTTTTGCGGATTTTGTAGGCCTGGTGCACGGTGAGGACTACTTTTGTGTTGAGGACGATCATGATCATCCATGGAATGAGGACAACAATGGCCAGATAGGAATAGTTGGTGTACCACTAAAGGGGGGTAAAGTTTTGATCGGGCTCTTTACCATTTTGTAGTAGTCGTTTTGCCTCATTTCGGATGCTCCAAGTCTGCCATCTTCATCCAGGACAAGTTCGAAGAATTGTGGGATCTGGAAAATGAGGTTATTCAAGTTTTTCTAAGCTTGAGGTCAAGATTAGATCTAGGTTTAGGTGAAGCGAAGGCCAAGATTAGGTTTATGTGAGTATAAAAACTTTAATTATAACGATTTTAAAGCCAGCTACTTAAGCCCAGTAATAGGGATTATTTTAATTACTCTTTCCGACGTCATAAATGCTCTAACTAACCTTATAAAAAAATATGAACGTTGTCAAGGCACCCATGATGACAACTGCCCTCTTCGGAGTGCACCAGATTTTTGAATGAAGCGGATAGTTGACAGCGAGGAACCTGAGAAAAAACGGGGAACCTCATGAATTCCCGAAGCCTATTTACCGATCCACGGTCACGGCAACGCATGTCCAAACTGAGCCCGCCTGGAATATATTGGAAAGCGGCAGCGTGAGAAGGGCCGATTTCCAGAAGAATTGGCACGATAATGAATCGGTTGAATGGTCCTTAAATGCAAATTTGCAGCTGGGCAAAAATAGTTTTGCTTACGTTGACGACGCATAGTTGAAGGGAGGGGTACGTCAACAGGCTGCTTAAAAGTACCAAAAAGTCGAAGACCGAGAGTCCGGCCAGGTAGAGGTTCAGCGAAGATCGCATCCGAGGCCGAGTAAACACAACTAAAATCAGGGGTTCTTTTTATTCACTTGGGATTTGTATATAGCCCCCAGAATATTTTTTTCTGTTTCTGACGTAGTTGGTGGCGTACATTTTTGGGGTTGCATCTTTAGCCGTGCAACGAAAAAAAGGGGGCAGACGAAATTTCGCGTGAGTGGGGTCAATTTGTGGGGGAAATTAAGGAGAAGCGGGACCAATGTTCGCGTTGTTTGATGGTTAGACGTGTTTTAGAAAAAGTCACCTATGCAAAGGAGGGCAGCGACGATTCCCCAGATGCAGACGATTGGCATTAGGATGAGGTAGACCCAATTTTCAAGCTGAAAGTTATTGGAATTAGCAACAAATACAATGAAGTTTATAATTAAAAACATTTTAAAGAAGTTTTAAAAAATGCAATAAATTAGACAAAACTTTACTTTACCCCCTGGCCGGAGATTCGCCAAATATTCTCCGCTATAGCTTTTGATTTTAAATTATTTTGAGCTGCAAATAAATATCTTAGAATATCTTTGATACTCTATCGAATGGCAGAGCGAAAATCCCGACAAAATAGTAGGAATTTCGAAAATTTTTACGTAAAGTAGAGTCTAGCCAAAAATCATTTAACAAATTCACAACTCACCAATGATCTCTCGCCAGGTGTCCCATGCTCGTGCATCGACATATTCGACAAGTTTCCGCTCAACGGCTCGGTCCCGTTCACCAAGATGGCAAATATCACATCCGAGCTATTTTCCCGACCCATTGCCTGGAATATTGGCCGGATTAGCGCAATCAACCAAATCGAAATCGAGTTATCTTGAAGAACCCCGCGCCAGAAAACAAGAATCGAGTTGTCAGAGTCGGGCAGAAAGCCGGCAAATTGGTTTCATTGCCACGACAGTCGGGGTAAACGCCTGGATATCTAACATCTAACCCCTTGATGTTCACTCTGAATCCCGGGCCGCGTCGCAATCCAAAGTATCACTAGAAAATGCATGAGGTCGCGACCAAACTTTCAAACGAGAGCCCTTTTGAAGCCTTTTATGATACGGGCATTCCGGATACTCACGTATACCCTTGGGGGATTTGTGTTTTGTGTTGAAAAAGATGCGCGGCGTGGGGCGAAGGCCAACTACACAAGCAATTTTAATCTCGTGCCAAAGGATAGGATAGAGGAGAATTGGAGGCTTCTCGGGCAACACACATTTGGTCCACTTTGGGACGGGCCATGAAACAACGGTGGTCGGGGGAAGAATTTGATTGTAGCAGGGATGGTGTTCTAATTTTGGATCTTTTGCGATTGGGCGATGCAAAGCTGGGATCAAACTCCTGAAAAGAGGGAGAAATTTGAATGCTTCAAAACCAGACAAGGGGGTAGGATAAGTAATGAATAGCCGATTTCTCCGAATCCACAATCCCATAATCCCACCCCCGCCCCTAATTTTGAACCTGAACAGATCAAATTTTTGGGGGGTAGGTCAGGGGTTGGTGAAGCCGTAGAAAATGATTCGATTCAACATAAATTTTTTTCGAAGAATTGAGTGAACGACTTGAGATAAAGGAAAAGAGCGGAAAGGGCATTTGGATTTAGAATGGAAAAAGAACAAACGGCAAGAAAAGGAAAGCCAGGATGACTTGTAAGGACATATCAAACAAGGCCAGCCCTCGGCAGCCAGACTCAATTCCAATGGATGTGGTGTGGGGCGGCCAACGGAAAAACGACGCGCTGCCCCTAGCATTTCATCTTTATGTGTACACAATTAATGCGTAAAAACGAGGAAGGGAGGGGGATGCCCCCCCGCTCCTTGCAATAGAGAGCAAGAAGTGTGTCGATCATGTGTTCCACATATCCCCTGGCTAGGCCCTGCTCCTCTTCTTATCCTCAAAAGATGAGGGGGAGCCCTCAGCACGCGAGTTCTGCATAAACTCACTGCCATTCGATTTGTCGCACATATGCCACGCTATCCAGCAAGGTTCAGGAAAAAAAAAGGGAACGTCCCGGGCCGATGTCAGCCATATTTGATAGAGTGGGCTACTTTTTGAAAAAGTTCATGTTTCCTAAAAATAATTTTTTCGTAAAATCAAGCTGTTTTCATAATTTTACCGCGGCTATGCAAGTTTCAAAAAACCTTCAAAAAAATATTCAGAATGCTCCAAAAATTGCAAGTTCGTGAAAAACAAAAAAAAATCCTAGAAATGATGAACATAGATTCTTTCTGAATTATTACCCTAAATTTTTCAATACAGTCGATAAATACAACTCAAGAATTTCTCCCAGCCATCTGCGCAACCAATTCATAAAACATAATCTAATTGTCTACACGGCTAGCCGAAATAAAATTCTGATTCAACGCCACCAATTCCCCGTGGGCAAAATTCTGATGCTGAGTCGGAAAAATAAAACAATGTACCAAAGCCGTCCTAGGAATTGAAAAGATGGGCTGATGCTAGATCTACCGATATTACACACAAAAAGATACCAAGATCCTGGTCCAATCGACGCTGAATAGACGGCACGCCCCCAGAAAAGCCTATTATCTAGGGCCGGGATTTGCACAAATCGGGGGCACACTGTCAAAAAAACGATGAGGGCGATTAGGAGGCTCACTCTCATTCGATCACTAGATATTCATTCTTCTTCTGGTTGGAGGGAACATGTGGATCGACAGATTCAGGGGAGGGGAGCGCGAGGGGGTGCGCGAGGATGAGCGGGAAAATTAATAAATTTGGTCGTGGGGATGGGCTGGTTGCCCAGGGTCATTGAGCGTATGAAGAGCGGAAGCGAATAATTACGGAAAGGTTTGGTAACGAGGATAATTAAAATAAGGCGGAGCATGGTAATTGAAGCGGGGTTTATATATGTCTTGTGATCGATGCAAAATGGCAATTATAATGCTAAATCTTTATACCATTCTACATTCGAATTCTTCGAAAAATGCTTTTGGAGCCGGTGATTTCGAACAAATAATTTTTGAAAAAATGACAAATAAACCAAAATTTAAATACCTGAGCTACCTCAACGATCCATCCTACAATTCAGATGACCAACACTTGCGTAACTAACTAGCGATTTCTGCTCACCCCGTCAACGAGTTGTCGTAAGGCCCACTAGGCCGTGTATCCATCATTATGAAGGCGTGAGACAAGATCATTATTTCAACTCTCCTGAGACGCGATACCCTAGGATGGATGCCCCCAAGTTGGATGAGAGATGGAAGGCCATCGAGACTAGCTGTTTACGCTAATCTACCAACGCTCTCGCCCAAATAGGCCCTAATGCTGTTAATTTTTGTATCAGGGCCGGTGGTCTTTGCCCAAGATGTCCTGCGCGTTTCTGATCTTTAGGGTCTTCGCGTCGCCCTTTCCCTAATTAGGCATTTGGTCTGGATTTCCGGGAGAGAACAGAAAAAGGAGAATGGAAAACGGATGTTCCATGGGTTTCACAAAATACCCTTAAACCCCCGGAAAGCGCAGGCAACAATGAGGACAATCGGAGGATTTGAATAATCCATATCCAACACAAAACAGCTCTGCGCGGTAACAGAATAAAACGATGTATTTGGAATCCTGAATGCACGGCCGGCTAATGGGTGCCAGGCTGAAAATTACTGTTTTTGACAGGGGGCGAGGCAGATTTTAGCAAATTGCAGATACGTAGGTGGGTGAGGGTAAGCAAGGTGAGCGCAGATCAACTTCGGAAGGGAGGAAGAGAAATTCTATAAGTGCTGATTTTCATATTTGGATATCACCCGGGGGTGTGCTAGGAAATGTGTGGTTGTGGGGTGGGAAATATTTGTGGAGGGCATGATGGGAATCAAATTAGATGTGTATTAGGCGGGGGGGAAGGGCTTCTTGCCTGGCCAAGAATGGGGGGAAACCCCCGCAAATCTTGACATCGGGAATACTATGTTTTAGAACCCCTACACGGTGGGAGGAGTGCAAAAATAGAAAGAACAGTTCTGAATCAAAACTCGTGGTTTTGGGGGGACCTTGGGGCTTAGTTCCGTGGATCTTTGACTCACGAGGGGGGTTGAGGCCAAATTGCTGGCACACGATTACGTAGCCCCTGGGGAGGTGGATGGAATATGAGTGGAAACAACAGCTGCTACTACGTGACTGGCCACGCTACGTTTCGACGCTAATGGCCTGGAGGGGTCAGGAGTATTGAGTGGAATCTTAGGCGTCTAGGAACCCTGGAAAACGAAGATGAGTGCCACTTCTCAGCGAGGGTATAATGCAAAAAGGCAGATACTCATTATTTTTAATTGATCATATTTAAAAAGTTTGATTTACTAATCCGTTAAAATCACAAAAACTTTTCACGCAGCCACTTTTCCCCAGATTACAATATACCTAATCAGCAGACGACTAGACCCGGCGGCTCTATCCCAGTAACGTGGACCATGTACGAAATCGTGGACCATAAATAAAATCGTGGACCATAAATAAAATCGTGGACCATAACCGGAATCGTGGACTTTAAAAAAAATCGGGGACCTTAAAAAAAATCGTGGACCGGTAGTCAGAATCGTGGACCCTTGGTGAAAATCGGGGACCATAGAATTCCGTCCTTAGCTGAGTTATGGTCCACGATTCTGAACGTCGGAAAAAAGGCTAAATTGTTCAGAAAAACTGTGTTTCGCTTCCACAGAGCGGCCAATGTTTGTTTTTCACCATTTTTGCGGCATTTCACAATGTAGCAATGGGCTTATCACTAGTTGGGGGTTCGACCATAGATTTGGCAGAGGAATTACCTACATAATGCCGATGTTTAGAATGCCGAATATTATAATGCCGATTTTACAGAATGCCGATTTTCATAATCCCGATTTTCATAATGCCGATTTCACACACTGTCGATCCTTAGATCCCATCCTCCCGATGAATCCTAGGCCTTGGTATTTTTTCCGGAAAACCTATGCTTTCAATATTGACGCACCCCCGATACTTTTTGAAATAGCGAAACCCGGATTTTGCTAGGGAATTACCCTGAATCAAGAACCTCGAAGCCGTCGTTAAAAATTCAGTCTTCGTTACCTGCCAGGGGAGATTATTTTTATGGGAATTTTGTAAGATTTTTGTATAGAAAATAAGGTTAGAAACTTCGTTAGAACCCCCGGAATCGATTACGAAAAACTAGGATTCGACGAAAGAAAAATTCAATGAAAAATGACTCGTCAAAAGGACGCAAAATCGGCATTCTGTAAATCGGCATTCTGAAAATCGGCATGGTGTAAATCGGTATTATGTAGGTAACCAGTGGAAAAAGTCCGCTTCGCGGCCCTTTTCCACTGGACCCCGTCTAGGACCCATGAATTCTCTTTCCTTTGTTTGAAGCCTGCGGCGCAAGAGCCAGAGTCAAGGAACCATTATTTGGCCTGCGGCGCACGAGCCAGCGTTGGCAGCCGAGGCCAGCCGAGTATTGAGCCAGCAAACCATTGTGAAAAACAAACATTGGCCGCTCTGTGGAAGCGAAACACAGTTTTTCTGAACAATTTAGTCTTTTTTCCGACGTTCAGAATCGTGGACCATAACTCAGCTAAGGACGGAATTCTATGGTCCCCGATTTTCACCAAGGGTCCACGATTCTGACTACCGGTCCACGATTTTTTTTAAGGTCCCCGATTTTTTTAAAGTCCACGATTCCGGTTATGGTCCACGATTTTATTTATGGTCCACGATTTTATTTATGGTCCACGATTTCGTACATGGTCCACGTTACTGGGATAGAGCCGACCCGGCTCATCGGGTACAAATTCTCCAAAGTACACACCCTAAACATCTTCAACAAAAACATATATTCCGACAAATTACTACAACGCCCCTAATCCCGTTCCCCCCATTCACAGCACTAGAAAAATATAATAACCGCCCCGAAAAAGATAGAACCCCCCACCTACTCAGCACCGGAAAAAACTAATCCCAAATCCGCACCTCAAGTTAGAAACTGGATTAATGAAGCTGAGGACATAGAGACATACGTAGCCCCCCATTGCCCCCGGAAGCAACGTCAGAAACGAAGCTAATTGTGCAAGCGAAAAAAGGTGCTCCTCTCCTCCTTCGAACAAGGAGCTAAGCCAATAAAAAATTTATCCAATGGGATGCTGAGTAAGCGATGGACATGGGATGGGGATGGCTCTAGTCTGGGGGTCGGCAAAGAGCAACAACTTATGCAAAACGGGCTCGAATATCCTGTGGGGGTACTGGCACGTATGGGGGGGGAAGAGATGTTAGTGGTTGATGAAAAGCTACTGATGAATTGGTGGGCAGAATATCGGTCCGCCATGCTACATCGTGATCTTTCGCAAGGGGCTATTTTTGCTGGGGGGAATAGATATCCATAAATTAGGGGTTGCGCGAAAAAGATGTAGACAAGCCACGCTCAATTAATGTGAGCTGTTAAAGCGCATCTTTAGGGATTGCTACGTATACACTTATTTATGAGACTGAGGAAAAATGAGAAACAGGTGCCTTCAGTACGAAATACATAAATTGCCGAGCGTGCGCTTAAAACCTAAGACATTAATGTCGGGGCTAAGTCAAAATCAGGTTAATTTGAATATTGCCTAACCTTAAAAAGCGTTATTTAATAGCGGCTTTTGAGGTATATATGGGCGGAAGGCGTAAATTCTGAAAACGAACTTTGTGCTGCAAGAAAAATGCACAGAAATATTCTATTATTAGCCCTAAACCAGCACATCCCCAGTTTAGAATTCGGTGCACACGGGTCAGCTGAGAATAGCAAATTCAAGAAAATGGACCCAAGGTCCAGGAAATGGCATGGACCAAACCCTGAAAATGGATCCCCCAACGGCGTTCCCCCAGGGCAAAGTTGCATTCAAAAAGTATAGAATATCTTCATTTTAGGGTCGATGGGACACGTGGGTGCTGTAAAGAACTCGTTGAGTGATGGGGCTGGGGTTTTTGAAAAGGGGCTGGGGTGCGTCGAGAGCATCCCTACGATCATATTCTGTATTCAATTAGAATGAGGGAGCGGCCAGGGGGGTGGAGAAGATGCGAAGAATTTATTGGGCGGCACAGATCGTGGACATTTTTTTGGGGGTGAGAAAAACATTTATTTTGCTGCACAGATATACCTTCGACACCTAAAAAGTATAAGCACCTAACACACCTAGAACACATCTTGTTCTGCTTCGCAGTCCTCTCCAACAACATCAGAAATCCTCCACGACCCCTTCTTCGGTGTTGCTTCTGCTGCTTCAAAAATCCCCTTCCCCGCGTAATCTCCTTTTAAATCGGGAACCCTAAAATCATAGGTGGGGAAAATAATTTGTTATGAGACAGTGGTTTTTAATAATGGGTCGCCTGCTCGTGGGATGAAAATTTGAAATTTAGAGATCTGGCAAGGCTTCCAAAATTCTTTTTGGGCGGTAATCCCGTAAAATTAAAAATCTAAAAAAATGATACTCGGTAACTCTAAAATGTAAAAATTTCACTAAACCTCCGACTCGGAAAACACGATTGAAATAAAGTTCACACCCGTCCACATCGTGAGGCGTTGAAGGGAGGGAGTGGCACTTGTTTATGCTCGCAAAATCGTAGAAAAGAGCAGCACAAAACGGGTGTGTCAGGAGCATCGAATGCTCAGGGGCCCGGGTCGCTTATTTGGAACGCGGCGCGATAATCTGGGTGAACGGGGGGATGGACATTCGGGTTGAGGTATGAAAGCGAAATGGTTGTTTTGGGGGTGGTGATAGTGGTGGAATGAAGGTATGGGTGGGGATGGATGGATGGATGTGGTTGACAGGGTAGTGGATAGTGTGGCTGAGCTGCCAGTTTGGGCCGGGTGCTTCGTTTGGATGTGGCGAGACTTAGTCAACCCGCCAGTCGCAGGAAGCTCCCAGCTTCATCCTGGGGGATCCCGTGACTGGGGGGAGCGGGTGGTGAAAAATGTTCAAAAATCGGTGGGGAGTTAATTTTAGATGCAAAAAGACACCTTAATAACTAGATAGTATCGACAAAAATGTTTCACCCCATAACCACCGCTCGCTAACGAATCAGAACCAGAATTCCATGCGTATTTTTCCTAAAAATCTCTGTTTCTGTTTTTCTGCGCGCTAAAAATTTCTTTTTGGAACCTATGTATCTGGCCTCGGAAAAATTGATAGATCACCCTGACTTCAGCAAAAATTGGACTTATTTAAGAAAAATGGAACGGAATCCTACCAGAATATAAACGTCTAATATGCAATATATAAACTGGTAAATGGCTACCGTAATGACGCAAAACCTATTAGCTCCCTAACCCATTTCCCAAATAATCTTCGAAACAGGAACCCTAGCTTTGCAAGGCGTTCGACCGATCAAACATTGTGATACCCCGATTTTTCATCTTGCTGATGACGCAAACCCTCCCCCCTTCCAAGTACATTCAAAATTGTAAGCCCTGCAACAAGCTTCCGGATGGAGAGGTTGGTTGGGAAACTCTCGTCCACAGCACCACCACCCAGAGCAGTTCCGCCCAGAGTAACCAGCCGACCGGGAAATCGGGCAAATTTTGAGATGCTTGCCGAAATTGCTCCCGCCGCCGGCTGTTTGAGCTGCTCCCCCCTTACATCACGAACCTCAATTTGCGTTCGAGTTCCGGCTCCTTCCGGCCGAAAAAAAATGCGGTAAACAAATATTCGGTTCTTAGATTTTTGGTGATGAATATCGAGGGGGGATGGGTATCGGATTCTCGGGAAGGGGGGAAGGAATTTGAAAGCTTGTGCCGTTAAGCAAACTCTAGCCATCACCATGAAAAGCTCGTAAAGGTGGTGGTAATGGGGGGCGGCGGGGTCGTTTTTGAGGGCTCTACAGATGTTACGCCAAATTCACTCGTTGGGCCGTGTTGGTGAAGCTCCAAAAGTGGTTGTCAAAAGCAGGGATTTCCCTAGCAAGCCTATAAATGACGTGCAATTTAATTTATAAACCCAATCTTTGAACATCTTAACCCCTTTAAACTAATTTAAGCGTTGCCAAAACACAGTCTAAATTTGCTTTCCTGCGGCCGGATCCAAATTACGTTCGAAACACCCCACCTGACTTTTAGAACTGAAAAATCGCACGTCCCACAAACTCATAGTCATAAAATTGTACCCGCGAAGGCCGCCATTATCCAAATGCCGCCCTCGGGCTCGTTATTTTTGACCCGGCACGCCCAACCATCCGAATGCATAAATTACGTCCAAAATACGGCGCTACCCGCCCGGATGACAACCCTATTATCTCCACGCTATTTTCAGTGGCTGAATAGATGGATTTGAATCAAAATCCGCAGCGCAGAACACACTGAAATTTTTCGGTGATTTTTCAGATTGGTCATCTGTCACCCGGGCGGCGGGGGAAGCCGTTTGGGGGATGCGATTGGGTGCAGGAATGCAAGAATACCTCGATTAGACGGGGGAGACAAACCACATGAGCTCTTTTTTTTAGGAAATGCGCGTTGATGGGCTCATTTTTGCGGGATGAATAGGGCCATTGACTTGTTGCGGAGGGTAGGCGGATTACCGTTTTGGGGTGTAGTCTTAGGACGGGCAAATATGTTTCTGTCCGAGAACAGTGGGATTTTTGGGGGATTAAGTGTGTATTGGTTTGTGGATTGTATAGGTAAGTTTAAATTGGGCAGAAGTTGATAATAGCTATGGAGAGAAGCGTCTAGACCCTAAAAACTAGACGTATAGAATCTTCTCAGGCGTAAAAATTTCTGGCGAACTTCTCGAACCTGTCGGAAAACCGGAAATGCAGGGATATTTGAGAGTATAAGATAGCAAATTAGCAAATGTCAAACCCTAAGGTCAAACGTGAGAATCCCTAACACGAGACCCAGACAATACCCACTGAACCCGAAGCCGAAATAGATGCGGAACTTGTGGGTGGCCAGCCCTCCACTCTTGGTAGCTGTTTAGGGCCCACCTCCCCTACCTCTTCCTCCCTTACCTTCAGCCTCTTCTTTTCACCCGGGTCGTTCGTTTTCTCCTTCAGTAATCTATGCAGTCTTGCGAGAACTGCCTTTGTCTTTCCCATTGTCCACACCAAGTTCCCCCACCTCTTCGCCCATGTTAGCCCCCGAATTTTTGGAAAACGGCAACTTTCCAAGGGTATTTATTACGGATCAATTATACGGATACAAAAAATACACAAAAAAAACAATACAAAAATAATATAAACAATAATACAATAACCAAACAGAAATTAGCTGTAGAGCAAAGGGGAAGACCAGGGTTGAGACAAATTGCACACACAAAAAAGGGTTTCTAAACGCATTTAAGGCGCATATGGAATGAAAAATTTCTGGCAAGACATATTATGGCGAACTGAGAACTTGGAGGTTCAAAAAATTTACAAAAACGAAGCTGCCGGACGATAAAGTAATTTCAAATCGGGAAATTTAATCGAAATTATTTAAAGTGTAAAATGGAAATTGGTGGGCAAAATGTCGGGGATTTTTTAAGGAAAGTTACAGATCTAGGCAGCGACCTCGGATTCGACTGCGACCTTCGGCTTGCGGAAGATGAACATGGCGACGAAGACGACCTCGAGGCTAAAATTGGAAAATTTAGAAAAATTATGTAAAAACTTTTTAAAAGGATCGTTAAAATTTTTAAAACTTACAGCAAAGCAGCGAGACCGACGGCGATGCAGGCGTAGAAGAGGATGCTGTACTTGCGCGGGTTGCAGGCCAGGCCTAAAAGACAAACAATTAACTTTATAAATCGTTAAATTTGCTAGTTTTTAGCTCATAAACTAAACTATAAAAATAAATTAATAACTCACGGATCTTGAGGTCGAGGAGGTTGTCGTCAATCATGGCCTCGCTAACGCGCTTGCAGTGCTCAGTCTTGAAGCATCCCGTCTCATTCAAGAACCTGGAAATCGGAATTTATATTTTTGGTTAATAAATATTGTTGGAGGACTACATCCCAGATCCGAATACCTAATTAGCATACGCTACATTTCCGGTTCTATTGTCCCCCATTTGTCGATGCTCCCCCTCATTGTTCTGTATCTTTCCCCCACCGCTTGGTCTGCCTCTACCTGGAATAAACCTTTCGTCTACCTCACCCACAACTACAACAACTGGCGAGCAAGGATTCGAAGACATGGCCGACCCCGAGATCAAGGCTCTGCTGAAGCAGATGACGGCGATGATGGCTGCAGGACAGGAGCGTGAGAAGAAGATGGAGGCACAGCTCGAGGCCTACCGCGCTGCGACCCAAACGCACATGGGCACAGTTAGCGAAGACCCTCTGGGTAAATCCGCAGGTCCAAGCCATCCCAGGCCTCTGGATGCGGTCGAGCTGAGCGCCCTTTGCTCACGACTCGTTCGGTTCGAGTATGACCCATGTTTGGGGCTTACGTTCGAAAAGTGGCACGAGAGGTTTGTCAACCTCGTCTCCACGGAACCGCGCATCACTGAGGATAACAAGAAACACCTTGTTCTCAGTATGCTGGATGGCAAAGCCTATAGCCTCCTAGCGGATCACGCAAGACCAACGGAATTGTCTGCCGTGAAATATCCCGACATGATCAAGTCGCTGACAGACATGTTCGGTGAGAAAATGTCGCAGTTCAGTCGACGTTTTCTGGCATTCCGTGTGGCCAAAGCAGCCGACGAGGATATGCACTCCTACGCAGCACGCGTCAACAAGCTGTACGAGCTTGGTCGTGTCAAGGAGATGAACGAGGACGAGACGAAATGTCTGTTGTTCGTTGCTGGACTTTCCGATCAGGAAAATCGAGAGATCCGCAAGAGACTGTTGCACATTCTGGAGTCAAAGAATGGTGTCAAGTTGAGCGATTTGCTACGCGAATGCGATATGCAAAGTTCCCTGAATATGGATATGGTCGTTGAGCAGAATATGCAAAATGCCAACGTGAACCGGGTTCACCAGCAATCGGGTTTCCGAAAGAATTGGAAACGCGAGCGAGAGCCAACCTCTAGCAAGGGTTACTCGTCGCGACCGGAAACCAATGATCGGTCCCCGCGAGACAAGCGGAATGACAACTGTAATCGTTGTGGAAAGAGCGGACACTGGGCAAGAGAGTGTCGCGCAGACCCTGGCAATATTCGCGGTGCTAATTTTTCGAAGTCGAAAAATCACCAAGCCAAAGACTGGAAGTCGAAGGTGAACATGGTTGTCCATATCAATGCCGTAGACTCGAGTCGGAAAGACGTCGAGATCTCAATCGAAGGCGTTCGCTTCACTTTGCAATTGGATACTGGTGCAGCCGTCACCATCATCGATGAAGCTGTTTGGCGCAAATTGAACTGCCCCCAGCTGATTCCATCCAATATTCAATTACGTGCTGCAAATGGCGGTCCAATTGAAGTGCAAGGAAGCTTCGATACCAATTTCGAAGTGAAAGGCATTGTCGGTCATGGCAAGTGTTTTGTCACGAAGAACATCAGATTGATGGGGCTTGATTGGATAAATCAATTGCCACAGTTCGCTTCGTGCTTCGATGAGCTGTGCGTGAACAAGGTCGCACTGAAAGAGTCGATGATCTGTTGATCACCGGCCGGAACCAGGAGGAGCATGACGACAGGGTCCGTCGTTTATTTGAGCGAATCCAAGAGTTCGGATTGCGCGTCAAAATGGAAAAGTGCTCGTTCGGCCAGCCTTCGGTGAAGTATCTTGGCTTCATTCTTGATGCCCAAGGCCGAAGGCCGGATGGCCAACGCACGGCTGCGATAGCAAGTATGCCATCTCCTACCTGCCTCAAGGAAGTTGAGAGCTTTTTGGGCATGGTATCATTTTACCAGTCATTCATTCCTCGTATGCGGCAGATGCGCGCCCCGCTTGACGAGTTGAAAAGGAAGGACAAAAAGTTTGTCTGGCATGAGGACTGCGAAAAGGCTTTCCAGTCGCTCAAGGAGATTGTCATCTCCGACTTGTTGCTCTGTCACTATGACGCCAAGTTACCCATTGTCGTCGCCGCTGATGCCAGTGAGCAGGGTCTTGGGGCGGTCATCACTCACAGATTTGCGGATGGGTCAGAAAAGGCCATCGCGCATGCCAGCAGGGCATTGAGTGTGGCAGAGAAGAACTACAGCCAGATCGAAAAGGAAGGCTTGGCCCTCATTTTCGCGATTCGGCGCTTCCATCGATACATCTATGGAAGGCGTTTCGTGCTCCTGACGGACCACAAGCCCCTTTTGCCAATATACGGGTCGAAAAAAGGCATTCCGCAGCACACCGCAAATCGATTGCAGCGGTGGTGCTTGTTGTTGAACAACTACGATTTCTCCATCGAATATCGTAACACGACCAAGTTCGGTCAAGCGGATGCGCTTTCCCGTCTAATTCCGCCAAAAGCTGAACCTGACGAAGACGTCGTTATTTCGCAGATAGAAATCGACGTATCAGCAGTTTTTGAGGAAAAACTGAGCCGAGTTCCAATTTCGCACAAGGAAATTGCATCACAAACGGAGCAGGACTACCATCTTGGCACTGTGATTGAATATCTGAAAAGTGGAACGTTCCCAGACTGTTTGCCAGGCTCGTCTTTGTACGCCTTCAAAAGTCTCGTTTCCAACTTATCAATTCACAAGGGTTGCCTATTCCTGAAAGAGCGAGTTGTCGTCCCGAAGAGACTTCAATCTCGAGTCCTGAAAATGCTCCATGAAGGACATCCTGGCCAGACCAGAATGAAACTCCTTGCGAAACAATACGTCTATTGGATCGGCATGGATACAGACATCGACCGCATTGTCCGAGAATGCGAGGGCTGCCAGAAAGCGCAGAAGATGCCTGTGAAAAGTGAATTGACCCCCTGGCCTATTCCCAATCGTCCGATGGAACGCGTGCATATTGACTACGCAGGTCCCATCGACGGGAGAATGTACCTGGTATTCGTTGATGCCTACTCTCGTTGGCCAGAGATCCACGATTGTAAGGTCGCCACCAGTCGTACGACGATTGCCCAGTTGAGAGACATCTTCTCAAGGTTCGGAGATCCGGAAACGCTTGTTTCGGACAATGGGACTCAATTCACTTCGAAGGAGTTCGAAGAGTTCTGTATGGAGCGTGGCATAAAGCATGTACGCACGCCTCCGTTCCACCCTCAGTCGAACGGTTTGGCTGAACGCTTCGTCGATACCTTTAAGCGCGCTCTGAGCAAAGCCGCTGGTTCGACGAATGCGGAAACGTTGCAAGTCTTTTTGCGAACGTATCGGGCCACTCCATGCCCCTCTTCGCCACAACAGTTCTCTCCGGCTGAATTGTTTATCGGGAGAAAGCTTGTTACTCCTATTGCGCGTTTGGCTCTGCCATCGAGCAACGGCAATGTCCAAGTCGTTCTTCAAAAAGAGGAGAAGACGACGATGGTTGAGCAATACAACCGGCGTCATGGTGCTCGCAAGAGATCGTTTGAGATCGACGCCACGGTTTGGGTTCGCGACTACCGAAAGCCGAACAAACCAGCCTGGGTCGAAGGGCGTATTTCCAAGCTACTTGGAAAGTCTCTGTATGAGGTTGAGCTTCCCTCTGGAGATTCTTGGCGCCGACATGCCAATCAGCTGCGTCGTCGATACGTTCGAGACGTATTGCACGATATTCTGGATGAATTCGATCTTCCCAGTACTGATGTCAATGTGCAGGACACTCGTCCACCTCTTGACTATTCCAACCACATGTCGATGGCCACCGATACTACATCTGTTGTACCCGCCCCCACTCTTGATGTACCTGTGCCCCTTGTTCCCCATCACCCCGCTCAACACCGTACCATCCCGGATACGAAGACCTCCCCTGGACGCACCACGAAGACGTCATCGGATCGTACCATCCCGGACAAGAAGGCCTCCCCTGGACGCACCACCAAAGCGTCATCGGATCGCACCAACTTACGTGCTCAAGGACAACCCACTGCTGACGGACAAGCTGAAGACGTTCAACCTCGAAACGTCAAGTCCAAGGAGTTGCAAAACCTCGGACCCATTCTCGACGGCAAGCGCGACCGAAAGAAGACCGTTCGCTTCCAACTGTGATGCGCCACGCTCGTGTTCCACTCGACAAGTCAAGCGCACCCACATCACCGACAAGTTTAATGGTCCCATGCTGATGTGCCACCCACACTCGTTCCGCGCCTCAAGTCAAGCCGTCATCACCACCTCAAGTTCAACTCGTTCAAGTCCGACTGTCCGCAGCGCTCATCTTTGAAGGAGGGAGATGTTGGAGGACTACATCCCAGATCCGAATACCTAATTAGCATACGCTACATTTCCGGTTCTATTGTCCCCCATTTGTCGATGCTCCCCCTCATTGTTCTGTATCTTTCCCCCACCGCTTGGTCTGCCTCTACCTGGAATAAACCTTTCGTCTACCTCACCCACAACTACAACAAATATATATAAGTTAAAAATGCTAATAATATTATTCAGCTATAGAATAACAGGAAAAGTATTAGAAACCTACGAATATTTGGGGCAGATAAACCCGTCGGGGACGTTTTGCTCGGAGTTGATGGTCAGACCCTGGTGGTCGGTCTTCGGGACGTACTGTAATAAGACTTTATTATCATATTTACGGCAACCAGAAATCGCCTAATAATAAATCACCCCAGTTTTTTCTAATCACTTTAATTAATCTGGTTATAGGCTAATTGTAACTTCCGGTCAACCCTATACGCGAACAAAGCTTTAGCCTTATTTCCTGACGTTTGATCTCCAGTCGCTTTTAAACAGTGTATGTTAAAAAATAAACGCTGCTATTCAAACGGCATATTCTCAAATTAACATCACGATTAAATTTAAAATATATGCTATGAAGATAGATAAGAATAATCTACCATCAGAAATCCGGTGCAAAGCAGAATGACGGCAAAGGTGCACGCCAAGATCAGCGTGAGGCCGCAGCAGCACAAGCGATTCATAATCATATTACCTAAAAAGCATGAATATTATAAATAACTAAAAGAAGTCAAGAAGGAAAGATAAAAAGATAATGTTCTACGTTGCTAACATATACCTAATTGGCGCGCGCCTGCTACCCAAACAACAGGTCATAAAGTGATAATGCGCGGCAGGAGGCAAGAACTTTGTGCCCTAAAGGCGTATGATATCAAAATGGGTATGATAAACAAGGATCAAAGACATTTTTGGCGCTGCCCAGGGCGGTGGGGGGATGGGAAGGGGTGGAGTATGCAAATGACCCACCCGATCCGGTATGGTCCGGCCAACTTTTTAGGGGGTGGGGCCCATTAGCTCCGCCCATTAGTTGGGGATAAACTGCTTCCGGCTCTACAGTAATTGATGCTTAAGAAGTGGGTTGGGAAAGTTAATTCTTTAAATCGCTTTAAAAAGCTGTCTTGAAAAAGATTTGGTGCTGTCGGAAGTTTTAACTTAAAAAAATCCAAAAAAAACTAGGATTTGAAGCGATGAGCAAATGAAAAAGGTGAAAATAGTCCGGAAAGTTGCAGGTTATATCTATTCGTTAAAATTTATGCGTTTTTGTAAATTATCCTCATGAAAACGCCTCAGGTCCTATAATTCTCGCTGCCAGTACATCCGTATAGAGAGCCGCCAGGTCTACAGAGGTGTGAAATGATGCAGTTGGCACCTAGTCGGGCCATCAAAGCTATCCATAACAGCACCAACGGCGGGATTTGACGCCTTGCGCAAAACTTGTATTTGTTTGCGGTATTCTTAATCGATAGGTCTTTGCCACAAATAGAATGGGAAAATTAGGGCACAAATAATTAGGGTTAAGATGGTCGATTTTCTAGAGATTTGTCTATTCTTCGGTTCCAGAAACCAAGATCGCTGTGGCCGATTCAAAACCCTTTCCATTGGATCGTTCGCTCGGTTCCCAAGCCCTTTAGGCATTTCGGGGGTTGCGACGACGCTCTGAAGAAAAAGGGGCGCCGTTGCGCAGTCCTTTGATACCGCTCAAGGTTGCCATTTGGTCATACATTTTGGGGCGAATTTGAAACACCGGCCTCTTGGCCTGTCAGTCAGAACCAGAAAATCAGGGACGTTATAGTAGTTCCATAATATTACCGTTCCCAACATTTTTTTCTTTATCTGACATCTGGCATTTGAAGACAGTCCCTGTGACCTTTAGGGACATTTAGGTTGTGCCTGCTTCTTGGGTGGCCCATATGCGACCTTTGGTACAACGGCCAGCTTGGGTTTATGCCCGGAGCACGGATCGTTTATTCTTACAATTTATTTGAATGATAAAGGTTATTCAAAAAGCCCCTAATAAATTTAGAGGAATGCCCTAGATTTAGCCAAAATAAGGGGCCACACACTTCAACGAAACCTACCGTAATCCAAAAATTAGTAGAAGAAGCAAAGCTCAGTTTACATTAGCAACTCACTAATTGCTTTGCGAAAAACCGCGTAGTTGTTCCTAACTTGCCAGATGTTGTCGCACTACTTTTGACTCGATATTTTCAAACAACCTCCCGCCTTTAAAGGATAAACACATAGCCATCACCCTAGCCAGATGACAGGCCAAAAGCCGGCCCGACAGTTCAGCATATGGTTTTTGACCTAATAAACATCTAAATCTTGGAGATTTTCTTATGAAAAAAAACGTCAGACGCATGGGTGGGCTAGCCAAATTTTACTCGTGATATTAGAACTGGGTCAGAGTGCTAAAATAAAAAAGTATTAGCATTTATTTGACTAAAAACACAAACATTTCATAAAAATTATTAGACGATGAATTCCTTTCGGTTGCGGCGCAAGGTCGAATAAACCCATTTGCATGGCACGATGAGGCAGCAGATCAGGTCGTAGCCCAGCTGGATGCTAAAAATGTCGATTCTACGATTTTGTTAGGCTTATTAAACAATTGTTCAAACTTAATTAATGAATTTAAAAACTTACAGCAGATATCCACCAAAGATCACAAGCACGCCGCTGACCGCCTGCGCGGTTTTAAGTGGATTGCAAGCAATATCTAATTTTGTTTAGTTGACTTGTTAAAAATAGTTCTTACAGATGATGAGATCGTCATTTTGTTGCCAGTTGCCATCTTCAACCCGGATACATTCGGCAATCGAGAAGCAATCTCGTGGCAGTACATATCTGTAAATAACAAATGCGTTTTTTTAAGCAAAGGTTGCCTGGACTATTCAAAAAAACCCACTTGTATTTGGGGCAGACCATGGTGGAGACGTCCGCCTTGTCGGCATTTTCGAGGGTCATGCTCACGGGGATGTACTAAAAATAATATCTTTAATAAAGCGGGGAGATCGGCACTTTCACAAAAAAATTAATTGCTTATCGAAAATAACAGGGTTTGTAAAATCTGGTACACATTCAATTATTTCAAGACCATTGCCCATCTAATGATATACGAAAAATATTTTTAAATCGTTATGCTAATGAGATATGGCTGGAACGAGGTCATAGCGCGGCATGCAAAAGCACACTCTGGATACTTTTTGAAGGTATAATCGATTATTTAAATTAAAAGCATAATAACTCAATATTAGAGGCATTATATCATACTATATTTCGCTTTATGAAACATACCGCCCACATCGATCCAGCGAAGATGCAGGCAATTGTAGAGATTATGACAAGGAGGGTTACGACAATTCGGCACATGGTTCTAAAAAGGTTTTTTTTGGAAAGATTATTTTTAGTATGGGGGCAGAGATGGGGCAGGTCAAAGCTGGCTTGACTTACCAGGGGGTTTGATGGTGGGGGATTTGGATGGGAATGATGTTATGCCGAATACGGCTCTTTATATATTAGCTGACAGATGGTGAGAGGTGATAACAGTTGACATGTCGGCAGCCGAGTAGGTCAAGCTAGCTTTGCAGCACCAATGGCTCTTATTTACCGCCTTAGTCAGGAAGGCAACCGCTTGTTGCGGTACTGTAGAGGATACTGAAATATAAAATGCGCAAGGGCTGCCTTCAATCGGAATTCCCGGAACCGATGGGCTTCGAGTACCCCTAAAAACTGTGCCACAACTATAGACACCCCCGAAGTTGAGCTTTCCTTCCGGATTCTCAGAAAAATTCGTGCCATTTTGACCAGTCGCATGTGGAGTTGTGTCGGAATTATAAAAACTCTTGGTTTTTCTTCTTTCTTTCGCTTTCTTGGCTGGGACTCTGAGCTTCATGAATTTCGGCGCAATTCGCTGATTTTGACGTTAATGTATCGCATTATCTCGAAGTCGAACTTCCTGAACACCCCATCTTAAGAATGTTTCGACATTTTGCAAACTTAAAGGTCCAGTAAATTTCCGAAAAATCTAGGTCATCACTCAAAAAGCGCAAATTTTGGTCAGGATTTTGGTATCAGCCTTTTTTGGTAATTCCCGTCAAGTCATTCCGAAGTGACCCCCATATGTGTGAAAAATACGAAGGGACAAACATTTTGGAGCAACCTACGGTAAACCCAAAAAATTAGTGGGTGGTCAGCTTTTTTTATGTTTATATTAGCAGCTCCATAGATCCTTTGATTGGGGCCGAAGCTCTGGCCCTGTTCTTCCAGACGTTATTCATTTTCGCGCGCAACTCTTTAGCTGGATATTTTCCAACCGACCTTCCGCCATTAAAGGATAAACACATCGCCATCACTCCGAACAGATGCCAGAGCAAAGCGTGCCCGACGGTTGCGCATCTGGTTTTTGTGCGGATCGGGGCTACTAGGTCAAGAAAGTTTTGTATACAAATGCTAGGTTGGTTGGTTGGTTGCTGGTACTATCCGCTTTTCGAGAATATATTTTTTAATGTCGAGGGATCTCAGAGTAAAAAACTAACATTTATTTCCAAAAAAAGGTTCAAAACGGTTAGACGATGTATTTATTCTGGTTTCGGCGCACGGTGGTGGAGATCCATTTGCACAAGGCGTGTAGGAAGCAGGCCAGGTCGTACGACAATTGCACGCTAAAAGGTTTATTTTAATTGAATTAAATTGTCGGGTTGATAGTCAAACTACACAAGTTGAAATCCGGGTTTTAAAAAACGTTGATATTCAAATCCTAGATAAAAGTTGATAGAAGAAAAGACGAAACGAACAAAAATCTGAAAACTCACATCAAGTAGCCGCCAAAAATGAGGAGAGAAGCAGTGACCATCTGCTGGGATTTGGACGGATTGCAGGCAAAAACTAAATATTTTTGATTAGGCATTTCAATATTTTCTTACATTTGATGAGATCATTGTCCTCAGTCCATCGACCCTCATTCACTCGAGCGCATTCGCTATATTCGAAGCAACCGCGATTTTGCAGGAACCTGTAAATAATCGATAACATAATGAATGGAAAAATAATAACTAACAAACGATAAGTCTATCGTAACTTATTATATTTACAAATTGAAAACCTACCGGTATCTTGGGCAGACCTCCATTTCATTGGTGACCGTCACGCTATACGGGATCACCTGAAATAAAGGAATATTGTAGTCGATAGACAATCAAAATGGTTTAACAATGCTGTTATTCAAATACCTACCACCCAAAAAATTGCAGCCAAAAAGCAAATGATCGACGACAGGATTGTCAAAAGGGACAGAAAAAGTCGGCACATGGTTCTAAAGAGGAATTTTAAAAAACTAGTATTTTTGGGTAGGAATAGAGAGCTGGCTTGACTTACCAGGGTGGTTTGATGGTGGGGGAATTTGGATGGGAATGATGTTATGCCGAATACGGCTCTTTATATATTGGCCGGCAGATGGTGAGTAGTGATAACAGTTGACATATCGGCACCTCGAGTAGCGCTTGTTGGTGCGGCACCATTAGCCCTTTGCCCACCGCACCAATGTCTCTTATTTTGCCGCCCTATTGTTTGTAGAATGATAAGATGAGAAATGAGCGGCTTGGCAGCGTCCTGTGGATGGTCGCGTAACCTAAAAAGAACGGGAAGCTGATTTCGAGGTGAATTACGTGGACCGATGTCGGTTAGATATTCTCTCTACTAAAGTTGCACCCATCAGATCTGGAGTTTCGCGTTCCGAGAGAGCTCATTCAATAGAGCTTGAACCTCTGACTAAAATTCTATATTACCAAAATTTCTGAACTAAAAGAGCCTTGGAAAAAATGGCTCTGAATGGGCCCTTTTTGTCCATTTCTGTCCCGCGCTTAACCAAAAGAAACTTTCAGGAACTTTTTCACCACAGCCGTGATAGTTTAGCAGTTTTGAAACATGGGATGTGTTGATAATATCAAGCTCTATCGACTCAGCTGTCACCTATCGCGAAACTCCCAGCTTATTGAATTTTAAATATAAAAAAATAGTTCCTGTGTGTGTGTGTGTGTGCATTTGAATGCAACTTCCGTCACCGTGTCCGGAGGATATCTCAAGAGGGGAAGGGCGTTAGGCTACGTATGATACGTCATTAGGTGCGTAACGTCCCCGAGATGACTGCACGCATATCAGATTGTGCAAATTATGCTATTTTCGACATTAAAATTGAGTTTTTGTTGAAAAATCCGGCAGCCTTCTTTGTTAGGAAATAATTAGCATACGCCGGAAGTGGCGGAAGCCTATATATAACCTGAGAGACTGGAATTCCTCATTTTCCCCCCATAGGATCTCGAGAGAAGTATGCAGAGTGAAGAATTTGATCAAGTTAGACGGGGCCAGGGTTGAAAAGTCGCGAAGCGGCTTTTCAACCCTGGTTGAATTTTAAATTTGGCTCAGTGTTTGCGCGGTCGGATCTAATTTCGATCTAATATATATTTATAGCAGATTCCTAATTATTACTAGACTTTCGAGGTTAGCTGAAATTCTCTGATATACGAAAGTTGTATATAAAAGGCGAAAACGATGATATAATTCACTTTCAAAGACTTGCAGCGGATGCTTGCTACTCAAAGCTTTGACCGAAAGCATTAGTCGGCCTAGTCGAGGTAACAAAAGGCGACAATAAACCCAAATGCGCAAAAATGATGGGAAGATCCGAAAATTAGTTCCATCTATACAGGGTGTCCCAAAAAAAACGAACCATCTGGCATTTCGCCGGGTTACATCCAATCGGTCCCAAATTTGGGCCAAAGGTGTATCAGACCCTAAATAACAACAATCCTGACTTTTAGCCTCGTAGCTATAGACGTGCTCGAGTAATAACGAAAATACTGCGTTTCCCGGAATTCTGAACAGTTTTTTCGGCTATCCTTTTGGACTTTGCATCGATTTGCATCGACTTCCGGCTGTGAATCCCTAATTTCGCTTAAGATCTGGGGTAATTTGACGTTGTAAAAATCGCTTAAATCGAAGCTTGTTTAATCAAATTAATCTGAAAAAAAATTTCTTAGGGTAAAGAAGGCCTACCGGATCATTTTCGCTTAATGTTTGGGGATCCTAATTCCACGAAAACCCTATGAAACATGGAAAATAAAGCTTGTTTTTGTTATAGCTCGAGAACCACGATAGCTACAGGGCTATAAGTCAGGATTGTTGTTATTTAGGGTCTGATACACCTCTGGTCCAAATTTGGGACCGATTGAATGTAACACGGCGAAATGCCAGATGGTTCGTTTTTTTTTGGGACACCCTGTAGAGCTCTAGCTTATAAATCCTGGATTTAATCCAGTTTAGAACGTTTGGCGACGTCTACTGAGGTTCTAGGATACGAGTCTCAAAACAGGCTGCAACTAATGAGAGCAAGACGGCTAGCGTTAAACCAGGTGACTTCACTGGGATCACTTTTCTAGGAAGCTTACTTTTTACCCATGGTTGTGTGAATATGTTTGAATTGGCTACACTGACTTGCCCCGCGGTATATAACAAACATTTATTAAAGATAACTACACAATTTACACGATAAATTCTTTACGGCGACGCATGGCGATGGCATTGCGCAGCGGCGTGTGGATGGAGTTGATCAGATCATACATCATCTGGGCGCTAAAACAGCTTTGTTTGTGTCAGCAACTCGCTTCTGAATTGCGAAGCCTTGCAATCCCAGAATTGAACACTTACACTAAATAACCGCCAAACACGAAGAGCACGATGTTGACGATCTGGCGGCTCTCCTTCGGATAGCAGGCAAAAACTAAAGTATCACATTAATTGTCTTCGTTTACCAAAACATACACTTGATCAGATCCTCTCCATCTTTCCAATCACCCTCGCCAACACGACGGCATTCAGCATTTTCAAAGCAGTAGCTTGTTCGAAGAAAACTGAAATATTCACGTTTCGACAATTGAGCGTTCAAATTGCAAAGCTAGGTTAGTAGCTATGAAAATCAAGACTCACGCGTATTTTGGGCATAGTAGTCCGGTGATGCGTCCGCGAATTTCGGAAAAATCGCTAGCTAGGGTTCCGCTCTCGGGGATAAACTGAATTTTTTGCCATTAAAAAGTTTAATCTTTTAAATAACCCACCATCAGCGCTGTGAGCGCGACCGCACACATAACCACCGAAATCAGTACGAGCAAGGGAACGAAGACTCGGGACATGTCTCTAAACAAATGAATACTAATACTATATATTGGTACTATTGGGGTAAAGAGGGGCCAAAGGAGGGACGACTTACGTTTGGATGGGCTGGACGGAATGAGATTTGTGTAACGTTGCGCATTATGTATATGCCGGCAGATGGTACGGGCCACGCTATCACCACCTGTGACCAGTATATTTTGGCTTTCCGTTGATCCAAACACGGCACACCAAAGTCTGTCCTTTGTACTTCCCGATTCCTGACAACCGAAATCGATTCTATTGGTGAGCCCTCTTGGTTTGCTAATAACACCAATATCGCAAAATCATAAAGAACTATTTACAGAATTAGGTAGCACCTTTCTTCCACCATGAAGCAACCTAACGCGCTCATCCAAGGCCCTTTGAACAATATAGTCCCCCAGCTTTAGTAGCCACCGGAGCGCCATGAAGCAAATGATGCGCCGCATACAGCATCCCAAAAATTATACTGCACCAGAGCTGATCGAAGCGCGATGCGTCCATAAATACCCAATTACTACACACCACAAACAGTTCTCAACAAAACCTTTATAAACACAAACAATACCCGATAAATGCCCACGGCAAAATCAAAACAAGGCATGATGATATCACAACACAGTACACGATTCGAGTAATGAGAAAAAGAACGCTCGCAGCGTGTCCGAGCAGTCAGCTTTGTTAGACGTTAGCGAAGCGGTATCCCTTCGGGGCGCGATAGCGTTTGCTCTCCTGGATGCAGACAGCGGCCAGGTACAGCACTTGGGCCCTAAAACAAACGCGTTAATCAATACATTCTTTACAGATATCAAAGCGGCCTTCTATCCTACAGCCATCGTGAAAACCAAATAAAGCAAAACTTACACAAAAGTAATCCAGCTGCTCACGAACAACGTCAGAGCCACGTCCTTCGCATCAGACGGGAAGCAGGCGGTCACTAAACAAAAAATGTTACGGAATCGGGAAAATGGTTACCAATGAAAATGTCGGAGAGGGCACGCAAGTCGAACGTACGGACCCGCTCGCAATGGCTCTTCTCGAAGCATCGTGGCGCCGGATTGACGCTAAAATAGTTTTTCGACAGCAGAACATAGCCCAAATATTCACACCACCTAGAGATCTCAAAAAACATACGGATAAGAGGGGCAAATCTTGTCGGGCAATACGTTGAAGATCTGACCGTACAAACTAGTAGACCCAGTCCAGGCAGATTTCGGGAGGACCTGAAAAAAGTAAATCGAAGGGATAGAAAGATTATATTTACCAGCGTGACAGCGAAGCCACAGAAAAAGAAGATGGCCGAGGCGATGAATAGGGCGTAGCTGCGACGGCGAGCCATAGAGACGGATCTGAAAACAATGAAATTGCAAAGAAAAACGTAAAATCAAGTCAATCGTTGAGTGTGGGGAAAGGCCCGAAAGATCGCAGAATTGGAACGGTGGTTGATAATTCCAAAAATAACTAAAAGCAAACTAGAAAAGGAACTTTTCTCAATAAAATGCAAACGAAAAGAAAGAGAAGCTCAGGAAAAGGAAAATGCGGGTAAAAAGAGAATGCCTCCTATTGCGCCGCCCTCCCCCCAGGGGCGCGCTTTAGCAGTGACAGTCGACCGTATTGTTTCGGAATCTTCACCGCAGCTACTTTTAAAAGAGAAACGAAAGAAGAAAAAGTGTAATAATTTAAGAAATGCTAGTTTATTTTTGTTATTAGTTACTTTAAATGAGCTCCAAATAATTTCGCGTTTTTTTTTTGATGGTGGATACAGACCTCGCTGTACGTCTTTCTACATTTGTTTCGGCGCTCTCTTGTTATCTTTAGGAACATGGTTTCAGGCGTGCTTTCTGGGTATTTGTCTCATTAGTTTTAGTAATTTTAGCGTTCCTTAGGTGAGAAAACCCGCCCGAAAGACGTTCGATTACTAACTCACAGGACTTGCGTTTGAATGATAGATTTGTCACAATTTATAACATTTCCTTAGATTCATTGTACTAATCGAGTTTGGGGTGCTTTTAATTGGAAGAGGAAGGTTTATCTGGGATATTACAGGATGAAAGCATGAAAAAACACACTAAACCATACGTATGCTACCACTTCGAAATCGGCAATGAAAAGGTTGGATTACAGCATATGGTTACATGAGATGAATTTCCAAGAAAACAACAGTTTTTCTGCAGTGGGACTTAATGGGCTCAATGGGCTTAATTGGATGTCAGATCTATGAAGCTGAAATAGAATGTTTCATGTTTAAAAAACTTTCAAGTATGTTAGTATTGAAGAAAACAAAAAAAGAGGAAACCAAATTATGAGGGCGGTCAAAAAATTAGTCCTGTCGCTGGTTTTGGGATCGGTAACGACGAACACGCTCCGCCACGGCCCCCCAGATCGCGCGGTAAATAATATCACTCCGGTCGACGATATGCAGGAAAAGCAGCCTGAAAATGAATCCTAAAACCCATCGGTTTGCTATGTTTTTAGGTAAATTTTCTGCAACCCACAAAAGGCAGAAGAGCCACAAATAGTGCAGGGATGTGCCGGCCCACCACAGAGCATTGTGGTAGCAGATATTCCCTAAAAAGTTTTGAAGGAACAAACTTTATGACTTACATTCACCAAAATTCTGGAACAAGAGCGCCATACCGCGATTGCAAAGTTTGGGATCCACGCAGTTCATCTTCCAAGTCCTGGGTTTTATAAATCGCCAGAGTTTTTAGCTTACTCAGTAATGTCCACGGAAATCTCATCGATTTGGCACAATTTTCCCGAGATTTCCCTGTATTCGTAGGGGAAGACTCGCTAAAAAAGTAGATCCAGGATTTCCCTTTAAGTCAAGTACGGAAAAGGAAAGCATTACCTTGATAACAGCGTCGACCCGGACCTTAGAAAAGTAAGACACCAACACACCCGTCATGATCGCCATGAAGCGACAATACATTCCTGAAAATTCACGTTATAGAGACACCAAACAACGGTTTTTTTGTTGAAGAAAAAAAAATTGTGGCTTGGATCGGTAGCCAATTAAAATGCACAGGATGCCCGTAGATCAAGAGTAAAACTATATCGGGAATATTAATTCAGGGCGAACTTCTGAAGCTGCCAGCCCGCAAAAAGCCCTGACATAAAACAGGGCGCCAGAATTAGCGGCATGATCTGATTCACACAAAAATATCCTGCAGCCAGGCCAGCCTTTTTGCTCTAGACGAATGGAATGGATTGATTGCTATTCCCCGAGGCGTTGCGAATAAAAAAATGTTTATATGATGTGGCTTCCATTAGGCCATTTGAGGTGAAAATCGGAGCCTAGGGTCACTTACGTTTTCCGATTCGGGCGTCGAACAAGGCTTCCAACAGGCGGTACTGAAGCACCATTTCCGTCGTGAAAATCATGATAGCACCTAAATTATATAAATAACTTGCGAATTGATTTAAAAAAAGTTTGTCCAAGCGGTTATGCGGATCAGTTGAAAGCCAAAATTGTGTAAGGCTCAAAATAAAAATAAAAATATGATAAAGCTAAATGCTGAGAGCAAAAGCCATGCAAAGTTAGGAAACCCCAAATTAACTCACGTCATGTACTTTCCAAGAGCTTTCAGGGTCACCTTTAGACAGATTATCAATTTTTCATACAAAATGGGTAATAATTCTAGATTACTAGTGACCGGGAAGTCAAGAGTGTGCGATCTTTCATCATTTTATACCGCACCTCTCAAGCCCATTGCCCAATACCAATCGACATCCTGAAAATGAAAATTGTCTTAGACTAAGAAAGTAATATTGAAATGTTACAAATCACTGACCTCCATTGCTTGAGCTGTCGCGACTTCCGTCAAAAGAAGCTTCGTGTCACCAGTGGTTTTCTGGAATTTATTACTTTTAGTCCAATATTTTCTGTAAAGAACACCGGAAAAGAAAAGCGAAACAAAAAATTGCAGTAGGCTCAATTAACAAAGCAAAGCTGGGGTGGGGGAGGATTTTCAAAAAAGGATCACAATAACGAGCTGGTGCTTCGTCTTACACAGCCGATTTTGCGCAGCGAGCGGTCAAGAAGCAGATGCTAAAAATACAGTTAGAAGAAATAAATCGAATTTTACTTCAAGAGGATGGAAATGGAGGTGAGAGCGGCCAGCAGACCGAAGGAGACATGGTATGGGTTGCAGATCATCACTAAAAATGTGTTTAAATTTGTCACGTACTATATAACGTTAAAATTAGCGATTTTAAAACACCCACCCGTCAGGATATATTCAGTCGAAAAAAATTCAGCCCTGTCGTTGGGATAACAGTGACTTTTTTCGGCACAATGATACCTACAAGAAATTTTTCAGTAGCCGGGCTGACGGAAGAAAACTATGACCTAGACTATATTAACCTACAGCGTTTGCCTTCCGGTAACATCGTCCACCATCCCAACACAAAGATACTTGTTGTTGTCAATCAGCGTTTTATGAACACCAACGAAGCAGGTTGTAATAACAGCCAAATCCACCAGAGCAAGAGTAAAGAAAGTAGCGACGGTGATTTTCCAGACTGTACAGCATCGGCTGAAACGGTTCACCGCTCGATGGTTTCCAGCTTCGTCCATTTAGGGAAATATCGAGTAATGGGGACGGAATCGAATGAGGGAGTGGGGCTCTGGCATGGTGAAGCTCCGCCCAGTCGCCGCGGGGTTCTCATCCTCCTCTTCCATCACCCCGATCCATTCGCCTTTCCGTACATTCATTCAAAAAATCTGGTTACCGCAGTTAGTTCAGGGGTCTGAGGGAAAGATATGAAATATAAGGAGTGAATCGCTAGGCTTACAAACTTTTTAAGCTTTATCACTCTCAAACGCATAGAGTAGTGTAGTGGGGAGGTAAAAAAAATAACTGATTCAGGCAAAGTTGGAGTAAATAGTAACGGTTGATTCTGATCCATTCTGAATCATGCGGTCCATATCTACAACGTAATCGGACGATTTGCCCGATAGGACTTGGCCTGCAGCTGGCTGTAACACCGGCTCGATTCGTTGAACCAGGGAACGCAGTGCATGACGGACTCATGGAATTGCACCTCAATTGCCTAAGCCGCATTCATCTGATCTGTGCCTCGCAAGTACCTTTAATGCTCCAGCGTTATCCTTAGTTTTTGAGGGCGGCATAAATTATTCCGTTTTGAAAAGCATCATCCTGCGCGTAAATCAGTCTACTTTAGAAAATACAGTATCCTGTGATGTTCTACCCATCGATATTCCTTGGATAGCTCTTTTTATGGGCTTCATTTTGATACCCTTCATATCCGTCACAAATCTACTACTTTTTCAAAATTGCTAAAACCTTTCAACAAGGAGGGGGGGGGGGTAGCAAAAAAATCATAAAAATCAACTTATGCGTCTTTTATATGCCCAGCATATTTAAGCATCTTGTCAAGGTAACGATGGTCCGCTTCGTTCCCATTCGCAAACCCAAACATCGTTTTTTTATGGTTCACCCTGTACATCAACTCGTCCAGGTTCGAGAGTCAATTCATAAGCTTATACATTTTTAGCGCGGCAGGGTTGGGCATATGGTCGACTTTCGCGCAGCACTTGCAAAACCTGAGCAACATCTGGCGGTTGCCGGGCGTGCCTCAAAAGCTACTGTAGTTTTCGGCTAATTTTCCGGGGGGAGTGACTAGACCTCGCGGACTGCACATGATAGTCATATAACCTCTTACTCAGTTTCGTCGAGTCGCGAAGTCGTAAACATTATGCTCATTAAAGATTTATGAGGATCGGGGGACGGTTGGCGGGCTAGGAGTTGGTTCCCAGGGTCCTGGGCGGTGGAGCTCTGAATCATCATCGTCCATCCGGGGTGGCTCGATTGCCCCCGTGACTCGCCATGTTTTTGATCAGATTTGCGGGAGGGGGATCCGGCAGGGAGCCCATCGATGCAGTTGTAACATCGAAGATAATACGGAAAAATAGAAAAAGTGACAATGGAGTCGCTTGAGGGGCTAACGCAATTCCGGAGAAAGCACCAAGTAATCTGAGACAAAACTTCCGGTTTTTAGTTGTAAACTGGTTATCCTACTATATATAAAAAAATAGTGTCTGTGTGTGTATATTTGCATGCAACTTCCGTAAGCATGTACCGCACCTACAGCCTCAGGGGAAGGTTTTTAAGGTACGTATGATACGTCATTCGGTGCGTAATGGCCCCGAGATGGGTGCACACATATAAAATTGAAGAAAATCGGCTGTTTTCGCTATTAAGATCAAGGTTTTGGTAAATATATCGAAAAACCTCTTTGTTAGGAGGCAATTAGCATTGACCGGAAGTGGCCGTAGCCTATGAAAATGGAGGGAGCGTGCGCTTTTCATTTTTTGGCGAGCGGCATTCGGCAAGCCCTATGTAAAGTCAAATTTTCAGAAGTCCCAGACGGGTCCAGGGTTGAAAAGCCGCGAAGCGGTTTTTCAACCCTGGTACTCAAATAAAATCGACATCTTGGACCTAAAGTTTTGGCTACCAGAAGCTTCTGGTTAATGTTCAAATTCCAAATTATTGCAGGCAAAGCAAGTCCGAGGATCTTTTCAACCGGGAAGCCTAGGAAAAGGGCACATTTTGACGCCTTCATGCAAGAATTCGGAGATTTGAATAAGAACCGGAAGCGTAATCAAATCGTCAGTTTTGATTAGGATTTTTAGTGGTCGTTGAAGAACAGCTTGACTGGGCAACTAACTCCCATCCATTTTTGTAAAAAACCAGCCAATTTTGCAGCTAATAAGCCTGGACTACAAGAAGCAAGCCAAGAAAGAAGCCAAGAAAGAAAGAATTTCAGATAAGGCTGCCCATCTGGCCCAATCGAAGTCTTCCTGACCTCCCTCCAATCCAATCGTTATTATGCTCAGACCCCTCTGGTTCTATATATTCTTTTTCTTTGCCCTAGCATTCACCTTTCATGCAGTTAAGAAGGTATTTGACAAATTTTTTTTCAAGTTTGTTTAGTTCTTTGTCCCACGTGAAGTCATCGTTTTCCCCAGGCAAGGGCAAAACTTGGAAGTTGTACTATGTCCAGTGTATGAATATCAATCAAAAGGGTAAGGTGACTTAGGATGTAACAATTTTGATCAATTTAGACAAATTGAAAGCCTTCCGAAGCATGGCGCAGAATGTTTCCCATTGAGTGATTGTGCACGTGATAACTGGTGGGGCAAAGGTGACTTCATTTCCTGTTCCCCAATGGCCGTTTTCCAGCCCTGGCATGTCGAATTCACGTCGAGCCGGCGTTTCGAGAATATTTCCTCAGCCATTTGATAATGATTTGTTTATTTTTACTGTAGGTCGTCTAGATTGCGTAGAGAAACGATTTAGGGGCGTAATGTTGGTGGTATGCGCCTCGACTGTGATCTACAATATGAAACGAAAGTACGGGATTTCGATATCAGATATTGGGGCTGATATGCAGCCAATGGTTGTAATGAAGCAGACAGGACGGCCAGAGGTTCCTGTCTAGGCAGGTCATCAATAAACGTATTTTTCTCGTTGTTTCTGTGTTGTTATGAAGGAACTACTACCGTGTAACCGGGTTTCAATATTGTTCAAGCTCACTGTAAAATCCACAGTGATAATATTAGGTTCATAGAATTTATTAAAGAACATTTCTTTAATATGGTTGAGGTGAATCGCCGTATAGACCCGTCAGAACCTAAAGAACGCTAGTGAGAATTTTGAAGAATAAAACCTACGTCCTGAAAAATCAACGTATCCAATGCCTTATATCCATCCACCATTCGCATACCCCCCAGCTCGGGTTTATCAATTCTAAAGTGTTGCATCCGCGATCGACTCGGGACCGGCCGCCAGGAATTGTCAAGCGTCGGCCTTCTATAACTTTTTTCAGTACTCTTGTTGTTCACACCTTACCCATATTTTGCAAAATTGGTCCACCAATATCCATAAGCATTAGCTAGTGTATAATCAAATGGAATTGTCTAAGACCAAAACTGGGGTTTTCATAACTGGCTTACTCGGTTAAATTGCACTTCCGCCTCCCAAAGCTTGTCTTGCATCCAGACAAATGGAATATCAGAGGAGTGTGTTACGGCTAAATTTTACGGTATTGATAGCTGGTAGTTCTACGGAACATGAGCATTAAAACCGGTTTCTAAACGCTAAAATCTCACGTCGATAGCCTTTTAACTTCTGGGTCACGACATCGCTAGTGTTTGACTGCATCACCCTCGACCCATAGGTTTGTTCAAATAGAAAAATTTTTGTATTCCTGTTGGCCAGCTGTAAGTCGGCGTCTTTCGCAATCCACTGAGTATAGGCAGCTGCCGTGAAGAACTGAAACTACGGTAGACCAACATCATAGCTCAACATTACATCGGAACCGGCGATGAACCAAGCAGCTGAATCGTTATCAGAAGTCCCTTTCGGCAGATAGGTCTGGAAAACGTTTAAAATTGGTATCTGAAAATGATATTTACCTGAGCCAGCAATTTCTGCATCACAGGTACCCGATCTTTTCCATAAACGAAATTAAATCTATCAAAGAAATTGTTGATAAGTAGCTTTCCAAAGGCTTCAAAAGGAATTCCAGCACCCATCAAGCTATACCCTACAACGAAGATTACTCTTAAGAATATGAATTACAGGTAGAGCTCCATTCATCGTGCATATTTCCCATCAACATCGGGATTTTCCTTCGCCCGACATTCAGCTTTTGTGGAATATCGGGCATAAACAGATTATCGCGCACTATACGCCAGCCGAACATGTTATCCTGTACTTGGATTCAGACGAACTTGAGATTGACAGACCTTATCCAAGTCCACCCAGGCATCAGCTTTCATATTCTGCATGCAAGTCTTCAGGCGTGCAAAATCTTTGTTTTGCCATTGGGTTGCTGTGACGTTGCAAAGCTATCAAAACAGTGTTTGGCTCAGTGTTTGGAGACCAACCTGCTGAGCGCGAGTCTGGCTCAAGTTTTGGAAGCCCAAGCTACCCTCAAATAGTGTGAATACAGAGCCAGATTCCATAATCCCCTGCTGGAACAGGTCTGAAGTTTGTGCGTTAAGTTTTGGGTGTTATGGACCTTTGCCCAGCGGTGAAAAGGTCAGAGCGGAAACGGCCATACTGCCGGCTGATTGCCCAAAAATTGTCACTCGCTTCGGATCTCCTCCGAAGGATGCGATATTCTTCTGTACCCATTTTAGTGCTTCAATCTAGAACATATAACCAGAGATTAACAGGGATCGGCCTGCATACCTGATCTAACATCCCTCGATTTGGCGGGAAATCGCTGGTACCAGTCGTGAAAAATCCAAGGACATTTAGTCGATATTGAATGGTAACTACAACAACACCACGAGACACCAAATTAGTGATGGCTCCCTTTAAAGTGGATGTTTTATAACTTGTTTAGGTTTGACGAGCTACCGTATACGGATAGCTTTCCAGGCATCCCAGATAAAAGGCACCTCCATGGATCCAGAACATTACTGGCAATTTGGAAAATGAGGTTGCCTAGGTAAAGTAAAATAAGTAAAAAATGGGATTGGATGCCTTTGGGGTATAAACATTCAAATATAGGCAGTCGTCACTTTGATTCCCGCATTGGACACCCCCAGCTCCCATCTGAGGACATGCTGGTCTAAATCAAGATTTGTCAATCGGACCTTGACGTACTTATATTCCGTTGCTTGGAGTCTATAATTCGGATAGGAATTAAGAGGCGCGGGATACTAAAACGGAGGTAAAAAGCTCCCGATCAAAAATTCTACCTGGAATCTTCGCTCGTTCGTTGGTGGTTGGGCATACGGAATTCCTAGAAAAACATCGCCGCTACCATACAAATAATCGTTCGTCCCGTTTCGAGGTCCGTAATTAACATGAAAGCCCTGTCAACGGGCACTTTTGTTCTATGATGCCAAACACCTACCGTAACCACCCCCATCGGGGTGCTTACTGTAACCTGTTGGCATACGGTACCCCCGAATAACCCCAGCAATAAGATCAAAATCATCTGAAAAAGTGCGCTCAATAAAATTAGGTACCAGCCCGGAACAAGCACGTGAAATGCCAACGGCTCGTAAATTGAATTTCCAGGGAAAATGAAGAGGAAAGGTCGTGAATCAGTCCCTGTTGACCGAACTTTTTGCAAATGATTTTTGCAGAAATGAGAATCCAGACTAGAATGTAAAAAAGGGGTGATGGGCGCAAAACAACGGACGTCAAAATTTATTGCCCCTTGACACGGCGGAGGAGGATGTTGTGAAAAAAGGCCAAAAAATCGCTAGGAAATGACTCATTAATAGGGTCATCATCTACCTCCCCCCAAGAATAAACCACAAAATGGCGAAACGCGAGTTCTGAGGCGCGGCGGCAAACTCTTTCCGCAAATATTTGTGATCATTTTGGGTGATGGAGGTCGGGTGGTGTGGTTAGAGTCCGTTCTTTGCAATGCGCCCCCGTCCCAAAATGTGTTGTTTGATAGTGTTTTGAGTATAACTGCTGGTTGCAGCTTTGCATAGACAATTTATTAAAATATAAAATGGCATTAGTAAGGTGGTCGGAGTCCAAATTCACGAGGAATTATCTGAAATTTGCGATTTAAGGGTTTAAAATAAAGTGCAAAACCTCGTTAAAGATGATTTGATCGGCTCTACGAAAACCGGAAGTCATTGTTTGGCCTCCATTATCCTTTGCATCGATGACCATATATTCGATGTTATTTCGGCTACTTCCGGCTTTCCAAGAATCATCGGTGCTAGGCTTTCTACAAGAATTTCCGAAAGCTAGAAAAAGCGAACCCGGTTTTTGCAAAATTCGTCCAAGCTTTTCCATAAAAATCGGCCATTTCAAAGTCAGCATTTGTGATCTAAATGACAGGCGGAAATGTCGATACCACTATAGATACCACTTTATTCCTGTTGGCATTTTCCCACAAAGGATCTGGCATCCATACATAAGGAATATCAGAGGAATGAGCAACCGCTAAAAAACCACTAGATCTTATTAACTACACTTTACGTTTATAGCCCTTCAATTGATCGCTTAGATCAACGTCGTACATAATTCTTCCACTATATCTTTGCTCATAAAAGTAAACGTTTTTGTTCCCATTATCAAGTCTCGAAGTAGCGTCTTGCAAGACAAATTGGGTGTACATCAACGCGGTAAAGATCTGAAGATAAAAGATTTCTGTATATCTATGCTATCTGTTAATATTACCTTGCTTCCCCCAATAAACCAGGAAACTGAGTCGTTGTCAGTAACATTTGGAAGGTAGTACTTTAACAAATAAGATATAAGAGCGCAGTTATCCCAACCTGATTCAACAAGGATACTCCTTCATTTGTTCTATTCCCCCAAAAACTGCACACTTCCGACAGTAACCCATTCACAAAGGTTTTGTTGAAACCCTGGAGCGGCATTCCGGATAGGAAACCATACCCTAGATTTAATTATCACGTATTAAATGTAATACGTATTTTCACGGCTCCAATCTTCAAAATCAACACTTACAAACAGATGCCCATTCATCTCTCATACTCCCAATTATTGTCGGAATCTCAGCGCGTTTTAAATTTCGCGGCAGGTCCGGGAAAAATTGCCCATCTTTAATTACAGGCCACCCAAAATCATTGTCCTAGAATTCCAAAAAGAACTTTGTTAACCGTAACTTCACGTACTTCTTCTAATTTCACCCAATCAGCCGGGCTAATAGCACCCAAGCAGGCCTTCAATTTGCTGAAGTCTCCAGATTTCCAATCATTTGAGGTGAAATTACAGAGCTGGGAAATTAAACATCAAGTCGAAATCATATTGTTTACCTGTGCAGCACGTCTCTGATTTAAGTCGCTATAGGCAGGGGCGTAGCCAGAAAAAAATTTCGGGGGGGGCCCCGAAAAATTTTCCGAAAACTCAAACAATTAAAGAAAACAGCGCCAGGCAAAAATAGAACAAGGCTTGTGCTTAAAATGTCGTAAAAACGTGAAAAAATAGGCCGCAGGCAGCAAATTTTGAGAATAAATCATAAGGGTCCTTTGAATTTTCGGGCCCCGGCCGTTGGGGGCCGGGGGGGCACTGTTAGGCGAGAGCTCCATCAAATGATGTTAGAACGCCATTTGATTCTTGAATGGCTTGTTGGAAAAGGCCTAAAATGAGGAAAAATAGGATCAAATTGTTTTCGACGGCGTACCTTTAGAAAGTGGTGAGTAAGTATGAGCGGAAACGGATATACTACCAGAAGATTGTCCAAATAGCGTCACACGGCTCGGATTACCACCAAAATAAGCAATGTTCTTTTGAACCCATTTAATGGCTTCGAGCTAAAGTGTTAGCTTGGATTTAAGGCAAAAGAAACCCATAATTTACCTGGTCATACAACCCGCGATTTGCCGGAAATTCGGTTGTATTGGTTGTGAAGAAGCCGGCAAAACCAAGGCGGTACTGTAGCGTTACAACTACCACTCCTCGGGACACCAAATTTCGGATAGCACCCTGAATATTAATTTTTTTAGGACAAGAAGATATACTTTGTAAGGGTATTTCGCAGCACAACCTGCCAGATAGGCACCACCATGGATCCAGACCATCACCGGGTATGCATTTTGTTTTGCAACCTAGATATATCAAAACTAAATCGCAGTTATAGCTTTACTGATGGGGAATAGACATTTAGAGTCAAGCAGTCTTCACTCGTGATGCCAAGGCAATTTCCGGGTTGAGGACAAGCCGGTCTAAAACAAGAGATTATGTAAGAGGCAGGGAAATTTTTAGCGCCTACCCGTAGCTGCTAGCATTTAGATGATGATTAGGGTATTGAAAAATTGCTCTGGGAAGCTAAAAAACCTTTAAACTTTTTAAGACCTTCATATACTACCTGAAAACGAAAATTTCCTGTTGGAGGCTCCGAATAAGGTATCCCCAAGAAAACATCGCCATTCCCGTAAAACATTTGGCTCGTATCGTTTCCAAAATCATAATGGGCGCCCTACAACCAGATACACACTGATTTTGTCCCTAGCCTACCGTAACCTTCCCCAAAGGAGTTGACACGGTAACTAGGCGCTGGCACAAAATGGCCCGTATCCCAAGGAAAAGCCAAATGAAGTGCATAGTTTGCTGCCAGCACACAGAGATAGGCTTCCTCTCCAATGTATCCTCTTTAAACCCCCCAGCTCCCGATTTCCAATCAATCTTTGCTCTGAAAACAGTGATAAGAGGTGACGTTTCCCTTCACTCGAAGAAGCTTCATTCAAGTTTTCCTTTTCTGAGTCATCACGACCTCAATGACAACCGTTTTTATGGGGGGTTTTAATCACAAAATCCTTCGAACCCCTGGGAGAAGTTTAGGGTCAAAGTGGACAAATTGGGTTACAGTACACCCATTATTTTCTGGGGTGCAATTAGCGAAAAATTTCGTCCGAATTACCGCCGATCAAAGGGAAAACAAGAAGTAATTTTGACGAAATGAGAGATCAGGGCGTTCAACTAGCAAGTGAGGAATTCAAAAAGTTTTTGAAAAAGAGTTTTTATGTGTAAGTTACAGGCCTGATATGCCTGTAACTTGAGTCCTAGCTTTTCAAGAACCTATTTATTTAGCACACCATTTTCAAAGTGACCTAGCTTCGACAGAAAGAACTAGGATACTAAAGCATGATATCAAGGTGATGCCGGCTATATCGCCTTTTCTGCTCGTGGCATCTCGGAACATGACCCTCGTTTTTATAAGGAGCTAGCAGTATAACGTGGGCACAGATATACTCGAAATCCAGAAACTCCCACATACCACTATCTGCAAGGGTATCTTAAGATATATACCTTTCAGGAATTTACCGTAGTTAAATACAAAATCTCCACACATACGAGTGCGGACAAGGGTGATGTTTGCTGTCGTATCCATAAAATCGAAACGTAGTTGCGTGCTGACGCCATTCTAAAGAAATTTTGGCTAGAAATTAATAGATAAAATACCCTGGCTCGTTGTACAGCGGCTTCGAATAGTTCCCCGATGCGAGTGGAAGTGTGGAAAAATTGGCGACAGTCGGCAACTGTACGGTTGCATGGCGGAACATCCCACCTAAATCATGATTTAGCTTTTCTTAAAAGTATATTTTCACTTACGCGTCACGAACTAAGCGATCGCCATTAATTTTCACGTAGAAATAAATGTATTTCTCTTTGAGTTTGTCCCCTAAAATTTGAATAATCGAGCCTTGGAAATTCCCATACCTTGATATGTAATGACCGGATCAAGGCGGACATCAACGGTAAAATCTGGGGAACCCCTGAAAGCGGGTACGTTGTCGAAGCCAAAAACGAAGCCAGCAAAGCTCAAGCTTTAAATCTCACTTCTCCAACTGCAACAAATCACAGCTAACTTCTTCCGTCGGCCTCCAATGTGAAGAAGCAAAGGCTTGAGTAAGCAGTAATCCAAAAATAGCGATCATACACATTTTTGAATGTAGGAAGCGGGTTCTGGTTGCATCTCCGGGCCCTGTGGCCTGTATTTATAGGACCCAGAGGATAAAGACCCGGACGCCACAACTTCGCAACATCCCCAACCCGATTTTCTCGGCCATTAATTGCGCGTAGTCCGGGGGCGTTCCCCGGCATTTGCCTTCAACTGGCCCCCCGACATTCCAACGTAGGGAACTGCGAACACAGCTTTCTTTCCCCCCATCTCCGCAAGTTCGGGCTGATGTATTTTTCCGAGGTGAGAACTTACGGCAGAAAAAGAGAAAAAGAGAGACCGGCACGCAGAGATCTTAATAAGGGCATCAGGGGGACCACCACAGGACCTGCCGATCCCTTGATATTACGTTTGGGGGCTCCGGTTGCAGTTAAATTTATTAGCCGAAAGTGTCAATCGGAAATTGTCCTACTGTAGAAAAGACGCACCGGCCTTTTGAATATGATCTCGGGAATGAGAGGTCCAGCTGGACTGTCCTTTTTAGGGAAATTGCCTGAAATTGGTCGCTGTTACGGTATTGTAGTCGAACTTCGCGTTTTTCAGCTTGCAAAGAAGGTCTTACAGTACCCGTTTAGGTTGCTGGTTCTGTATCGCGGGATGTACTCCGATTTAATCGGCCTCTTTCCCGGAATTGGCAGGCTGACCTTTCGTCAAAATTCGTGGCTCATCATCATACATCATCGGGGTATCTCATTTTCTCAGAATAGGTGCTCACATTTTTTGCTTTTCCCTTTTTGAGAGATATTCGATTGCTGCTCGAGATATCCGCGATGGTCGGTGATGCAGGGTGCCTTTGAATGTTCAGGAAAATAAGTACGCGATTTCTCGGAAAATCATGATTTTTTACGGTTTCCTACGCCATTGAAATATTTCAGCAAAGTCCAAAGTCTCCGAGGCGCCAACGAAACCGATTTTTTTGAACCGATTACACCATGGTAACTTCCTGGCATATGCAAATGCCCTAGAGCTATTAATCCAAGCTACCTGCCCATTGCTCGCAGCCCGCCAAAACGCAACATGCAGAAAATATTGCGCTATTTATTCTACTTTCTCTTAATAATCCCAGCTATTAGCTGTTGGATTTTTGCATTCCTTTCACCAGTCATCTACCACCGATTCTTCGACAAAATCCAGGAAGTCGGCGGCTTCATTTGCACAAATGTCGATCGGGAAGAGATTTTGGACCATGATATGTAAAGACATTTTTGTTTTTAGATGTTATTTTGTTCAGAAAACCGGAATGGGGTTGTATTCCAGTTGACCAGTGCCAGGAGATATTTGGGGAATTACCGAAGAACATGCTGGAATTGGGCAACCGTAAGTCGCTCCGAAGACGATTTATTTAGCGGGTTCTAGCTGAAATACTTATTATAACTACTTACTATTAACATAAAAGGTAGATGACAATTTTGTTTTAGTAATTGCTTGTGATTCTCTCTGGGCGACCTACGTATTTATGGGACTCACGATGGGGTCAATTTTCCTTGGAAGGTAGATTTTACAACTGAATTTCGACATGTAGAACTTTATTTTTAGTGCCCTCACAGTTCTTATCGGTTGGATGATGGTTCAACATGCTAAAGAGAAGAAAGTGCAAAAGGTCGAAATGATTGCACTCGATGAATGTTGACGAACAACTTTATAATTTTACGGAAACATGGCCTTTCTAATTTTCGGTCTTACACTCTATGACAATAAAGTTAATTTTTGTAACTCGTATGCAGATTAAACATACATAATTCAATTTCATAGTGTTTCTACAGTCATGCAGAATCCACATATCCCCTTGGTTGCAGCAGTGCGCCTTTGCACTATTACCATAGCAACAAGCATTTGCCCCATTGCTAGGTGCCATCCCGAACCTAACTGCGCCTAATATTGAATATTCTATCATAAATGTCGCTGCAGCGTGAGGATAGCGGGGTAACGGAGCTCGAGCAACGAGTTACCGCCCAGAATGACATCCTCGAGCTGGAGGTATCTTTTATCACCTCCGTTAAGTCTATAATTTTAGCCTACACAACCACCTCCTGAGGGAACTGTTACAGAGATGATGGATACCTCGGATATTTTAGAGGTAGATTTTAGGATTATGGTATCTTTAAGATTAATATTCTTTAGGCAATGACGGTATCAAGGCCGCAGCTTGACAAACAAGATTCTGACGAGAGTTCCGGGTTCGAACATTTCCCTAAATTTGTACGTTTCTCTTTTCAGTGGTGCGATAAAAGACTCACCGCCTCCACCAGACCCAGAAAAGCTAACGACCGTCAGTGCAGTTCCTGGATTTGCAGAGGTTTGATTAACTATCTACAGGATGTCCCAAAAAAAAACGACCCATCTGGCATTTCGCCGGGTTACATCCAATCGGCCTCAAATTTGGATCAGAGGTGTATCAGACCCTAAATAACAACAATCCTGAATTTTAGCCCCATTGCTACAGTCGTTCTCGAGTTATAACGAAAATACTGTTTTTCCCGGAATTCTGAACAGTTTTATCGGCTATCTTTTTGGACTTTGCATCGATTTGCATCGACTTCCGGCTGCGAATCCTTAATTTCGCTGAAGAACTGGGGTAGTTTTGCGTAGTAAAAATTGCTTAAATCGAAGCTTATTTAATTAATTTTACCCTGGAAAAAATTTCTTACGGTAAAGAAGGCCTGCCGGATCATTTTCACCTAATGTTTATGGGGTCTAATTCCACGAAAACCCTATGAAAAATGGAAAATAAAGTTTGTTTTTGCTATAACTCGAGAACGACTGCAGCTACCGGGCTAAAAGTCCGGATTGTTGTTATTTAGGGTCTGATACACCTCTCGTCCAAATTTGGGACCGATTGGATGTAACACGGCGAAATGCCAGATGGGTCGTTTTTTTTGGGACACCCTGTATTTAAAAATATGGTTTCTTTAGACAATCCTCCCAAAACGAATCCAGGGCAAAACATTGCCGGATGTTTTCATACAGCACCGGCGGAGGTAATCGATCGATTTCGATACAATGGTTCCTTCCAGCTTCAAGCGAGTCGGAAGGGATAAATTTCAAAATATGATGACGCGAACGTATGAAAAGCCCGTTCCACAGCCAGAGGGGAATTTGGCCTTTACTCTTCAGTCGACTTTCCACAATGTTTCCCTGATTTTACAGGGTAAGCATTATGATTTTACGCCCTAATTGCCAATATGTAGGTTTTCTATCTGGTTTAACAACAGCACATGCCGTTTTTGTTTGTAATTTTGCTGATATGGTAGTTTTACTTGCCTATACAGTTTGAAAATGATTTAGGACCTTTTAATCAAAGGATACCGCTGGATGGCGTTACCTGCACATGTTGTTTTTTACGGATGCTTTGTTCTGGGAGCTATTACAGCTTTCGACAGGTACGATTCTAACATAGAACTCGTAACATTCGGCTTAGACTCGCAAGCGCAAGTCATGGATGGAGCGATCTACTTAATTCATTTCGCATTAAAAATGGTGGATTGCCACTACTGTTATGGTTGATCGGGACTGGGGCTTCGGCATTGACGATTCGATTTGATGAAGCTTTGGCTCCATCAGAAGTGAGTTCTCGATAATCAAAATGAATTGACAAGGTTAGTATGATCGTCAAAGCCAATTACCATCCGATGCCTTGATATGGTGGCGGATACTGTCGACGTTACGGGCGGCTTGTGCTGTATTTTGTTGGTTGTTGATGGCGATGCAGCCGGATGCAAATTACTTGAGGTGACCTTTAGTAGCATCTGATAATTTTTTGGTTTTAAAGCTACGAAAAAGTAAGTGAATTTTGTAAATCCTTTTTCAGCTTGTTGTAATTAAGGCAAAAACTGGTCTTTCCCAGCTCTTTTCTGCTTTTCTGAGCAGTGGTAGCCAAGGCACAAATATTGACAGCCAGATTTTAAGCTTATTAAATATTGGGTTAGAAAAATAAATGGAATTCTTGAAAGTTTATTGAGAACTCATTAAATAAAAACATTCTAAAAAACCAAACTTTCAGGGATCGCATCCACACCTTCGACCTAAAAGAGGACCAAAGACCAACCGACGACTAAATACTTCAAAATTTTCTCATCATCCCCCCATCGTAATCCTCTCCTCGTTTGTCCCCGTACCCTCTTGCTCCTCTTACTCTCCTCCTCGTCCTACCCCATATCTTGACGTGTGAATGTGCTCGTGGAATGGCAGTTTTTCTGAGACGAACCATCCGGATGAGCCACAGCTGACGCCGTCGCCAAACCTATTTAGTTTCTGCGGGCACACAATTGAAGGAAAAACACAGCCACAAACGGCTAGGGTGGGGGGGGGGGGGGGAGATTCGAGGCTGGGGTCCCCCCCAGATTCGGCACTTCCGCTTCGATAGGATAGCACCCCACACCACCAGACGCGCCACTTTTCCGGGCCGGGGACTCGATTGAAATGTTTCAGTTTAAGGGAAATTGAGCCAGATGCTCCGGCTTTGGGGTTTTGCGGACCGGGAAGTTTGTTGGAAGTGTTGTTTTTCTCTGGGTCTACCGTATTCTCTTTATTGTATAAACGGCTTGAAAAACCGCTTCGCGGCTTTGAAACCTCGGATATAGCTGAACATCCATACTTTATATTACATAAATGTTTCCAAGCCCAGCTGCCGAAAATATGATATTCTGGTCGGGTATGTTAATTCAGGCGAATGCTAATTTTTCATAATTAAGAAGGTGTCCGAGGTTTTTACAAACACATCACTTTGAAGAAGAGAGAAACTATCATAGTTCCATGTTTTTCTGATGCAATTCAAAATCATTACTCATTCGGCCAAGATCGTACTTTACTCGATGGTCGACTAATTCTCAATAACAAAATGTCTCTCCTTCTATCCCAAAGGAAGTAAAATTAAGATTCGTTTATTCGTTTTGTTTCGAATCTAATGGTATAATTTTCTTTTCGCTAACCCACACAAAAAAATCATCCCCCCTTTGAAATACCCTCGAAACCCCGGCAGCTTCCCCCTCCCCAGCAGCAGCTTTCCGCAGCCTCGGTAATTATTTAGCGTTGATGAATCGCGTTTGCCTAGTGGCGCCTGTTTGCCACGAAAGTGTGAGCAATATAAATCAAACGGTGCCGACCAACTGCTGATGAATTGGGGAGGGCGAAAAAATTGCGGGGACGCTAGTGTTTGGGGGGATTCGCGGGGGGTTTGGCATTAAACTTGTGCGGAGCATGTGCTTTTGATTTGCAGTCCCGGGGTGCTATTGGGTCAATCCGCTGGTTCGCAACCCCATCCATCCATCGCTACGCCTCTAGACATTGGGTTGGGGGGAATATTTTAATTAGGTTTTGGTGGGTAGGTAAAATTAAGGGCATGGCTATCGGTTTTGAAGAAAAATAGGGGGGTATGGATGTGGGTTAGGGTGGATGGAGGGAGGTGCATTTTTTCTGGGGGTCATTTAGCCACGTTTACGCACCTTGGGCCAAGACAACAATTTTTAAGATCAAACGAGCTACCGTATTTCCTATAATAAACCTCAAGTATTAGCCGATCAGCGTAGCATGTGCAAAAAAATCGTATTTAGAATTCAAAAATATGATGAAGCGGCTTATTTACACGTTGTCCTAGTATTATTAAGCGTTTTTTATAGCTTAAAACTGCAATAGTGCCATATTTGGTTCAATTTTTAAGCCAGTTTTTATTTATTTTGAAATAACGTTTAATAACGAATCACTTTCTCTAAATACCTACAAACTCGTCAAATCCCCCTTCAATTCCACCCGAACACACTCTATTTTCGGCCCCAAATACTGGACACACACGCGGAAAAACTCGCGGCTACTTTCGGGACCGCACATTCTTCGCGACAAAATCAGATAGGATTATGCAAATTCCGGGGGCAGCGGATTTGTCTCGGAATCGTGGTGGAGGCCACGGGAAGGAGTGAGCATGGCATGGCCAAGGCTTCTCCTCCTTCTTGTGCTGCCGGGCCCCCTAAACAGGAAAGAGGGCCCAACTGACCCGAAGGCCACCCATGATGCGGCTCGATTATTCGCCGCTGTCCATGTGGAAGAATTGGGGGCGACCTCTTTGAAAGATCGGGGGGTTTTCGTTTTTTTCTTGATACATGAGGAATGCCTCCAGCTATTATTTTAATTTTTTTTTACTAGTCCCTGACTCCCCTGACTTCAGCTTTAACTATTGAGCACTTTACATATCTCAATTAATATCTTTAGTGCGTTTTATCCTACCTTGGTATGTACCTCGCACAAAAGCAACAAAATCCAAAATGGGCCCGATAAATGGTCGTATGCAAATTAGGCTATTTCCCTATATGTGTTAAAAACGTTGAAATTATATATAGCAAGTTATTTTTGTGAAAGCAGACAAGCGCCAATAATTTCCCTCGCTTACCGTCACAGCTTTTTCGTGGAATCTGGTGCTCATTCTCTTTCTCAATAAGCCCGTTTTCTACATCAAGTATGCAAATGGTCTTGACATAGACACTATTCTTACAAATAGTGGGGTAAAACGATATTACTTTGTGTTCATGTTTAGTCTAAAAAACCTGCAGCTTTCCCCCAGCGTCTGCCCCGAATTCCTGAACTCATATGTTCCACATCTCATTTTCGCGTAATGGTATGCGTTGGAAGGGGGCGCTGTGGTGTGGTGGATGTAAATTTCGTCGAAAACATATGCCCCCCAGGACATTCACGCCCCCATTTTCGCACGACTCATCCTGCCCTCCTCCACAAAACCTGATCCAACCTCCTCCAGAGATCTGCTTCCCCCAATTCCTCAAATTAAACCATGCATTAACATCAATGCCCGAAGCGCCTCTCTAAAGAAAATCCAGACGTGGCGCTCTCTTTTTTGAAAGGCTGTTCTCATTAAGTTGGCCGGGGCTCCTCCGCCCTCAGTCCTCGAGTAGCGTGCCAACCCTCAAACCCACAAGGATCCCCTTTAAAACAATTGTTTTTCTCCCCCAACCCCCTTTGCTTCTTCATCGGTTCGCCCCCTTTTGCTCAATCTCAACGCGCATGCTCCATTCTTTCATACCAACAATATTTATTCACACTTTCCGCGCTCGATGTGAAATCTGATACGCATGAAACCTGGCTACGGGGTAGTTGAAGCCATAACTTGAGGGGAAGCCATTAAAAAAGTGAGCAAAAAACATGAACACATGATCAGCGATGCGGAATGAAGTCCCGCCTGGGCGGTGGTCATTGTTTTAGGGCGAGTCGAGGGAATTTCTTGAAAAAAATAGCAAGATTTCTCAGCATGACTAGCAAACCAGCCAGTGTTTTTAGAATTAATAAAGGTCGGGATTTTGAAGTTTTGAGATGATGAAGTTGCAGGTTTTCAGCAGAAAGAAGCTTACTATTCAATTACCACTTTTCAGTTTTTGTTGCTATTGGCATCGGCGAACGTTGTAGAGAGGTTCCAGAAAAATGCATTTTCTCGATTTTAGAAAAAAAACAGCATGCTTATATTATCAGGACTAGACACAATTTTTTATAGAATTAATATAGCTGGAGATGTTGACGCCGCCGACGCCCGTTTCATTCATCTCCGTCCTATAATTGAACGTGGGAAAGCTTTCCCCCTATTTTTTGCATATTTCTTCGGCGTCACCGGACCAGCCGTGCTTTTCCGGAAATGACGGAGAAGAATGTGACCGCGTTTGTCATAATTCCGCCCATCTTTTGGGGGGTTTAAAAAGTTTCGAGGGGTCGGCCGGCCTGAAAAGGGGTACGAGGTGGTTGAGCAGTGGCGGCAAAGGCGGGGGTCTGGGCGAATTGAGGGGAAACGAGCGAACGAATCCCTCAAAAATACTGGAAATGGCTTCAGGGCGCTCATAAATTGGGCCAACGACCCCAAACAATGCGTCCGGACTCAAAAATCATGAGCTGACAGCCGATCTAGGGGGGTGGTCCCAGGTTTTGCTTAGGGGTTTTCGGTGGCTTTAAGTTCGGCTTGATGTCCTTATTTGGATCTTGCTTGCATATCTTAATTTTGTTGCTAAACTCCATATTTAGTGATTGGTATGTATATCCTTACGAATCATGAATCTCTCTCCCTTGCTCACTGTCGCTCTCTCTCGCTCTCTCTCTCGCACTCTCTCTCTCTCTCTCTCTGTATCACTCTCGCGCCCTCTCTCTCGCTCCCTCTATCATTGTCCTAGCTTCTATTAAATTTGCATAATAGAGAAAATACGGCAATTATTTGAAACGATCATCTTTCTTGCGGCTATCTGCCCGAAACAGAAATCCCACCGATTTCGATTTTATACAAACACCCCCTAACCATTCCACCTTGTTTTTCACCACCACTCCCAACCACCATATTATTGTGCGATGGCTGTCACCCCAAAGAAATAGACCCCCTTGAGAGCGGACTTCCTCAATTCACCTATCAACCCGAAGCATCTGGGCGCCAAATTCTCATTAGAAGAGCCCACTCCCACTGTCGGTGTGCCCATAGACGAGAGAGCATTCACATTGAGCTTTTCGAATGCACACCACACACTCCTGCTCCCCCTATTGGTGTATCTCCGCTCCTCTAACCAGCCGCGCCAACATGCCCGTTCTCCGGTCAGTCAGTCAGCAGCCCTTCCAGGGGGGCATAGCCCAATTTGGGGCTCGTCAACCTCCGGAAAGCTTCTGAATCCGATTCGTGGCCTCGCTCGCTCATCGCTCATATTTTTTGGGGAGGACGACCCTAGGGCACATTGATAAGCAGGCGAGCGGCTTTTTTAAAGTTACAGGTTTTTGGCTTTAGCTACTTTTTATCGACAGATATCCATCGTTGTATGTGCTATTTGTGCATTGTCTGTCTCTTTATTTTTGCAATCATGTATGATCTATTAGGCCTCAAATGCCGTATCAAATTCAAATATAAATTCTTACCCGATCTAGACATTCCAACAATATTGCTGAAAAATTGCATGCAAATCTACACCCCAAGAAGGTTTTTTGGTCAACATTTCTCTCCAATGACGATAACCTTAAAAGCACCGATAACCGAGTATCGAAAAGGAACCCCCGAGCCAACCGCGTTAGATTATAAATTATTTTTCCAACGCAAATACATTCACTTCTGATTAGCCGATTCCACGCGAACCCCACACCTCCCTCCTTCCTCCCTACCCCCGATGCCAATTTATATCCAACCCCCTTTTTGCGAACTCCAATTTGGCGAAACGCCTCCTCACGGCTCATCCGTTCGCGCCCCCTAGCACGTCTATAGAATTATTGAGCCCCTCCGGTTTTTGTTTTCCTTCGAATTATCTACTGACGAAAGTCTGAAGCGGGTTCGTCGCCCTTTTCAGCACACTCACTCAATCCAAGACTTCCGATATAGGAAAATCGGGTTTTCTGGTTCCGGCGTACCAATCCTAAATTCCACGAGAACCCAGTTTTGGCACTAGCCGACAGCAAGATCCAAAATCACTGGCTGAGCTTGGTTGGGTCAGTCAGTGGCGTGTAAATGGCGAATTTTTCATCACTACCCCCGCTCTTCCGCCTCTTCTCTCACCGCTGACGTACATGTCGGGGTGGGCCCTTCTTTAGGGGGGGTGTTGGGTGTGTGCATATTGGAGCGCCAATTCCATAGCAAAAACCCGGATGGAAGGGGGGGGGGAGGTGAGGGGCAGAGCCGCGGAACGCTTTTGGGGTCAGAAATAAACCCACCGCCATTCCTCTAAATACCGGCCCGCCAATGTGGGAGGGGGGAGACGAAAACAACTGGAGTGGACGGATGCGGTTGGCGGGCTGCTGCTCTTCCTCGCGTTTTGATGGGCATTTCCCGACATTTTTGGGAGCATTCGATTGTTCTTCCGGGGGGTAGGACTAAGTGTCCGAAAGGTAAAGCCTGTTGAAAAAAAAGTGGAGCTTGGTTTTTGGCGTCTCCAGATTTTTTTTGTGAAATTTTGGGTTGGTTATGGCAACGGGCGCCACTCGCACTAGGCGATAAATTATTGCGCTTACACCTTTGCGTTTACTCTTTTAGCTAGTGTTTTTGATGCTATGGAAAATTGTAAGTTTACAGGCCGGATTCCAGCTTCTTGTTTATTTTAAGATTTACATCCAAGGATTCGAATTTACGAATTCAGATTCAGAACTCAGAACTACTATTTCGAGGTTTGTGTACATTCAAATTTTTTAAATCCATGTGATCTGAAGTTCGTGATTGCCTCTTGTAACCCCGATTTTACAAATTTTCGAAGTTACCCTGACTATTAATAACGTCGAATTTTCAGAATCTGGAAATTCTTTGCCACGTTTAATAACTCGGGCAAGCGTCTGGGCACTTCATACTACCTAGAAAATTTTCGGAATTTAGAAAAATAGAAAGTTCGAGCTTCTGAAAATTCGGTATCCTGATTTTACAGAAACTGTCAGTTTCCTGTGTCTCGTATTCAACACTTCACAATGCAACAGCTAGCCGGAATTTTGCCATGTTATAACTGGCAAACTCCCTGCATCTTACACCCCACCCCTCCAACCCATCCCCTCATCCCAAGATTCTCGAGCTCGATTCGACCCCTTTTTTGGCACCTCTGAGAGAAGGCTGTCGTTCGGATTTTGGCGACACCGTCCATTATTCACTGAGAGAAAGAAGTGGTGTAGTGTTTTTGGGGTGGGCTCAGCCTTGGGGAGGGCCAGGGTCGAAGCCTCGAGGGACACCAGAGTGCTCGGGGCCGCCGGGCAAAGTGATTTCATCCGCTTCTGCCTCCTTCCTTTTTGAGCCTCACAGGCTTCTCACCCTGACCATTTATTGCATTAAAGGGGGGGGTCTGACACCTTGGGTTTGGTTCGATAGAAAGGGATTGGAGATGGGCTCTTGGTCTGTGCACTCAAACTCCGCCGCGGGGGCGGAGTCTGAGTTTCGGATAGGTGGCTAGCAGATCTGAGATTCAAATTAAATTTGCCACAGTAATCAAGTGATTGTTGGATTCTGGATCTGCCCCGAGTTTAATGAACTTAGAATACGACGCAATCGAAAAATCCTATTTGAAGATAAGATCACCGCATCCAGTAGCTGGACCGAGTTACAAGTCCCTTTTGCTGCAAAATATTCCCCTTTTGGATAACTTATTTAAAATGCTATTTTCTAGGCTTTTGCTTGGGTGTTTTCCCGGTCAGCTTGAGATGCAATCCAAAATTTCAGTATAGCCTATTGACTATTTTCTGCCATTTTATAAGTTGGTAAAAATGGGATTTCGATACCTCTGTGCGCGTTTGAAGTCGTCGGCATTCTAATTCTTTTTCTTTACAATTTTTTTTAATCTAAATTAACCTAAACTTCTGAAGCGTGCTTTTTTCTTTATTAGCACGTTCTCATTCGGTATGCGCAGCAGCCGAGTGTCAATAATGCGAAATATTCCACACTACCCTAATTGACCCAACTAGGAAAACGAGTTGTCATTTTCACACGCGTACCAATTTCAATTTGATATCCGATCCAGGCCCAAGTCCATTTTCACGAAAATTCAAAACACTTGCAATGGTCAAAGAACTCCATGCACTTTTTCCTTTTTCGCTATTGCGGGCTCACCACGAAAATGGGCCATATGAGGTGTCACCACGAAATGCCTTTCCGGGTTAGAAGAGCGTCGGAGGTGTCGGAGCTGTTCCTTTCCGTTCGCTTTTGGCTCAGTTTCGGGGCCCTTCCAAGTGAGTTATGAGGCGTTGGGGACCGACACATGCAAATTGTTTCGCCGCGCACAAATTCTCTCAACTAACCCCCCGTTCGTTTGTCGGTATGTGGTGGCCGGCTATTTTCACGGTCGTTGCCCACATGCCAAACTGACGTTCACCGATTTCTATTAGACTCCTGGGGCGGGGGATGCCCCACCGGCATGTATTATTATTGCCTTCATTTTTTTGCGGCGCGCCTCTTTTCGGCGGATTATATTGTGACTCAAAGGAGCAGCTAACTTTCCAGAACGCACCGGCATTGTTTATACGCGAACCCAAACAACGCATTGAAGGACCCAGATGTGCGGAGGGTGAGAAGGAGAGTGGGCCCGTACAGGATGGAGGCCGAGGTCGACGACCCACTTTGGCCACCGCCATACGTTGTGCAGGACGATATGATGGTTGCTACAGCAGGTAAGTCATGAAGATATTAAGTGATACAGTATGTTCTTGTATTAATATATAGGGTGCTAAAATCACCCTCTATGGCTCACTGTAAAGTGTTTTTACTCAGGCTGGCGTTTTGGAATGGGACCAAGGCTACTTTGTGCAGAATCTTCCAAATCTGCTGCCGACCTTTATTTAAAAAGTTATTCGACATTTATACTAAAAAATTGCGAAAATCTTTGCGTTATTTTTAAGCTGTCGTTATCATCAACGTTAAAACTGGCTCGATAACGGCTTTGGAAGTTAAAGCAGGATTTTATCCAAAAAATTTCCATGTTTTTGTGCAAAGAGCAAAAGGAACGCAGGGCGGGGTTCGAACCGCCGCCCTGTGCTTGGCAAGCGAACACCTTGCCAATGCACCATGATGCCAACCCGGCAGGGGGCTTCGGGAGGATAGATAAAGGGCACGGCAATGCCTGGACCCAAGCCGGGAATAGTGGGCCAGCATCCGAATTTATGCCGTTTTTAAGCTTAATTTCGACCTCAAGTGACTTTTTAGCGCAAAGTCCGCAACAAATTTGGAAAACGGGTTCGGAATCAGCAAAAAATTCTGCACAAGATAGGCTTGATCCCATTCTAAAACGCCAGCCTGAGTAAAAACACTTTACAGTCAGAGAATTGTCCGATTTTGAAGATATAAATGCCTATCTAGTTAGATTTCGACCAGGCGAGGAGCAAGATATTATTTAAAAATGAAAATTATTGATTTCTGTCGAAAAATTGTTTGACGTCAGCTCACGAGAAGATCTACCCCTGAAAGACCAGCTGTTTTGATTTTAACGAAAGACCAGGGGTTTTTATAAAGGTTATCCCGTTATCTGCTCCTTCTTCAGCTTAGGTTTCTTGAGAAATCCGGTATTATTTAATAATTAGCAATTTTTCCAAGAATAATTTAAATAAATTAATAAAGTAAACTAAAAGTTTCTAGGTTATGAAGCGAGTACCTCTTGGCCTCGACCAGAATACGTCGCCGATAACATCACCTACGAGCGATTACTCATCCTGCTCGAGCACCAAATCATCGACGCCATGCCGAATTTTACAAACGGGCTTCCACCATGTGAATTGTGCCTTCATCAAAGCAAGGCAAGCGAATTTCCGGTCATCAACTTAATAAAAAACGACGACGATGAGCTCTATTTTTTAGGAACCAGCTTACCTAAATTATAACCTCGTGGTCATCGGTATCATCTTGCCGATCGTTGGCTTTTTTGGATTAATCGGGAACGCACTTTCGGCATTTACCTACAGTCGTCCAGGTACTAAAATACCTAAAAAACTTTAAAAATTTAATTTAGAAATGCGCTCCTCAACAAATAATTACTTGTGTGCGTTGGCTTGCTCAGACAGTGCCGTTATTTTGACAGGTTTTTCGACCTTGTTATGTGTAGGTTTGTATATTTAGGGATTTTCATTTTTACTGTGGATTCGATTCGGCGATATTCTCTACCAATAAACACCCTCTTTGCCGCGATGAGCCCGACATTATACACGATGGGGTTGATAGCTCAGACGTGCTCTGTCTATTTTACGGTCGTCGCTGGCATCGATTGCTTTATACAAGTAAGCTTTTGACTTATTAATAGTTATATTCTACTATATAATTTCATAAAGGTACTCACAAAGTTAATCAAATAAAAGTCTAATTTGCACTTGTTTTCATGTATCTTTGAATTAACCCCACTAACCCCCTATTTTTCTGTATAGAAATTCCATCGCACCGAGGTAGGGATACGGCTCAGAAATCGAGCACGAAAGATTTCACGATTCAGTTGCCTTTCGGGAGTGAGAACTCTTTTTTCCTTAGTTGAAGTTTTCCATTTTCATGCCTATTGATCAAAAATTATCATAATTTTTTAGGTTTGCCTGCCGACAAAAATCAAAAATTTATCAACGGGCCGAGGAATCACGCGGAATACCATACTTGCCGTCGTTTTATTTTCGATCCTCTACAATATACCTCATTGTTTTGAGGCTGTTGTAATCAGGTTGGTGATAAATTTGTTACAACTACAAATTTAATAACATTTTAGCTGTTACCATAATCAGTATGATGGCCCGTCTTATGAAGTTTGTCCAGCACCGTTAAGGTATAATGAAATGTAAGTAAAAGCTTAAATAACAAGTTATATCAATATTTTTAGGTATGCCACTGTATATTATAAATACATGTATTCCATATTCCTTGCTGTCGGCCCGTTGATTCTTTTGATAATGCTAAATGTATGCATCATCACCGTATCCGTGTTCTCTTCTGGACCTTCGAATAATGGAGATACGATATCGCTGGTATGCTAGTAATTTTATACGATAATACCTATTTAATTTTAGATCCTAGTCGTCCTCCTTTTTATCTTTTGTAACTCCGCCGCGCTCCTGCTCAATATATTCGAAGAAGAGCTAGATGAGCGCCTGAAACACAATATGAATTACATAATCGATTTATCCAATCTACTGGTCGTCTTCAATTCGAGGTATTTTTAGCCGAAATGCTATTAATATCTTCATTTAGCTTCAATTTTGTGATATACATGAAATTCTCCGATGCTTTCCGCAATACATTAAAACTACATTTAAACGGGAGAAGAGCCGTGAAGGTAAGTGCTGCATGGTGCGCCTCCATAAAACATATCATTCCTTTTTAGACTAGCAGAACTTCCAGGGTTTAGGGCAATGTAAGGCTGGCTAGCTAATTAGAGTTTGCAGTGCTAAACTAAATCAATAACCTTGGTATAATTTGTATTTTCTGATTTTAGAAATCCGAAAACGGTGGTCCTCCAATTGTGATTACGGAGAGGACATCGGCTTCAAAAATTTGTAAGGAGACGTTGGGGCGTCTTATCGTCGCATCACAGCCAGAAGTTTTAATATAACCTTTTTATATTGTTTTTGCTTTAAAGGCTCCTAAAAATTCATTCTATATTTATAATGCGTTGGTTTGAATTTTTCCATCCTCCCTTTTCAATCGCATATTTTCGAAATTCTGAATGTTCTGGAGTGCTCGTTGCTAGTGGAAGATCCCGGTGACAAACGATGCTCAACATTTATTGTGTGCCATGGGATTATATATTTTTGAGATGATAATAATAAGAGATTTTTTTACATTGTAAGCGGACAGTTGGGGGGTGCGTACATGGGATGTTTAAAGGTGTGAAGCCGAATTTCATGGCTCAAAGCGTTTCATGTAGCCGTCGAATCTGAAATATAAGCATAAAATAAACTTTTTAGCTTTTGCTATGTTATTTGTAGGCTTATAGGAATATAGAGTATGTATATTTCTCACCGTTTGCTGTAGGGATCAAAGCGCTTGTTGTAGCCGTCGAACCGTTTGTTGTAGCCGTCAAAGCGCTTATTGTAACCATCAAATCTTCATTAAAAAATTTGTAAAATATTAATGTTAACGATTACCGTTTGCTGTATGGGTCAAAACGCTTGCTATACGGGTCGAAGCGTTTCAGCTCGTTGAACGGCTCAAATCTAAAAACAGACTATGGTTAATGTAATACTTAAATTACCGTTTTTGATAGGGTTCGAATCGTTTGAAAGTGTCGAAGCTGTAAAAAAACCATAAAAGAGGATTAATTGATTTTACCGTTTATACAGAGAAGGGTCCGATCCCAAGGAGATTCCATCGAGCAGGGGTTTTGCCTGAAATATTGTGATAGATAACTTTGGCATCCTTAGCTAGGATTTAATGATAAGATCAAAAATTTAAAGGTACCTGAAGAGCTTCGAAATTTGCCGGGTCCCCATGGCCAAGGCTTTGGTCATCAGCATTGACGGCTGCCCCTAATTGACCCAGTGCGAGGGCACAGAAGCTGAGAAGGAGATGGTTCCGCATCTAATGATAATTGAATCAACAATCCATTTATATGTAAAAATTTAAAATGCAAAAAATAAAGCGGCAATGACCCAAAATAGTAAAACTAAACGTCTAGGATGACGAAGACAATAGCATAAGCAAAATACTACTCAAAAAATGCTAGAACCCCAAGACCCCTCCTGGATCTCCCTAAACAGCAGCCCAGGTCAGCCCATTATTTCTGGCGTCAGCCCCTGGCTGGCAATTTATCCCTTCGGCCCCGGCCAGGGCCCTCGTGGTCCTAATTTGGGCCCTTGGAGTTGCGAGTCACTTAAGGGATCCGGTAGTCCATAAACAACATTAGCGGTCTCAATTTTACGAAGGGATTTAGGAAGGAATAGATATCGAGTCTGATCAACAAAAAAAAAAGAGAGATTCTCCAAGGCTACAAATAATTAGGCACGGAAGTCGGCAGTGGAGCGTAGCTAGAGTGTAAGCTTCCGGGCTGCTAATAAGGTTGATGGAGATAAATCATATTAGCCCGGCAAAGACTCAGGTCAGCAATTATATTTTCTAGCTAGGAATACACGCGGGTTTTGCCCCCAATACCACAACACCTTCAAAAAAAATCAGCATTGAACAGAAAATACGGTCAAAACCGAGCTGAGCCGTAAGGATGCGAGTGGTCCGGAATCCAGCTTGAATTTCTGGAAGTTTTGTCTGGAAAGTAGTAGATGAGGGATTGACGATTTTTAAACATTCAGCTACCAGAGCCTAAGCGTCCGAGCTCTGAAAAAAACGTTGATAATTTACATCAGCTATGTTTTCGCACCTAGCTAAAATCATAAGTTTTATCCCCAGCACCCCAACAACCCTCAACAAAATGCACATCCGACTGAACGTTTCCTCTAGGGGCAGCCCCTCGAGCAAATCCGATCGGAGCCGTAACGACGCGACAGATTCCCAGGGGGCTTCGACCAGAAATGATGAATATTGAAAATGAACTCGTGATTCGTGGAGAGCAACGCTCTGAAGGGCTTCTCCTCGCCCCGTTAGTTCCTCGTCGAGAACGCCGCTAGGGCTTCGGCTATTTTTTTGAGATCAACTGGAACAATTGGGGATTTGAGGTCTAAAATCATTGACGGGATTAGGAGAAGCAGCCACGTCGAGCAGGTGCCATTTCCATAGAAACGCAAAAGTTTATTGAGAACTCTGGCCGTTAATTCTTAATTGTTAGGTGGGAGCAAAGGGAGGAAAAGTTTGGAGGTTTTGTTGAAAATGAGAGGGTTGGTGGAGTTTTTGAAAGACGGGGTTGGGGCGTTGAAGCTGTGGGGCCTGCGTGTCGGAAAGGAGTTAGGTTGAGTTGGAATTCTCAAGGCGATTCCGGATTTTATGCGAGTAGCGACAGCAGAGAAGACAAGCTTCATTCGCGTTGAAAATTAGCCTCTACAGGGTGTCAAAAAATCTTCCCGCAAGTTCTGGGGCCTTTTGTCCTCCCTGGTTCAAAGCCTTAGCAGGGATGTTGGCCCAAAACCACCAAGCAGGGTGTTACACCAAATTTTGAGCTAATTTACGCAATAGGGGCGATTTTGGGCGATTTGTTCAAAAAGCGTCATGCTGAGTCGATTTCTGCCGAGTTGTAGGTTAAAAATTAATTAAAATACGCGCTTTGAAAAACAATTTTGTAAATGAAACATTGTTTAGATGAGAAAATGGCTCTCTGTAAATTTTGATGACGACATCGGGAAAAATATCAACAGAAATCTTCAAATTAACCCTGAATCTGCTTTAACCTTTGATTTACATTATTAAGACCTAAAACTTTCCTTGCAAGTAGTTTTTCTGGCACCACATCGCTAGTAAAAATTTGAACGCTGTCGGATTAAAAGCGGTCCGGAGGATTTTGCGGACCATGTAAAAAATATGAGATCGCTTTAACTCGAAGCTTCGACCTCCAATTCTTCCGCCGCACGCCACTTCCCGTTTTTTCTAATTAGTGTTGGAAGTTTCGGGTCGGAGGTGCGAGTCCCCCACCGAGCTGACAGGCTGCGGATATGGGCTCCCCTTTATCAGGGAGACCCTCCCTAGGCTTCTTCACCCCTTCACTGTTTGCCCTGAGGGCCACAACGAAGGATCGAGCTGCTCGAGAGCGAGAAGTCCCACACAATCACCATTCCCCCAGTCTCCGCTCGAGCACTCACGCCACCATCATCATCAACACCAACAGCCACACTTGTCTTCCCGCTCAGCGCCCCCAGCTCGTCTATCGTTATTAGTTTTTTAAGGGAAATTTTTTTTGGATTCTTTAAAAAAATTGAAAAACTTACATTATAGATCCGTAATTAGATAACGTTGCGCTAATCCAGCCAATCCGGAAGTTATTACAGTAGGGGAATTATTTAATTTAAAACCGCGAACTACCCTCCTCCTCACATCCCTCACCCTATTCGAACGGTGTCTAGTGTAGCTCCAGAAAGTCTTTGCTACAAGAAAGAGATCTGATGTGGGCAGAGTCGGGGGTGTGCATATGTCTGTATGGCTGTTGTGACCGGGAGTCCACCGAGGGGGTGTCAAGTGTCTCGGTTTGTCTTATTGTTTCCTGTTTGTCTCACCGGTCACCACATACCCAGCCACTGACCACATCAAAGCCTACACTGGTAATGGACGCCACCTACGCCATCTTGATATTAGCTAAAAATCGATTCAGTATACGTAGTTAAGTTTGAAAGTACAAGTAAGCAATCAAAATTCGACTCCTGGGGGCCGAACGTCAGAAATGAAAAGTGCCATTCGAGAGGTGGGGAGCCATTTATTTCCGCATGCGCCGCCGCGATTTTTGAAAAATGAGTTCCCGTCGTCTACCATTGACAAGGGAAACCGGGGTGTTTTGAACCGAGCGATTTCTGAGCCAAATCGAAAACAACAGCGTGCAATGCATAAAAAATGAATTTGGACCGCTAGAATTATTGAAGCGCGCGTAGTAATTGCAAACTGCCGGTATAAAATATCAAAGTAGATTTAAGATGTAATTTGGCCTAAAGTTTCATAGAATGTACCATTTGCATTGCGATAAGTTGATATGCATTTTTGCATTTATGATTTTTTTGCGATACGGCTTTGCATGCAACTTCCATCAGGGCGATGGAAAGACTTGTAAGGTGCCTGTCGCATGGTATTAGATCCGGCAAGGGTTGTAGATTTTGATCAATTAAAATTAAAAAAACGGTGATTTTCATAATTCAAAATAGTTTGTGTCCGAAAATCGCCTAACATAATTATAAAACAATATTAACGTACTAGAATAATTCCAAAACCGCCTTGGAAAATCAATCCTGATTCTAAGCCTCTTACAGAAAAGTCAGCATTTCCCGCAACCTCGCCAATTTTTATTATTCATTTACGGCATTGTCTGATTTACCGCCAGCCGGAATCCAATCAAACGGGCGCCCATTGAACAGTTTTCTTAAGGGATAAATGGACAATTTCTATGTGTGGGCTGCGGTGGTACCCTTCCTCCAGCTGCCACCAGCCATTAGTCTTGGATCAACTGGTTGTGGTGGTAGAGGAACAGGAGGAGGAGGGGTGGTAGAATGAAGGGACCGGGATTTCAAAAGGGTCCCCCCTAGGGGTTGGTGGTGCCCCACTGTGCTCGGTCTTTTGTGGGCCACCGTTTCTGGCTAATTGGCAACGCTTTTATATACCCCCCAATATAACCACTTCCCGTCGGTCAGCATCGGGGTGGGGGCCTCCACCATTACCCATATGTCACCATTTTTGTTCTCAAATAACGGTATCGCGTCTTTTTGCTTATTTCTCTCTGTTTTAACCTTTGAGCCGGCGCTGTCAAAAAATGGCATTTCGTATTTTGAACAACCTTAGTAGTAATCATATTTATGTGCCTTTAGGTGTCCTTGGCGCCTTAAGAAGTTTTAGGAAATGCGAAATTTTAAAAAAACCAACGGAAGTGATTAAAATAAATCAATTTTTCCTTCTGTTTTCGATATTTTGGTCGATAGAAAAATCTAAATCTTTTACGAGTTTGGACCGGATTTCAGCAGTAACGAAAGAAAATTATATGAACAAAATTTTACAATTTCTTAATAAAATCCCACCCCTTTACCCCTCCTCTTCCTCACTCTTTCCTTATTCCCAAGGATATTAATCGTGACGGCGCTTCCCCGAATTAACCCCGCGCCAAGAATCGGTGGCCGGCTGGCCCACCCATATTTCCCTGGGCCCTAACCCCCGAAAAGAGACGAGAAAGGCGGGGCTCAATCCCCAGAAATCCTTCACCCTTGACATGATCTCGCCCCCAAGACCATGAGCATAAATTAGCATATCTGGGTCCGGGATCTCGATTTGAGCATCAGAGTTAGATGGGCGGGGGGAGGATAGCCATCGCCGCTAGGTGTGGGTACTTGGCCTTTCCAAGGCTGTAGGGGCGATTCCAACGTCTTTGTGCTATACAATCATCTCCCCTTGCCTTAGGACCGTCTTTTTGGTAGTGGGTGGAGGGGGATCGTCAAGGATGCCATGTTCCAACGGTGTCTCAAGGGTTCCCGAAAAGCCAAGGACACCCCCTTGCACAGTCACTCTCCTTGTTCCCCCTCCTTAGAAAGGCCTCCCTTTACGGCTCACCGCTTCTTAACCGTATTGCTGTCAGCACTTGTAGGGCTGTGGAACTGCGGGGGTTTGGGCTATCGACCTCTTATTCCATCTTTGTAAGTGTAGGCCCCTTATTTACATAGTACTATTCTGGAATTGCAATTTGGTGCTGAGGTGCCTTTGTTTGCATCGGGGGTTGTTAGCCATTGTACAACACCCCGGGGGCGGGGATGTATATTTTGATGCGGCGAAGAAAAATAAAATTGAACTAGCTTTGTTTGAGACTTGCAACAACGATTCTTAACAGATAATTACGAATTTAGATATATCTGGACGTAAGGGGCGATAAAGAAATGCTATATTTTCTTACTTTTCAAAATCAAGATCTGGCTCACAACACTTCGGTTGGCTTATACGCGTTTTCGTTATACATG